TTTTCATTGATTTATTTTTTTTTATTCTAACAAATAAAATATTCAACCGTGAACAAGAACTTTTTGTATTATTAAAGATGATTATTTACCTACTTATCTGCTTAAATTGTTTTTTTGAACAGTAATCAAAATAGTACAAAATAAATATCGGTTATATTATAATAAATAAAATAATAAATAAACAAAAATCGCCGTATTTTTTAATTCTCATATTTTTCCAAAATTAAAAAAGATTGCTTCTATCGGGAATTGAACCAGCGTTTCGACATCTTCGCGACATGCAGCATTGCGACATGGATTTGATAAAGTTGAACGCTCTATGAACTGAGCAATCAAGCTTATGCCTTATGAATTATATTATCTAACCAAATATGCATATTAACAAAAAACGAAAATAATGTATTTACTTTAAAATTATTTTAATAATTTATTAAAAATAAATATTTAGGATCTAGATATAAAAATCAATGTTAACAATTTAATCATCAAATCTGTTTTAGTATTTAATATGCATTTCATAGATCAAAATAGAAATCATGTGTTTGGCATATTTGACAGAAAGTAAAAACTGAAGCCTATAGCCTTGTTATGGCAGGACAACATAGAAGCTATAATAAGATAAGAAGATCAAAATCAACCAAGTTGGAACTGCCGAAAACGAATAAAAAATGCAATTGAAAAACAGGAGAAAGATCTGCAGAGCCTATGTTACAGAGTGAAACCTTTAAGTTTGGAAGTGGAAGCACACGTAACTAGAAGTCAGAAGACTTTAAACGTATTGTATATAAATATATTTTATTTAAAGAAATAAAAGTTAGTTCTTACAATTGCATATTATGAATTTAATAAAACCCTTAATATTTACGTAAAATGAGATTTGAGTCATATACAGGGTGTCCTTTAAAATGTGTCCCAAAATTCTCAGGCAGATTCCTTAACCAAAAAATGGAAAAAAAGTTCCTATAGACCTATGTCCTAAAGTGCCCCCTAAGCGAGCAACAGCCTCTCGAAATCATTTTTTTTATTTTGATTTTTTGAATTTTCTTAAAAATGGAAACAAATAAAAGAACCAAATTTTAGCTGTTAAATATGATCAATAATAGTGACCTTTTGACACCTTCAAAAAGAAATTATTTCGTCAGGGGTGTACTTGGGAATTTTTTGAAAATTTTGATTATTCATAACTTTTTTGTGTTTTTGGTAATGACTTATCCATATTTTTTTTTACATTCTACATTGAAAACTACGTCAAAAAGGAATACTTGTTTGATCTCGATTGGAGCAGCCGTTTCCGAGAAAACATCATCCAAAGATATTCGTGCAGTTTAGGTTAATTTTCAATTTTGGCTGTTGTAGCCAAAAAGTTGGAAATCGAGGAACACGGCTTACATGTCCCTATCCTTACTTTTGAAGGTCTATTCAGTGGCAAAAAATATTAGTTGATACAGGGTGATCAAAAATCGGATGTGATTTTGGATTTTTGATCACCCTGTATCAAATAATATGTATTTTATGTCACTGAATAGACCTTAAAAAGTTAGGATAGGGACTGTAAGCCGTTTTCCTCGATTTCCAACTGTTTAGCTACAACAGCCACCTGAATTTGAAAAAATGTGATTTTTGAGTAGCTGTAGATCCTTTACTATTCATATTAGATAACAAGTGTGATATATCATTGAAATCAGATTATCGAGCAGATTCTAAAAATATAAAAATATACAGGGTGTTCCATTTAAAAAACATAACTTTGATTTGGCACGGCCTTATGAAACACCCTGTCACATCGTAACTAATTTTAAAATGTGAAGCTTAAAGCTGCCTACTTTTATTATAACAGATCTACAGAGCTTCCTCACACTAATCAATCACCCTGTATACTATTTTTAGCTCTCTAAATAAAATTTAAAAATTTAGTTCCCATTTATTTATTATGAAGACCATAAGGTTTGTATTTAGCTGTTTAGAATAAAAAAGTAAAAATATGTATTTTTTTGGCGTTTTTGTGTTTCATGGATAATTTTTTTCGCTCACTGATAAAAATGTTTCTTCAGTTAAACATTATTTCTAAAAGTGTTCTGGTGCGATTCGTTGTATTGTTATTATTTTGTTTAAAATGGCTCACAATAACTACAATAATGATTACACATTCGGCGAAATGACGGACATGCACTTATGTTTTGGACTCGCTTCTGGAAATGCCAATGAAGCTCGCAGACTTTATCAGGAGCGCTTTCCAAATAGGCATCTTCCATGCGCTAAGACGTTTTCTAGAATTGACGATAGACTTCGGGAAACTGGTACATTTAAGAAAAACTCTAGTAACAGTGGAAGACAAAATTATGTGAGAACTCCTGCTTTGGAAGAAGCAATTTTGGATAGGGTAGCTGAAACCCCATCGACAAGTACCAGAAAAATAGCAAATGGTAAGTAATTACTTATTTATTATTTTAGCTACCCCGTACCTTATCGTATAAAACTAGTTTTTTTACTTGTTATTGCTTCTCTTACATTTCACGACTTTTCGTATCGAAAAGAGTTGCGTTATGCAGAAAAAATCTGATTTCCCAAATCAATGGATTCTCTTTCTTAACTATTCACTACACAGATTCTCTCATTTAATTTCAGAAGTGGGAGTCGGACGTAACACGGTATGGAAAGTTTTGCGTGAACAACAATTGTACCCTTACCACATTCAAAAAGTTCAGGCACTTAAAGCTACTGATTATGAGCCGCGAGTTATCTTTTCTGAATGGTTTCTTGGAAGATGTAATCAAGATGCAATGTTTCTTAATAAAGTGCTATTTACCGATGAAGCTGGTTTCACTAGAGATGGTATAATAAATTTTCGAAATATGCATGAATGGGCTGAAGATAACCCTCACGCGGTTGTTGAACGTCACCACCAGGATAAATTTTCAATAAACGGCTGGGCTGGAGTTATTGATAATTACCTTATTGGACCATTTGTTTTGCCGAATAGGTTAAATGGAGCAGCATACAGGCTTTTTTTGGAAAATAACTTACATGAGCTTCTTGATAATATTCCGATTCAAATCAGACATGACATGTGGTTTATGCATGATGGAGCTCCACCACATTACAGCCTTGAAGCTAGACAGCACCTTAACGAAAGATTTGAGGGTAGAGTAATTGGCAGAGGTTGTCCTGTTAACTGGCCACCTCGTTCACCAGATCTAAATCCAATGGATTTTTTTGTTTGGGGTTATTTAAAATCATTGGTTTATTCCAGTCCTGTTGAAACAGTTGAAGAATTGGAAGAACGAGTTTTTCATCATTGCGAAGTTCTTAGGAATAATCCTGAAGTATTTTTTCGTGTAAGACAGTCTATGATGCGACGGTTGCGCTTGTGTGTGGAAACCAATGGTCGCCACATTGAGCATCTGCTTTAATTTTTTTTGATTTGTTTTTTTAGAATAAATATTTTTTTAAACCGTTTCTTATTATTAAATAAAAATAGTCCCACCACGACATTTGAACTACAATTATTTAGAGAGAGCTAAAAAAGTTATTTTTATTTACGAGATTCACCGAGGTAATTTAGGAAAATTGAAAATTAAGCTAAAGTGGACGAATATCTTTGGATGATGTTTTCTCGGAAACGGCTGCTCCAATCGAGATCAAACAAGTATTCCTTTTTGACGTAGTTTTCAATGTAGAATGTAAAAAAAAATATGGATAAGTCATTACCAAAAACACAAAAAAGTTATGAATAATCAAAATTTTCAAAAAATTCCCAAGTACACCCCTGACGAAATAATTTCTTTTTGAAGGTGTCAAAAGGTCACTATTATTGATCATATTTAACAGCCAAAATTTGGTTCTTTTATTTGTTTCCATTTTTAAGAAAATTCAAAAAATCAAAATAAAAAAAATGATTTCGAGAGGCTGTTGCTCGCTTAGGGGGCACTTTAGGACATAGGTCTATAGGAACTTTTTTTCCATTTTTTGGTTAAGGAATCTGCCTGAGAATTTTGGGACACATTTTAAAGGACACCCTGTATAGACTTGCCACCTTTTCATTTCTTAAAACCCGGACCTTTGTGCTAAAAAACAAAAAAATGTCCTCACCTTATATATTATAAACCAGGTCCTTCCATCTGTATTTTTAATAAACAAAATCTTTCTCAAAAAACAAGTCTTTTTTAAAGGTATCCAGATATTTCCTGACATTTTCATTGTGCGACCGGACACATTGTTCCAAACCCGGACACTACAGGTGGCATCCTTATGATAGGTAAATACTAATTGATAAAAACCAAAATTTACTTGATTATTCTGATAAAACCGCGCGCTTGGTAATTTGTCGTTAAATGTAATATTTTAGGTATGTTCAGAACGAAACAGAGATTTATTAACTTTGATCGAAATATGATGGTTGTAAATAAAATAGTATACAAACCTCGGTAGGAAGTTTCATTCCTGTCTCGAGTCGAGATCATTGCTAACCTCGACGCTTCGCGTCTCGGTGATCTAACTAATCTCACGACAGGAATGAAACTCTTCCCACCTCGGTGTGTAATATACTATTAATCTGCTCACAGCAAATTAAATTAATTGCTTTCGTTGAAACTCATTGCTAGTGTTTTATTTAACATTTTCGTTGCGATGTCAGAAATAACAGATAATATGGTTCTCACAATAAAAATAGCAGTATACAAAATAATTTAATGTAATTATTAAATTCTCTATTGAGGTTACAAGCAGTTTTGTGCTCAGACCAATAGGGACAAGACAGTGTGGCAGGATGTTTCTAAGCTTCTAGTTCTCTATGTTTCAAGAGTATACATATTATGTTGGTGTACTGTGATTGCTTAAAGAAATATTAACCATTTCATAGTAATGAATAATAGTAATTACATATTCGACATCTCTCCTGGATTGTTAACAAAGTTGTACATAACATAGCCAGTTTATTCTGATTGGTCCTTTTTTCCATTCGGAAATGTTGAAAACAATCGTATTATTATTTTTTTTTCTAGGCCCTACCGGTGTCGGCAAGCACTTTATCCATGATGGTAATTTCAGTCGACCGCTATTTCACTGTTAAAAACTACCGTCCAATTGGCCAAGTGGCTACCAGACGCCAAGTGATGAGCATCACAGTTGTTGCCACCTGGATCACGGCTGCACTCCTTTCTTCAATACAAATTATCTCAAGGTACAAGTATCCGTGGAAAAAAGGTCTGTTGATTAGCCGTATCACAATCGTCCATATCATACCGGCCTGCACTATAATGCTGAGCCACTTAGGGGTACACCAGAAACTTACAGCTTTATCGCTGACTGCTAGAGCTAAGCATGGAGAGCTACCGTTACCTATACCATTGATAAGGCGACCTACACATGTGATTATTGTTGCTGGAATGCCCAAGGTCAGTATTATCGGGGTAAGTAGAAAAATATATTCATATGAATATATTTTCCAAAATATAATATTTTACGCGATTTCATTTCGTATTTGATGCCTGTCGAGCATAGGTTTTGTTTATTTCAAACAAAGGTTCAGTTTCTGTATATACGTAGGCATATAAATATGTTTTGATCTCCCTTTGGAAAGTGAATGACCCTTAGCAGTCTCAGTGTAAAGATGGTTTTGTTTTTGTACTTTCTTAATAGATTTTTGAGCCTACTTATATACTTTCGCGTAAAAGTCTTTTTTAATAATTATTTATTGAATCATTATTATTTTAATATTATACCCTGTATCTCTGTATCTAAATTATTGAGGATTATACTTTATCAGACCTTTTTGTTTTGAACAATCCTAGTAGGCAGAAAATGATCAAAGTGATCTAAATTTCTTTGGATACATTTTTACCACGAAAACAAACTTAAATGTTTGAGTAATTTTGCCTGAAATAAAGGCGTTTGAAAATGGAAAATCAAAATTTAACTAATAAAATTTAAAGGGACGAACGGTATTTGAAAAAATCACCCCCTGGTTAACGCGAAAATGGATGAAGGGTGCTAATGCCACCGGATCTAAATCCAGTTTGCTTTATTACCCTAACAGGTAGTAAGAAATTATTAATTAATAATAATAATTAATAATTATTAATTAAAAGGTCGAACTCCTTATGTAAATAATAGAAACGGAAATGAACGTTGCAAGGAGAATTATTAGACGGAATTTTAAATAAAATGCCTATCTTGATTAACTCCTCACAATCTCGGAAACTGAATAACAAAAAATCGGTTTCGATTAATATCCACCATAATATTTAGACGGTCAAAAAGCGACGAAAAACGGCCTAGCAGATAGCCCTCTCATCGAAGACATCTGCTTTTATCAAAAGTTGGACTTTTGCCAGACGTTATTGGGGACGTTATTTCCTACTCCTTTGTTATTAGTTGTTTTTCAAAAAAAAAAAAAAAAAAAAAAAAATGAGTAAAGATAATGACTAGATACTTACATGAGATGGAATATACATGTTAATTATGTTTGTAAAAAAATGCGTTTAAAAAATCATGAAATATATTAACAATAACCCAGTTGCGAATCCTGTACTATGGACTTATAGATAGCCATATAAGATATGGAGTAATTGTATGGGGAGGAACGCTTAAGAAGCATAATCATCCCCTACAGATATTACAAAAACAGTTTCTGAGAATAATCTACAGAAAAGATGTTGCTTACCCATCAGATGAACTTTTCTCTGATTTCAAAGTCTTAGACGTTCGTCAATTATATTTCCTAAAACTTAATACTAAATATTATGTCAAAAATCAATATAACCTAAATACTCACCGTTATGAGACGCATTGCAAACATTTTCATGCTGTACCATTTATGAAGAAATCTATAGGACACCGGTCCTATATGTACTTGGCTCCAAAGTCTATTGACTTTTAAAAAAAAATTAAACACATATATACTTGAACTTGGCAGAATGTTTATTACAAACTTCATTGAAATTTAGGGATTTTATTTTATAATTATATTTTATTGTGTTCCAATTTAAATATTGTCTACTGTCTAGTCTGTCTGTATCTAATAAATTAATGTTTCATTGTAAAGAAAGACATTGTTTTATATTATTATTATTATTACATAGTTTTTATTATATTTTTTACCTGCAACAAGTTGCGACTTTGCAGGATTCTGTAATTTATTGATCAGCTTTTATTTTATTTTGTATAATTTTATATGTATGAATAAACTCTTATTATTTGAAACTACAACAAGATATTGGAATGGTCATTGATTTATACAATTCCCTAATTTGATACATGTCATCTCTCATTGTATATGAAGAGGCCAAGGCACTGATCGGTAAGCAGAACTACACTGCAAGCAGAACGCGATATTTCGATGAAAGTGACAAGGATGTTCGGGGCTAAGGATTATTTCAAAATAAATATTTTCCTTACAATTGTGAATCGATTGATCTCAGAATTGGACCATCAAAAATGTGCGTACGACAGAGTGTTCGAGAGTTTCTACGTTTTCTACGTTTTCGAACTCCTCCGTTGAAAAAAATAAGGAATAAAGGGTATTTCAGCCGATTTAGTTGAGGAGATACTGCAACTCAAAGAGTATTTGACACTAGAAGACAAAAATATGTAAATATTAACAATTTGTGCAGCTGAATAATATTAATATAGTTTTAAGAATTTACAAATCAATGGCAGTAAGCAATTGTTCTTCAGAATTTTCGTTCCATGCTTAAAACGAATTTAGTTGAATATTTGTTATATGTAAATGTTATAATAGAGTTTTTTATATTCTGTTGGATTGAAGTTAATCTTACATTTTATATGATTCTAATAAAGGTTTGCTTGATGTTTGTTTTACTTATTTTAGTACGTATTTTTAGTTTTGTAAAAAATATACCATAGGCAGCACATTTTAGGCATAATTTTTAATCTGAAAGTGGCATTGATGGTAAGTTTTTAAAATAGGATTTGCTGTTCTGTAGAAACTAACAACTTAGCACTTCTGTATTGAGGCGAAAAGATTGACGTGACATTATTTAAAGTTATCCAAGTCTGAAGATGTAATAGACCTTATGGTCGTCTGTAAAGAAATCAAAAGTTGCAATAACAAATCAAATATCTTTACACATCTAATAAATCTATAAGTACCTACGTCCCACGAATTTAATATTGAAAACAAAAACAAATGTTGATGTAAGTACAATTTCAATTAAATAAAACTACACAAGTACTAAAAATGTCACTATGTTTTTAATAACTTCTGCAAAAAGATTTAATTAAAATACACTTTGAAAGTGATACATACGGTACTTAAACTGCATGGACACTTTGAATGGTAATACAGTTGGTATTTATAGTATGTAGTAGGCAGTACCCATACATGCCTTTTTTATAACGACCTAGGTATATGTACTAAACATTTTGCTGTCTTAGTCACTCGAAATTGTACATATTTCTACCGACGCATTACATCACAAAATATTTTTATATAAAATTATAAACAACATAAAATTGAAGTAGAGAATAAAATTGCAATTAGTTATGGTTTGGGAAAAAATATTTTTATGAACTTTTAAAATATCAAATTTAAAATTGAAGAAGTCCTTAAAAGTAATAAATTGAATTTATGAATGTTGATCGGAGATATTTAAATGTCGGTAGGTTTATATAAATTAAAAACTGCGAAAATTGAAATTTTACTGCAATAAAATATTGTTTCTTATAAAATTGTTTCGATTTCTTCAAATTTATTGATTTCGTCCAATGGTTTTAAATAAAAGGTAAATTTCTGTATACCGTCCATTCTATTAATTATTAATGGTCCTACGAACAAAACCCAAAAACTCCTCCATAACGGATAGGGGATATAAAGGACGACGCTACAGGACGAAACAGAACATAAAACGGAATGAGGTAAATGATGAAATCTCTTAAATGAAAAATAAAACATTAAATATTGATCGCGAGTTGGAGTCACGAGTCAGACATAATAACTTTCCCTTTTGTAGTTGATTTAACGCTTTGAATAAAATTAACTGTTACGCAATTTAAATAAATTTATTCTGGATTCAGGATCGACCCTAGCAATGCTAATGTAATGAGTGATGCACATTATACGAGTGATAACTACAGACGCTTCTGAATTAAATCCAAACTGCCGTTTAAAAAATAATTGAACGATCCGACATGCGTGATTTTTTCCATATGCAAATATCGCCTCAAGATGAAAAAAATAACGGAGGTATTTTTGGAACTTGAATTCATGGTGTTATCGTTTCCTTATTCGGTTTTGGATATTAATTTTCTACATTTCTTCTTCTTGATAAGAAATAGGACAGAAAAATTCGTATACAAGAGGAACGGTAGAAGACCAAAATATGCAATTTCAAATCCTGAACCTCACAGATAAAATAATTGAGGTAGCCATGAAAGCAGGAAAAACCAAAATCGCTATCCCAGCACCGGAAGAAATAACAGAAGATACAAGAAGGAAAATAATGGAGATAACCGCATACATGTTGACTGCTATGTAGCAAAGATAATTCAAAATGGTGTTGAAAAAAGTTAGTTTTAATGTCAACTATTGCTCTATTCCCTTACAAATAATATATAAGAAAAGTTGTATTAATTACCGGTGTGAAGTTAGCAGTAACTTTTAGCAGTAAAAATAACCGAAAACACCCGATCGGGAAAACAGTGGCGTCCAGCATACAACTATTTTTATAATCTTGTCAATATGTATTTTACACATTAATATCGACAAATAAATAATATGCTGTTCAAAATAACCCTTAAAATTGATAAAAATATTTATTCTATGAAGGAAATCAGATCGCAATTTAATTTTATATTTAAAAAATCATAAATACACTAACGTACGCTATAGGTACGTTGAACAGGGTAAAATTACCCCATAACATTCATAAAATAATTTAAAAAATCAATAGTAGACTTACTAACATACAGTTTAAGCAAAAATCCCTTTGGACTAGTTAGGCAGGCTAAAATAAACCATTAAAAATTTGAAAATAGTTACTCTATGAATGCGATACATTTTCTACTTACTTTTACATTAAACAATAATAAATGAATTAAACAATAAAGGATGAAAGCAAAAATTCTTTCATACTCGTCTAACAAGGTGAAATTAACTTTTAAAATTAAAAATAAATACTTAACCTAGGAAGGGTATCAAATTTCAACTTATGTGACACTTATGATTAAAAATAAGTATTTACCCCATGAAGTGAAAATCCCTTTCTTTTACAATCAAACTAATAAATTTAATGTAAGCGAAAATCCCGGTGGACCCGTCGAAGAGGGCGAAATTAACCCTTAAAAACTTCAAAAAATAATTATCCTATTCATACTTGCTCTTGCATTCAAATACATTCACCAAAGTACATTATAAACTAAAACTAACCCTTCAACTTTAAAATAAATAATAACCCAATGAAAACGAGCAGATCCCAACTTGGTTTTACATTTAAAAAATCACAAATACACTCACCAAAGTACACTCTAGGCAAAAATCCCTTCCGACCCGTCAAAAAGATGAAATTAACCCTTAATCTTCAAAATAAATAATAACCCCATGAAGACGATCAGCTCCCAACTTGGTTTTACATTAAAAAAGTCATAAATACACTCATCAAAGTTGTAAGCAAAAATCCCTTCCGACCCGTCAAACAGGGTGAAATTAACCCTTAAACTTTAAAATAAATAATTACCCTATGAAGACGATTAAATCCCAACTTGATTTTAAATTTAAATAATCATAAATACACTCACCAAAATACACTGCAAGCCAAAATCCCTTCAGACCCGTCAAACAGGGTAAAATTAACCCTTAAACTTCAAAATAAATAATAACCCAATGAAGACGATCAGATCCCAACTTGGTTTTACATTAAAAAAATCATAAATACACTCATCAAAGCACATTGTAAGCAAAAATCCCTTCCGACCCGTCAAACAGGGTGAAATTAACTCTTTAACTTTAAAATAAATAATTACCCTATGAATACGATTAAATCCCAACTGATCGTCTTTATTGGGTAATTATTTATTTTGAAGTTTAAGGATTCATTTCACCCTGTTTAACAGGTCCTAAGGGATTTTAGTTTACAAGGTACTTTGATGAGAGTATTTATGATTTTTTAAATTTAAAATCAAGTTGGGATTTAATCGGGTTCATAGGGTAATTATTTATTTTAAAGTTGGAATCTGATCGTCAACCATTAAAATAGATGTATGCCGAACGCCACTGTTTTCCCGAGCTAAAAGTTACTGCTAACTTCACACCGGTATATCAATTGCCCACCATTTTGTTAAGTAAACAAAAATTAATTATTTTTTTTTTGTGGTTGACACGTTAAATTATAAAACCTGATCACCTTATAATTTTAATCTCAATAAATTGGTTCACCTTATAATTTTGATCTCAATAAATTGGTCCAATATTCAGGATGCACCAAATATTGAAAGGCTTATCGTGAAAGGCAATATTAATTTGGAAACTTACTTTATTTCTGGGAAATTTGCTTTGATATTTTCCAATCGTTTTTCAACCTCAGGTTCCCGTGGTCGTAGAATTTCTACCCTCTTTAGTTATATGAACTTTATTTTAATGTTTACGGTAAATACTTTTTAGCTAATTAGAAAAGTATCGTAAAACCTTGTACGTAATAAAAGGCGAGAATATCAGCTCACTTTGAAAAAGTTATAGAACTTTTAATTTTACTGAAAATTAAGTTTTGGGTTAATTAAAATTTAAAACAGTAGCAATTTTTATTGATTGAGTATTCTCAAAGACTTTGATAAAGTTGTTGTATTTAATACAGTATTTCAAACAGTAAGGACATACAATTTTATAAATACGTATATACACGATGACAAATAAAAAAATAAGTATTCAATGAACAATTTTTTTTCATACGTCAATGACCTGATATTTTGCTACTACTTTTATGATGTTAAAGATTGACTTTTTTGACATGGTGTTCCTGTTTTACTGAGAGAGAATCTAAAAGTAGTTATTAAGCTCTATTGATAGCGAAATTTTTAATAATAAGTTTTTTATACCTACCTGGCGTGTGATGAAAAAATAATATTTTATCGCCAACCGTCGATAGAGCCATAGCGATTTTTTGACCTATTTGTAAGGACGATCGATCTTAATTATTCGAGCTGCTGTCCGTAATAATTATTATTACACCCTGTAGTATACATTAATCAAGCCGACAAGCTCAATATATAAAGAACTAACTAAAAATCGTTAACGCGTGACTCACCACATTTATTTGTGAACATTAATCATTGCAATTATTTGTGCCGACAAGAAATAATATATAAAAATGATTTCTCTAAAGTTAAATATGTCACCATTTAACCCTAGAATTCTAAGAATAATGCTGATACCTTAGACACTCAGTTGCATGTAGTATCCGATTTCAACACTTGTTTCTTAATATTATTTTTTGTAACTTTATATGAAAATTATTTTTTTGAAAAAGACTGCATTGTGAAAAGTTATTTAGTGACAGTGAATTATGTCAGTTTACTGCAAAAACTACAGGATGTAAAAGCAGAGATATGGAAACATTGTATTTTTGGGTAATCAATGGTAAAACCCATTCACGATCATTTTTTTTTTATTATAAATGTAAAATTGTTTTGATATCCCTGTCCCTGGAAAAATAAACTTTAGAATTGAAGGAAGGTTTTTAAAATTTTTTATTATTTTTTCTATGTTAAAAATCTACAACTACGATCTGTATTACAAGAATAATGAATGTATAATGATAATGATGTTAAAAGTGAAAAAACTAGATAAAATGAATAAAATCCTAATCATCGGTTTCCTAGAAATTAGTAACTCGGATAACGCCAACATCTGCAGGATCTGTCTAGGGCTGATATAATTCTAATTAATAGGAGATGATGCGTTTACATTAAACAGGAAAAATCGATATTTTTTTTTCTCCTCCTTTTTCATTTTTTCCTTTAGTAGCTAAAGTAATATTATTGAAAATTACAACAGTTTTAATAATTTAAAAATGACCAAGTCATCCTTGGTCAACTTAGTGTCTTAGTGTCAAGATGAGTTTTCAAAAGAGAGCCATCTTGGATACCACATCACTTAAAAAATAGAGAGAGAGATCTCGTCGAAATTTGAAAACTCGGAATTATATTTTTTAGTTCTAATTAAAAATTATTAACAAGAGAACATTTTACATTTCCAGCTACTCATTTTTATTAGTTTTTATTTGGATTTCATTTTTACCTTTTAACTTTTTATTTATTTATATATTTCATGTATTTGTTCATAAGACATTGTATCTTTGACACATATATTCTATATATTGACCATGTTTGACCACCTATTGACCATGTTTGACCACCTATTGACCATGTTTGACCACACACTAACTTTTTTGGAAACCTAAATATTTAAAAAAATATTAATGGCCGAGTGCCCGTTGCCCCCCCCCCCCAGAAGTTAATATTTTTTAAAACTGACTGATTAACCAATTTTTGACCACGTTTGACCACCCCTTAGATTTTTTTAACACACCTTAAAATAATTTAAAGGTGGTCAAACGGAAATTCATAATTTCAAACGTTTTTTGGTTCCTATTGTTCCTTTCTGACCATTGATCTATCTTTCAAAGTTAAAATTCATCCCAGAACTTTTGTTTCTTTATAATTTACCCCCTTTAAATTATTTTAAGGGGTGTTTTAAAAAATAGTAACTTCGGGGGCCAGCGGGCATTCGGCCATTATTATTTTTTTAAATATTTATGTTTTTGAGGGTGGTCAAAAAAAGTTAGTGGGTGGTCAAGCATGGTCAATAGGTGGTCAAACGTATGCCGCTTCTAAAACTAAAATTTCGAATTTTGGGGGCCAGCTTCACAGAGCTGGGGCGAATAAATGCAATGATTAATGTTAATATATGAATGTGGTGAGTCACGTTTTGTTTTTGTTCTGGGCTAATTTATTTATCGAGGCACTTGAGAAAGAACAGCTATATTGATCCTGCACCTTTTAACCAACATTTATATTATTATTTTTGCTACATAGGTACTTTTTTTGTGAATCTTTTGTATAAACATTATTATTTTATTTTTTAAGTACATACAGTTATTCTCTCTTGGATGTTGGTTTAATAAAGACATATTATTATTAACATTAAAACGTTTACCTGGCGTATCATCCTGATTTATTGAAAAAGTGTTATCTCTTGTTCGATGTGATCTTATTATAAAGTATCAGTTTTACTACTAATAATATGTTCTTTTTAGGGAAGAAAACAGATGACTATCCCTACCGGTCGAGGCAATATGGAAGAAACGCCACCACCAACATCAACCCTACGCAGTCGTCGTCGTCTGGCCAACTGCCTCATTTGCCTATCAATATTATTCATAATTTGCTGGTGTCCGTACATAGTGACTCAATTTTGCGAGGAGTTCATGGCTCCTGGACTTACCCCAGAATTAGTTAAGCGACTTACCCTATTTATGGGACATATGCACTCGGCGTTGGGACCACTACTTTACTGGAGCATGAATCACAAATGGCCGAAATGTTCGTGTGGCAGAATCCGAAATTTGACCATTTATCATAGTGCATCATCTACCAACGAAGCTGCCCTGGGACCTTTCAATCCTCATTTGGTCAGACCCCCTCCTTATCGCCGCAGGTCTTCCATTTTTCTATATTAAACTTTGTGATCCCTGCTTGTCTGAGTAACTGACTCAGGAAGTCCAAATATCTATCATCTGTTTTACTCTCCAAAGTCTAAGCCACAAATTGTTTAAAATGGAATTTAAATTTTATAGAAAGTTATAAATGTGTGATAGAAAAAGGCTGATATTAGAACTTTAAATGAATGTTGATTTTTCTACTCTTTCCCTGTATCTATATCTTCAACTTTCTGAATCTTCTCAAATTCTTCATATTACTGTGAATTGAATGTCAATGTCACTATCTAACCGTTTAATCGTTTAAATGTTCAATCACAAAAACAATGTAATGACGTCAATGGAGTGTTATGTGTTCGATGTTGTTATCTGACAATTAATAATTAATTGATTCTACTCATTAACTGTTCATTTGGGTTTGAGCATATTCAGAAATAAGTGTTAAATGGAACTTCCCCTTCAATGTGGATCAAATTTCTTATAAGAATCTAGATATATTTAGGAGACTATTTTCTAAAGGTAAGTTTTACAAGAATACAAACTTACAATGGCTACATCTCATGAATTAAAGATGTTTAAAATAGTTCTAGGATACAAAGGAAGAGCTTAAAATATAGAACTCACTACTAAACCCCTATGAGCTACAATGTTTACTCAAAACAAATATATTTTTATGCAAAATAATTATACAAAATACGCTACAACTCGACATTTACAAATATGAGATCAAAATATAACAACAAATATATAAAATATCAACTTGCCAACTTTAGTACTTGGGGCACATATAACAACCCTTGGGTAACTATTAAAATCGCGATTTAAAATGCAAAACCCAACTTTTAACCTTTTACTATCGAGATCCTGAGCCTTTGGTCGGAGTTTCCATATTGTAGAGCCGCTCTGGGAATCGGCTACAAGGAGGGTCTCCTACAGAAAGAATCCTGCCCTGTGAAAAAATCCCTGGGCGTCTTCTCAAGATTACCTTTAACAATTTTCCATAGTTTATTGTTAATAAACTAATGTTTAATAATAATAAATAAATAAATAATAAATTTAATGAAAAATAGAAAAAATTATCTTCACGGGAGGATTCTAACCCAGCTCTCCGTGTTCTACGCACACTTCTCTTACCACCTGATCAGGGACATGATCACTGACTTCCCAATTGTTAAGATGAATATAAGATTTCGAATACAACCTCCTTTTTTTTACTGAAAATTTTCAATCCTTAAACAAACTACTGAACAGCATAGTCTAGGAAAAACATAGCGGCATCCCAAAGAACTTAAGTAAGTAGATCATAGAATCGATACGCTTGGATACGCTTTGGATACAAAAAACAAGATATGAACAGAACGAGACAGAAAAAAGACATAATAATATCGCACATCCGGTGCAACAACGTCATAAGTGCAAAAATATTAGAAAGTTACTTTTTAGTCACAAAATACGCCTAATAAGCTTCTACATCTGGTACAGCAATGTGGTAAATAAAACATAAATAATAAATGAGCAATTATTCAATCATTTGACTTTTAATACATTTCAGTTTATGACGAGCAAAACTTTCAAATGGGGCCCTTGTAAAAATAGATTTTTGCATTTACGACATTGTTGCATCGGATGTACGATATAACACACATTAATATTTTTAATGTCTCTATATCAAATAGTAGTCTAGGAGCACAAATAAATTATTTTTTGTTTTACTTTTCTGATGTCATCTTTAATCCATGAGATATAACCATTGAACGTTTTTAAATTGTCACCCCGTATACAACTATAATAGTTTCTCGAGGAACTATTTGGGAACGCGAGACCGAGACAAGAGACAGATGCAAGCGACCGCGTAAGGCGACCGAAAACGGTCACATATAATTAAATGAAGCACATATGAGACAGCGCGATCGATACAAGAGACGCGACAGCACTTTTAACACAACAGTTTTGATGCGTTGCTGCCAGTCGCTGTCGCTTGCATCAGTCTCGCGTTCCCAAATTGTAGCTTTAATGATACATATAATACAATTAGTTGTAGCATATATCAGTTGCAAAATATTTTTTCACAAATATTCATTCTTTTATAACACAGTGTTTATTGAAAACCAAATGACTATCGGTATTAAAATTGTGTATCTCTGTCCCAGATAGCACACGACGTCCATCGGACATCCATATTTTTTCCAAATAATGACCTGGATGTCCAATCGATATCCTTTTTGCGTTATTACAATGGATATACCCATTCAGGAAGTTCCAATGGATGTCCAAAAAATATCAATGATGGATACTATAAAAATAACAAACTTGACTTTACTAGAAATTTTTGCGGATTAATATTAGTAGAAAATTTTTTAAAATTGAAAAAATTCTGCTCTGGGCGGAGCTCGAACTCGCGACCTCTGGATCTAAATATTATGTTTCAGAAATAACAGATAAAAGAAATGTTAAGTAAGTTCAACATTGGACATTCATTCCCATTAACGTGTGCTATCTGGGGTACTTCCTTAAATTTAATTTTTCTGCAAAATTTCAAGACTGATATCCACATCGACGCCCAACAACTAAAATTTTATACATTTTCCGATGTATAATTCTTCGAAAACAAGACGATTTACTTTATTTAAAAATATCACTTTGTTTGTTTTTTTAAGTACATAGTGCACGTCAAATGACATGACAAGACAATCGCGCATATCGGACGACAGTACCAGAACGCCTTGGTTGCATACGATTGAATGAATGGACGAAGATTCTTAAAAGGCATAGATATCATTAGATAAATTTTAAGTAAGTAAGTTGGCGAGTTTTTTACACATCAACTTAGCATCTGAGTTTAAATCTTTGTTTGTATTCAGCAGCTTACGTCTATCTTCTTTATACTAAAATGATTTTAAACGAAAAGCAATCAAAATGTCTACCGGTATTTAAAATGTTTTGAAAGGTAAAACTTCTGGCTTCAAAATCAAATTTAAAAAACCAGTGCATAAGAAAGAAAGTTGTTTTTTCTTATTCATATTTTGTAAAATTACAATTTTCTTGTCTCCTCGGTAGTTATAAAATTCTATAAGATAATTTCAGTTATTATTATCGTAAATACAATAATCTATTTTTATAATAATTTTCTTTTTTTTTAGGGGTTATGGAAGATATTTTCTCATGAAGGTTTTATTTATTTTTGTAATTATCTATTGTAAGTGTAATATGTTAAATCTTGCTGTCAAATCAACTTATGTACTGACAATAAATGTTGATGAAACGGAGAAAAGTTTTATTTTACATATAAAAAACATAATAGTATTTTATATGTATAAAAACAGAACCAAATTTTGAAAAAGTAGGTCCACAGTAATCCGGAATTAACCTCAAAATAGAAATGAAAAATGAACTTAAAAGTGGGGTAGGTACTACCCAGAGATAACAGGAGATGTAGCTGTAGCTACCTACTAACAAATATCGTGCGGTCCTAAATAAGACATATTCTAAGGGACACAGGAGGGTACACTATTCGCTGTTGTCATATGCCTATTTTATTATTCCCGTTTTGTTTACAAAATTATTTACATATATTAAAAAGGCTACAGTAATTCAACCTATTTTATTGCAAATGAACCCAAAAACTTTTGATTAATGGTGAGTTGGAAGTGGCAACAGGGCTTACACCGGCATGGATATCTACGTTATTTATTATAAGCGCACATTGCCCACGCCCTGGCTTACACATTTATTCATTGATAAAATAAAGTTGTATCTGCGTAAAATCCTTCTCTTTATCCCCTTTCTTACTTCTCACCTTTCGTTTCCTCGCCGTGGACCAACAAATGGAGCGTATTGATTGTCGAATTAATTTTAGCATCGTGAATATTATTTTATCAATAAATGGTTATATCTCTTATATCTGGTACTACCTAAGGTTTTCAGGGTTATATTTAATAACATAGTTGTACGGAATAGGTCTGGCAGGTTTCGATCCAGTTTACAGGATGGGAACTTACTCGACTGGGGCCTTATACATTTGTGTGTGTAAGCGTGTGTTTCGTTTCCATGGTTTCTATTAAAATAAACAGTCATAACATATCGATACCTTTTTGCCAGACTAACGTAAGCGACATTTGTTCAAATGGCACTTATGATAGTCTGGCAAAAAGGTATTGATATACTCTATACTTTATAAAATATTTGTTACATTATTTTTTTAATATATTATGAATATATAACAACTGTGACTTTCTTTGTAATTTGTCACAAAATGATACGAGGTATTTTCTAAACGTAGCAATTGTAGTTTATTCTTCTGTACCTTACAAAAATATAATTTATAGAAAAAGAGTTTGGTGTATTATTTTTCCAAGTTTAAATATTTAATAATCAATAGAATTTTTAATTTTTTTTAGCCAAATTTACAAGAGTAATAAAAACTATGTTCACAGCTTATTGGAAGCTTTTATATATTTTAATATACAGTGAAACAATAGTTTTTGTTTCTCCTGTAAATTTGTATAGAAAAACTATTTCTGAATCCATGTTTGAATTTCCCGCCTTAAAGCTTTTTTAATTTCAGCTATTTACTATAGTGGCGCCATCATATGCCGCGTTTGAGAATCCACATCGGATGCATCTGAGATGTAGTAAATCTTTGATCACGTGATTCAGTATACATAAATTGCCGCGTTTGAGAATCCACATCGAATGCATTTTTTACATCTCAAGCGTTTTTTATCCACATAGGACACATCTGTCCCATTACATTTACGTATACTGAATCACGTGATCAAAGATTTACTACATCTCAGATGCATCCGATGTGGATTCTCAAACGCGGCAGATGTAATGGGACAGATGTGTCCGATGTGGATAAAAAAACGCTCGAGATGTAAAAAATGCATCCGATGTGGCAATGGACTCGTTGTGGTTACAATCGCCCAAACAACTTTTACCGAACAAAAAAAATACATTGAGTTACACGTCTCGCTGGGTTGTCTCTGCTTCTATTAATCTTTAATCAGTTTAACTGTCACTAGCAAAGATTTTTTCGGTGTGATATTTAACTAATTAAAGTAATAATATTGTTTTTGAATAACAAATTGATTATTATTAAATTATCAAAACATGCTTTAACCATTAAACATGTTTCTTTTAGTTTTTAATTTTTTTTTAATTTTGTGGTGAAATAAATTCTATTGGGGAAGAGACCCCAGGCGGCAGAAACATACGCTACATCACTGGTAGAGTGATATTTTAATCATATTCAATTATTTTACCAGACTTTTAAAACAATAACTTTTAAATATAAGTAATGTGCAGGGAAAATATCTCCCAGTCTGTGGGATACAATTTAAAAACTATATTTTTGATAAAAGTTGTTTTACTAAGGTGATATATAATTAGAAATATTTACAATGCGTACAAAAACGAATATACACCATTTATTAAAAATATCCTAAAAAATAAATATGTTATTAATAATACTATTTGAAATTTTGAGAAAAATTGGTACACAGTTTTAAATTCTAATATGGAAGGTAGAGAAGAATTCCGGTGCCCTTGTAATTACATGCTCGAATTCCATATACGAGAGTTTCCCATCGCCATCGACGTCTGCTTCTTCAATCACTTTTTCCGCAATTTGTTGTCTATCTTCGGGAGTCAATTCTTCAGTATTTCTTGTGAGCAGAAGTAACGCTTGGTCAATATCCTCTGGTCCGATGTGTTGGTCACTATCGAAATCTGAAACAATTTTTTTTAAACAAATGTGATCTAAAAGAAAGTATTTTAAAAGAATGTGTTTTAAAAGGAAGCATTTTAAAATAAAGTATTTTAAAAGAAAGTATTTTTAAAGAGAGTATTTTAAAAAAAAGTAGTCAAAGAAAGTATTTTAAAAGAAAGTATTTTTATTAGAATTATTTTAAAAGAAAGTATTCTTAAGAGTAGGTATAGAGTATTAATAAAAATAGTTTGTTGTCGTGTCTAGGTAAGTAGTATTCCAATAACGCATAAATAAACAACAAACAATTTTGATACACTGTTTCAGTTTTGCACCATAAACTATGATCAAATATGGAAGCGATTGATGCAAATGGAGAACATTTTATAACACTGGAAAAGTTTAGTTAACTCATTTTTTGCTGATAGGTGTATCTTATGACACCAAAAACGTTTACTCAGTATAATTTTATAAAAAATCCAAAATTATAAAAAAAAGATATCCTTGAGTGTAAATATCTCAAAAACTTTATGTGTTCCCAACAATGAGAGTACATGATTTATGTAAAAACATCAAAAAATGTAAAAGTATAGTTCAAATAGGTTTTTGGACAGTAGCGTAACATTTAGAGGGGATGAAGGTGTTACATAGTCGTGCCGTACGCCACTATAGCAAAGTTTATTTATTTGATGGTTTTGCTGATAGGTGTATCTTATGACAACAAAAATGGTTACCTAATTTAATAAAATTATACTGAGAAATAATATAATTAAAGCCATTAATAATTACTTCAGTCCCATTCTTAATGAAACCTTGTATATCCGCAGTAACAAACTGCAATATTTGTAACTGATTTATTGAGAATTAGTCCAAGCGGTGGGTAAAGAATAAGGAGGTCTATTCGCAAAATGTCGGAAAGAAATGAAATTTGGTGGGATGGTAGACATGGATCCCCTGATACTACACCTAAGTTTGCGACCTCGGGGGGTTGCCGCTAGAGGGGTGGAGGAATGAAAACTCTGCGACGCGTTTCGGGAAATAGCGCCGTTTTGGTAAGTGCTATCAAAAAGAGTTCAATTAAAATATGTACAGGACAAAATTGTGCACAGTTTTTACTTCTACATTTTTTTGTCTGCGACCAATAGTTTCTGCTCTACGACGCGCCAAAGTAGGGGGTTAATTTGCAATGTTCAACAAAATGAGAATTTCATCGCGGATTAAAAGATCTCTATGAAACAATTTTGTAATATTTTTTTAAAGAGTAATGATTTCTGAGTCTGAAGATGCCTGATTTGATACATTTGGTCGTATACAATAAATGATATGATGTTTTGAAGAGCGTCCCTATATATTCCGGTATAAACATTTTGTAATTATCAGTATCTACGGTCAATATTTGCTTATTATTGTTGACCTAGGCGCCAAATTTAGGTGTAGTATCAGGAGACCCATGTATACCATCCCACCAAATATCACCACCCATCGCTTGGACTAAATATACTTGGATGACTTTTATATTTTCGTGACTTATACGTAAACCAAAGCTATGAATACTCTACCAACCAATATAAATGTTATCGTACAAAACATAACAAAATAAATATTACTTAACACATTAAGGAAAAAAAAATTGGTAAAGAAGTCATTGTAGCCAAATTTTTACCAACATAAAAGAACTTTTAACTTCCCACACTATGTTCCATAGAAAAATCTATGTTCAAAGTAATCTATGTTATAACGTAGATTTACGAAGAGGTTGTTAGAAAAAAATGGTCTGTTATAAAATAATATTATATAATACAGGATGTCCGGAAATTGGACGGTCATATTTTAACAGCGTGATCTCCATCCTAAAATAGATGTAAAAGTTCAAATAAACATAGGTCAGAAAATGTTTCGTTTTCGTGATACAGGGTGTTACAAGCGAGATACAACGAAAGTATTATAAAAAAAATATTGGTTTTCCAAATTTTGTAGTCAGAAATGTTAAAAACACTTAGGATAATTTAACCCTAAGCCCCTCCCCTAATTTACCCACCTATGAAGTTGATCAAAAACTGGCTTTAGTCCATTAAATAGAGCATAAAAAGTTTAGCATTTGTAACAAATTTCATTTATTAGTTATCTTTAAATGTTTAGAAAATATTTACAAAAATGTGTCATCAGGACTTCACTTTTAACACCCTGTATCTCGAAAACAAAACGTTTTCGGACCTATATTTATATAATCTTTTACTTCTATTTTAGGATGTAGATTACGCTGTTAAAACAAGACCGTCTAATTTCGGAACACCCTGTATTTCAACTAGTCATTCTGTACAATTTTATAGATTCTACCTCTCTTTTAGTCGTAAAGTGACACGCTTGTGTAAAACTGAAACAAATAGTTACCTACCATAGATTCTAAAGGCATAAAAAACTTTTATATCTCTGGGAGCTTGTTCACTGAAAACCGAAAGCAGATCCAAAAAATCCTCAAAGGATAAATTGCCTTTGCCGTCTCGGGAGAATACTTCGCATATTCGTGTCTTGAAAGGATTTTCCTAAAAAATACTGCAGATAATACAAGACTTATATAATTGATTCTAACAAATTGAGGCAAACTTTTGAGTTTTCTTGCTGTCTATAGACTGATCATATTTCGATCTACGACAGATTCAGTAAATTAAATTAATCATCTTGATTTGCAGAACAAAAACCTCAACATTATAATTATATCGGTTACAAGCTTTATTGATTGACAAAGAGTGAGATACGAGTCATATCCGTGATAACTACGCACGGCGCACGGTTCTGAATTAAATCATAACTGACATACGTGAATTTTTCCAAGGCCTACTTGAGAAATATTTTTTGAGGATTACTCCTATTATTATAATGGATTCATCACAGCATACCAGAGACCAAGTAACAGTCGATACAGTGGATTTCCTCGGACGATTCCAAGCCCAAGTAGGTCGAGGTGGGTCAACAAAAGGAATTAATCAGAGATTCGACCGCATTTGGGTAAGAATGGTAAAATTCCATGAATTGGTTCCTTATCTAACATATTCTCCAGATTTGGTCACCTACGGCTAATATCTACTTTAAAACTTGAAGAAATTGCTTGGTGGTGAAATATGTGGGTCGAATGAGGAGGTCACTTTTGAAATCGTATTAATCGAAAGACATTGAAAAATTGGAAATCGTTTGTTGAAGTGTATCCAGCAACTATGTTGAGAAATAAATAGTTTTGCCAGTTACCTAAGCCGATTACTTTTCTGGTCACTCTGGTACCGTGCCATTTCCGTTTAAACTGGTAAAAAGAAAAATTTATGCTAGTTGACTGTTAATTCTACCAATACTCAGGTTTTGTTTGCTAAACGAGTTGAATCAATACCTATAACGATTCTACTTGATATTTATTTTTTCGCAATAATGAAAATTAAAATAAACAATGATTATTATCAGGATTATTTAAAAAAGTATAATTAATCACGTAGTTAATACCAACGCTTTGTTGAGATTAATGTAACAATATGTCTTTTTTTACTGCAGTGAAAAATGTGTAGAAATTGTTGCCCCAATTTCCAGAATACTCCGGATTTTCGAGGTATGTTGAGTTTACATGTAATTCCGGAATTTTTTCTATGCTGTCCTCCAACGGGATTCTTACGCTAATGGCTTCGTTTTTCTTCATTTGTTTCGGGACAATATCGGGACGAACTTCCCGAAACCTTTTGAAAACCCTAAAAAGAAAAAGTATTGTCTTTACAGGATATTAATACTCAATACAAAATATTAATCATGAAGTGAATTATGCATAATTATGTATTGGGAGTACATCTACATACAGTGGCGTAACTAGGTGGGGGCCAGGCGAAGCGCTTGCCCCTCCCGCCTCCCTTGCTAGGCGCCCCTTGCCGCATATACAAGGTGTTTCAGATTTAAACGGACACAGCTTAATGGGAGGTAGAGTACACTTAGCTGAGTTCAAAACACCCCTATACTTAACCTTTAATCTTACTCGTTTTTGAGATATAGGGTTATTTTGAGTTATTTTGATAAAATTTTGTACGAAAGTTACACTCTCTTAGGTTAATGAAAACCATAATTTAATTTTAAAAAATTCCAGGACCGGACTCTCTTTTTGTTATATTGCTTTTCTTAGCTAGAATATCACCCTGTATATTGGATTTTAATAAATGTTACTGCACATTTAAATAGTACATGGATCAACAAACGAAATAATGTTATAATATTTAATGGCACCATCTTGATGTTCTTACAATAAATTTTTATAATGGCGACTACATTATTATAAATCAGTATTTACAAAATTAAAATCAAATATTTTACCCTGTACTTTTAAAACTCTACACAAATTAGGTACCATCTTAATTTTTTTTAGCTGTGTCCGTTTAAATCTGAAACACCCTGTATACACAATAAACGTCTAGTCTCAAGAGAAGCTATTTTAAACTCTATTCTTAATTATGCTGTTCTAATAACATTGTAATCAGGTCTGATATGGTACTTTTTAAAGTAAAGTGATCTTAAGAATTTGGTTTGTATTTTCTCTAACTCTTGCAACATGGTCTTCTCCAAGCCATATAACTGAATCAAAATCTATTTTGAACGGATTAATAAAAGATATAAAATTATTAACAAATTAATATCAGAAAAGGGCTGCTTCATTAAAAATGATAATTTAGAATTGTATGTTACCCCTAGATCCTTAACTTGAAAGCATTTTTTTAATGACACACTATTCATTTGATAGTCAAATGCAATCGATTGCTTTTGCCGGGTAATAGTCATATCACAACATTTGTTAATGTTAAATTCCAATTTACATGTTTGATTCCATTCATATATAGCATTTATATCTTTTTGCAAATAAACGCAATGGCGTACTGTTTGAATTTGTTTGTAAACTTAAAAATCATCAGCAAAAAGTAAGCACCTTGAGTATTTAATCACTTTTGGCAAATCATAGACAAATAAAAGAAACAATAATGGGCCTAAATTGGAACCTTATGGCACTCCGGAAACAGCACGGAATCTGCTAGAAGAATTACCATTATGTCTTACCAAAAATTATCTATCTTTCAAATAATCTCTAATAAGCATTAATATATTATTTGTCAAACCAAATTGACTGATCTTTTCTAATAAAATATCATGATCTACCCGATCAAACGGGTTAGTAAAATATGCAAAACTTATTTGCGAAGTCAAAAAGGACATAATTATCTACCTACCAACATTTACTAAAAATATTCATTTTATAGATACGACCTCTTATCTTAGCAGGACAAACTTTTATGTTCCATTTAGGTTATGTAGTTACAAAATTATTTTTTTTTTAATTATAGGTGGGACCCTCAGAGGACAGAGGAATTTGGTACATAAATAAAAACAATTTTGACAAATGTTTTTCGGTGGATAGGTACCAGTGAGAACCATATTTAAAAGCAAGAACAGTTCTTATTTCAAGATTATCAATTTCTTCAATGAAACTATCCTATAATTCAACCAAAATCAATATATTTATGTCAAAGCCAATATTAACATTTCTTGGAACAGTTTATATTATTATTGTAACAAATTTAGTTGTATTGGATTTAAGAACAAGGTGTTATTGAATATAAATAAAGTATATTTAAAAAAGTAAATTTAACCCTAAGCCCCTTCCCTAATTTACCCACCTATGAAGATGATCAAAAACTGACGTTTAGTCCATTAAATAGAGCGTAAAGAGTTTAGCATTTGTGCCAAATTTCACTTATTTATCTTTAAAAGTTTAGAAAATATTTACAAAAATGTGTCATCAGGACTTCACTTTTAACCCCCTGTATATCGGAAACAAAACATTTTCGGATCTTAGTTTATATAAACTTTTACTCCTATTTTAGGATGTAGCCATTAAGAATGGGACACAGAACAACTAAAGCTTCTCTGATTAAAAATAAAACGATTAAACAAAACATGTTTAGATAAAATGTTATTGGTTTCCGAGGTGTTAAAGTTGAAAATTCAAAAATTATTAATGGCCATAAATTTTTTAGTATTGTTTTAGTAAATTCGGTAAACGTTGGTGTCATAGGAAACAACTATAAGCAAAAAATTACTTAAATAAACTGTACCAGTGGCGTACGGCACGGATAAAAAACACTTTCATTCCCTCTAAATTTTACGTCACTGTCCAAAAACTTATTTTTACATTTTTTGAAATTTGTTAAATAGTTCATGTACTCTTGTTGGGAATTCAAAACTATAAAATTAAAAAATAAATTAAAATTAAGGATATCCTCATTTGAGTGGGAATATCTCGAAAATCAATCACTTTATGGGTTCCCAACAAGAGTACATGGATTCTTTTAGAAAACATCAATAAATGTAAAATTATAGTTTTTGGACAGGGGCCTATAATTTAGAGGTGTTACTTATCCATGTCGTACGCCACTGGTAGAATTTATTCGACTGATTGTTTTGCTGATAGGTGTATCTTATGATATCAAAAGTTATTGCTATTAATAATTTTTGATTATTCTACTCTAACACCGTATATTTCGGAAACTACTAATATTTTATCTAAGCACGTTTCGTCTTATTTTTAATCAGAGAATTTTCAGTTATTCTGTGTCCCATTTTTAATGAAACACCTTGTATATTTGTCAGCAGAAGTATATTAAAGATGCGTAAATGACATAGCGACATCATACACCCAACACATTTAATTAAAATTAATTGATTTATTTAAACACAGTAAATAAACATGCCACATATTTTTAATCTCGAACCTTTCTAATTTAATTTTAAATATATACCTATACGCACCTTAAAATTTCCTTTCTAGTGAAAAATGTACAGTCCTGAATAAAAACAATTAAGAGCCGGTGATATATTATTAAAAATATTTCTCACCTGATAGTTTTCTAATTGTTGGTCCGTGAACGTCACTAATTTGTTCCCCATTGTGACTCATGTCGAAGAATGCTTTTTCCTTGACTACCCCAGACAGCTACCTCTGTTTCCATGGATATTAAGGTGTGCCAAATTGTAATTTATCAAAACTTTATCGATCGTGTGTGGAAAATTATTTATCTTTGTGTTATTAATTTATTCAGTCTATTTCAAACATCCTTCAGAAAGTAGTTTGAGTCTACGTACAAAGTACATCGACAAATAATGTCTTAATCGATTAACTATTATTTTATTTCATATTCAAAAATATACGTTGCTTTTATACAAAATGCCTACACCAAATGTATAACAAAAACATGCGTGTAAGAATATATTTGTACGATTGTCAGAAGGAAGGAGTTAGGAGTAGTTTATTGACACGAGTTCTACTGGGTACTCGGGCGATAAAGACAAATTTATGGAAGAAAGTATCAATGAGAAAATCGGTTTAGATCCGAAACTAAATGGAATTTTTGGAAAATAATGAAAATGAAATTCCCCCTACGAAATTTTGAAAATTATCCCCTCATATCTCCGAAGTGAAAACAAACCAACAAAAAATTGAAAAGCTGAGAATTAATAAAAGAAAAAATGACTGGATCGGCAGGGGATCGAATCTGAAACCTCAATACATCTTCATTTTCGGTATTTTCCAACAATTGTATTCAGAAATATGTTGAAAACTGTTCGAGTACTAGATGACCAGTAGAAAGTTGAAAAGTTTTACGTGGCGCATAATTTGATAATCAACTATTTCACTGATTCTCAGACGGTACATTATGAAGAAACCAGAACAAGCCTTTTATTTCACGTTTACGGCGTACCGTATCCGAAAACTTAACAACATTAAACGAATAAAGGATTTTAGCAATTTGTTCTAGTATATTATTTATTGTCCTTCTAAACGATGTCAAAAGGGCGATTTTAAGAAGAATTGAGGGAACTGATATTGAATAGGAATTTGTGTTTACCAATGAAAATCGGAAACTGATTGACTTTAAATTTGCAAATGCGGATATCAACAAGCAGTGGTCGGTGGCCCAAGATGCAATACTATGGTGCAATCCCCTTAGATATACGAGCCCTTCCCCACTGGCAACTACTGTTGCTTGTGGATAATGACAAGTTATGATATGACAACCCTGTAGGCCTGTAGTCTTTTACAGGGTCATTAATTAGAATCGGTTTACCAAAAATGTGTTTTAAAACCAATTTTCAGCCTTTGAATATAGTAAAAAAAAAATAATTACCTACATTTTTACTTCAAAGCATAAGTTATTTATTTAAAAAAAAAACAGATGATCAGTCTATATAACTATCTATATCATTGACTCTGTCAAATCACCAGGCCCACAGGGTTGCCATATCATAACCTGTCACCTGATTGTGGACTGGACAATTGCCGCGTTTGAATATCCACATCGGATGCATCAGTAAAGTAACGCGTAAAGTAAAGATACATGAAATTAATCATTTTATATTTTTTAATATTTTTCTGATCCGAATCTTAATAAACATCTTTTGTATTAAACATTTTGTTGTAGCTGTTATAATAAATGCGTTACAGAGAAAATAAGCACTCCCCTCTCCCTAATGAGAGTCAGGCTATGAGTGAAGTTATGCGCATGGCAGACGAAAACTGAACACGGGAGCATCCGGCCATGGGTAGTATTGGTGTGGAATTTACCTAATCACTTTAATTTAGCTTCAAAGTTTATGCGATTTGGTCGAGGTTTCGGTACTATATAGTTAAAATAAGTAGTATTGAAAATTAGTGAGGTACTTAAAGTTCAACAGTGTTCTTCCGAAATAAATTTGGACAAACAGGAAATAGGAAAACAGAAGCGTTGTCACCTTTCTAATGATGCCAAGGAAACAGTTCTAAACGTTTCTTCTGGTGAGTAATTATAATAATTATTCCCATAATATGAATCCTGGAAAAAAGCCTTGAAAAAAACGTGGAAAAAACATTTTGTGCATGTAACATTATTAGGCAGAGAGCTGGCGACACAAAGACTCAAAAGTCAAAATTCTGTTAATTACAGTTTCGATTGTTACCAATATAGCGAGAGGCAGGCAGTCAGAACTCACCCTGGAAGTATAAAGTAAGGGTAGGGGGTTAAACATGTAATTTTTTCGCAAAATAAGTGATAAAGTACAGCTCTGAAAATGTGTAGTATTATCGGAGATAGTATAAGAAAGTAGGGGAAAAATTGTCAGAAGTGTAGGTGGAAGAGGTGAAAGATGAAACATGGTTCGACACTCACGACATCATAAAAAAATGTTGAACTGATGGAAGTTTAAAATGTAATAGACACTCCTCCTAAAGGACCGATTCCACCGTTGTGTTAAACGAAGTTTAAAATGACATTTTTACATTAACAATGTAATTTTAATCTCCGTTTAACACAACGGTGGAATCGGCTTTAAGTCAAGTTTTAAATCACATTTTTACATTACCAATGACATTTTAATTTTCGCTTAGTGATTTAAACTTTGTTTAACACAACGGTGGAATCAGCCCTAATAGTTACTTGTAGTTGTGAAAAATAAGCCATTAATATGATGATATTTATTTTATTAATACATGCTTAAGATGTATTTTTATCGTTTTGTTCATTTTCTAAATAAAAACAATTCCAAAGTGGATTTTATTAAAGTTTATAAATTATGTAGTAAAGAAGAACAAATAATAATATACTTTTAGTTACCTTTCAGATTTCCTACTTTAATGGTGCAAGCCTGCCTAGGGTGAGTTATGCAGTAACAAGGCAGTAAATCATGAAAAATATAACTCACTCGAAAATTTTGTAGGTAATATCTACAATTTTTAGTAATATTTGTTGGAAGTTTAATGATCATTTTCAAAAAAAGTCTGCCTCCTTAAAGTAGGCTCTTTGAAAGCTAATCAAAAATATATCATTTATTTTTCTTCTTTCTCCCGTTGAAAATGCTACTCGATCAAATCTAAGTTCCCTTTTTTTGGTCGTCTGAATGCTCAGGTTCTCGCTGACGCCGGCTCTGAATTTATTTTCTGCTTCGAAAAAAGTTGGAGAATTTATTTTTATAAAGTTGGAGAATTCTGGTGAATTTTGATATGCGATTTTTAGAATTTTAAAGTTAGACTGTTGACAACACTGACATTGTCTACTTTTACTTTTGACATTTAAATATTGTAAACACAAATACATGCAAATACTTCTGTAAATAATGTCTGATAAAAAAGATTTCAAAAATTTTAGGCGAATACATAGAGCAAGAAGTGAACTTCTTCATACAAGTACTCCAGAATCAATCCGAAGCAGCTTTAGAAACGTAAGACCTTCATTTTTTTTTTAACCTAACCTCTAAATAAAAAATATTTTCCAGAGTTTTTATAGCCGATTAAAGACTAACCGCAGCAGGAGCGTCGACAGGTTCAGGCAGATTGTAGAAGACTATGGGCAATTGATAAGTTATAGATCAATTTCAGATTTGAGAAGAGTTCTAGAATCAGATCTGGAAGCTTCTACCCTAATGAGAGAATCTGAAGTCAACCATCTCTTGAATGAAATCGAACATGAATTAGCCCAAGTTAATCTACAGGACGAGGCGGCCCTACATGTAATACAAACACAAATTGAACAAGAAGAAATGCTTAACCGTCTTTTAATTACTTGTAAGATATGTCAAAATCAAAATACGGAAGGAATCATATGCCCAAATTGTGCTGTGGATTTACAGAATGATGAATATTCAAAATAATGTGTGTTCATAACAATGTTACCTTGAAATTTATGTTATTGTTGACAGAAGATCAATTTGGTAAATAGTCTAATTTGTCATACTTTTACAAAATGGAATATAATCATATTATTTAGATTTTTACAAGACTGAATATGTTTAATAGTTTTTACTGCAAATTTTTTTTAGTTAATACATATTTTTAGAGAAGATTGTATCTGAAAGTTTGAAAAATGTCAAATTATTTTAAATGATAATCCTATGACACATATCCATAATGCTGCATTATTAAAAGTTTTTTTTTACAACCCATACATGATATAAAAGAACAGAAGAAATTGTGATCCTGGTGCCTTAAATTATTCTTTTTTTCTCACTGGTATCAAATTTTATTCAGAAATAATAAATTTTGCAGATATTGAACATTTGTATGTAGGTAATGCGTATTTTAAATTAATTATTCAAAACTTCAGATACAATTTAAATTAGACTATTTCAACCAATTTTTTAAATTCCTGTAGATCTTTTAAGTAGTTAGTCTGAGTACCTAATTATATTGTGATTGTCATAAAAATTGAAACATCTGTTACTTGTTTTTTTTCTGACAGTATAATTTTGATGATAAGCAGTTTTCAAAATTATATTCTTCCAAGTTTAAATTAAATGTTGACCTGTCATGACCAAATGATTGTAATTGATGTACCATTAGAAATATAAAAATGTGTGAAAAATGTATGGGCAAATACTTAAAACAGTATAATTTATAATATCTCAACACATTTTTGTTTCAATTTTTATTGAGTGCAGAATGTACTGTTATGTGATATTAAAAATAAAGGTGTTTTTTTATAAAAAAAATTGTTTTATTTTCAATAACACGGTGGCTGCCAACTAAGAGTTAGCTCGTGGTTGTCTTCTATGCAATTTTTCACCAGACATTATTTGATTTCTGGTGAGAAAATTGATTTTAGAGCTACTTGGCTATCAGATTAGAATGCAATAGTTTTCCTCGATACTTACTTGCTGATTTATTATTTTCTTTTCATAGTGTTGTATGGTTATTAGTTTGGCTTAGAACACTGTTGCGTTGGGGTCCAAAGATTCAAGCACCTACTCCTTCCGTTGTTTTTGAACCGTCTACCAAACGAGTTTTGCATATATGGGGGGTGTCAATTCTCAGACGTATTTGAAAATTTATTTAAAATTTGTATGTAAATAATACAGCATTTTGGTGTATTATACAGCATTTTTAAAGCCTGTCCAGCAGTGTAATACATAATTTACTGAAACAACAAATAAGGCTAACAAAAAAAAGTTCTCTGCATGACTTTATACTTCTCTGGTTTTGTATTTTATCTTTGGGGGGCTAAAAAAAGGTCTTCAGTGTCCAGCATTGGGTTAAAAGAAATGTGGCGTCATAGAATAAAGTATACAGGCTGAACACTAGGTAACTGAAAAATATGAGTACCTTTACATCAGTGTGTAAAATTTTGTTTAATAAAGTTATGCTGAGCGTTTTTTGGCCTAAAAGTTTTTTTTTAAATATCTTAATTGAATTTTGTTGTGTTTATATGATGAATAGTTAAACATACGATACACAAATTGTTTTCATTATAAACTTATTTTAACAATCTAAAGTTTATCGATTTTTATCTAATTAGTTCCATGAAACAATTGTTGAAGCATTCAGTAACTCATTTATTAATTGTAATTGAAGACCTAATAGATGTAATAAATGTATCATAAAATTAATTATATTGAATTCACAGGATTGATAACTGTATCGAAACTATAGGTATTATTAGTAAATAGAAGCATTAAGATAATAAGTTAAGAATGCTTTCCATTGAATCATTTTTATACATTGCCCAACAAAATCTAAATAATATAAAGAATAGTTCTTTTGTGACATTTCTATTTCAAATTAAAAATGCTTTTTTATTTTTGTATAAATAAATTGATTGTTATTTTCACTTTAAAGTCTAGGAACTTAAAAATTTACTAACTAATGCAATATTGGCCATCGAGTATCTTCCAAAAACCCTTGGCGCAGGTGTGTGTGAGCTACAGAGAGCCGGCACTGGATCAAGCAGGAAAGGAACAATGCCAGCCTGGCCACCGTTTCAACGTGGTCGATTCGTATAAATCACAACGTTGAAACCATTCTTTTTTCGCTCGCTCTCTATAGCTTTCACTCGGCTTCCCGTACATGCCGGTGTCAGGCCGAGCGAATGCCAACTATTTGTGGTTTACTGGGTAGATCTCCTCCGAAAAGATGGCACACCCTACGCTATATCTCGTACTCGTTGTTATAACGCCTACCCGTTGTGATATGCAACTAAGTTTGTTCGGACGTACGCCGACTTTCATTGAAATGGTCATCTTTCCAACTACTAACTGCGCTATGCCTGGCTTGACTGCAGATATCGATATACAATAAGTGAACCTGCTAGGCCGGGCCGCTGCCCCTCAAGCATATGACTTAAATAAATATATATAGTGGCTAAAATACGGGTAATTGATATTTTATTTTGCAGAAGACAAAATAATACCTATAGTGAACTGTCAGAAAAACAAATGCATAATTTTTATGTATGTATAAAGCTGTTTAATAGAGTTGCATGCCTGTGAAACTTTATTTGCCAATGAAAATAAGGATCTATTATAACTTTATGGTTTGATCGACCGAAATATGAAAAATTAATTGAATTGTCAAAGGAGTCATGTATACAAAATGATTTATTTGTCAATAATACATCAGCATTAACGTATTCCAACATTGGAACTAAATAGGAAATGTTTTTTTGTATTAATGATTTTTTTAGAGAACAATTATTCAATTTCATAATTAATGTCTGTTTAAAAAATGCACTTCTTTATGGTTGAGCAGTATATCATAGGTAGGATTTGTTCAGGCAGTAACTAGGAGCTGAGAGTAACATTTTGCTATTGTATTCTTTGAGTGCTAGATTTAAAAATTTATTTTGCTTCCAGTGAAAAATGAGGTAATTTTATAAAATTTTTTTTGTAACAATATTAAGACTACTAAAAGTAAGTTTTCTGAACAACATACAAGATGTTTTAATTTTTTTTATTAAGTAGGAACTTTCTATAAAATTGGTTATAGGGAATATATTTCATTGAAGATCGGACAATATCGGTGTTTATTTTTAGTGTATCTATACAAAAATATTTTTCGGAATGCCACTAAACGCGATATTAATTTTAAAAATGTCCCTCAATATGCAAAACATTTTTGCCTTAATACTTTTATTTAAATTTAATTTAATTTTAATTTAAAAAAATCGATTTCGCACACCCTGCTAGATGAATTCTAGCGTACTGTTCTTTTACTCTATTAGATAATAGTTCTCTTGCTGAATCCAAGAATGTTCATGGACGCTTTATCGCGACATTCTGCATGTTCAGTTGGTCTGCCTTTTCCTTGCGGAGTTTTCATCATCATTGCCTGGCACTCACTCTAGATCAGCGTTACTCAAAGTGTGGTCCGCGGAGCCCTTGGGCTCCGCGAAGAAAATAAGCAGTACCTGTCGCTACAAGGGGACTTGGCTTGAGGATCTATTGTTATTGTTTTAGAAGGAGTTTTGGGACCTTCTTTTTTTTTTAGAAGTTAGAAAGAGGAAGGAGGTATATGATTTGGCATTTTCGGCTGGAGGTCCTTTTTTTTAGAGGTCACGAAGAGGAAGGCGTATATGATTTTGAGAAGTTTGTTGCAGGGGCTCCGCAAAGAAACGGGAGGGACCTAGCAAGAGGCTAGAGCAAGGAGGGCTTTTCTTTCCGAAAAGTATTTAGGGCTCCGTCAAATATTTCACTTTTCAAAAAGGTTCCGTCATCAAAAAAGTTTGAGAACCACTGCTCTAGATTGATCTTGTTTTTCTGCTAGAAACTTAAAAGAAAGTTGGCAATGTATTACTGTCTTGGATTATATCTTTCCAATTTCATTTCGTTGGAAGCTGTCTTGATGTCCGACATGATCAGGCTGTTAGGCTTGGATTAGATTAACATATTTCCAATCTATTACTTCAGACTGATTGCCTGTGTTCTTACGGCTTTTAACTCTTACAAAAAGCATTCCTATAGGAGACATCTTTTGTGGTCCCATTTAAATTGCTGATAAGAAATTAACGATACAGATTCCTGAACACATTATATGAGACACCGACACCATCGCTCCCTCTAACTAGCGTTTAGAAGTTTTAGAATAACGCGTTGATGCTAGTTGATAGATAACACCTTAAAGGGTTAATTACCAAGATACAGGATGTTAAAAGTTTTAAATCAAAAATCGCCATAAATCAAAAACGCCTTTAAATATTTTTTTTTTAATTTAATATACCAAGATCTTGTCAATGTTGCCAATAAACAGTGATGATGGCCTATAATATGAAAACGCTTTGCTAAATGACTAATAAACAAATTGCTTGAAATATTAGTTTCTCATACTTCTGTGGCAAACACACACATGAAAGTTTTAGATAGATTAGCATTTGATTATTTCAGTGACTCAAAGATCCCCGATCCTGAGACTTTGTTTGAAAACAACCCCAGTCCTTCCACTTCGTCTTCTGAATCATCATCAGTGTCTTCTGATGGCGGGCCCAGAAAACGGGTATCAACATGGGACCATCTGTGCTATCTTCTAGACTTGATTACTTTGTGCCAAAAATTGCTGAGAAAACACCGCACCAGCGTCACCGAATCCATCAAATATTTTGCTGAGCTGCAGGAGAAGTATGAAACTCTTGAACAAGAATTTGTTAAATTCGAAGAAACTGTCATGGAACTGATTGACAATGAGATCTATTATGAGATGGAAAAGGAGGACGCCTAAAAAATATAGCTTAGTTTTATCAGTAACGTTAAAAAAATTGCTTAGACATTAAAATAGCTGGCGGTACGTTTTTTAATAACACAAAAAATGTAGTTTTCAAGATATTTTTATTTGACAAATTTTTTATAGATAAATACATATAATCTTCCGACTCTTCGGAAGTATATTTTGTCCATAGATATACAGTTTGAGTCATACCGTTGCCTTGAAAATATCTTTTTTTTTCAATTTCTAACACGAAAACCACCAATCGCAAAACTGACGTCAGTGTTTACTTTCATTGGTATTTTAAATGGTAGGGTATTGGTCTGATATCTGGATAAGATAAGTTACATAAATACTTTAAAAAGATTTTCGTTCATTTATGTATAAACAGCTCTTTTCTATAACGGGCTAAAGAGAACATTTTCAACGCACGCATGAAGTTGAACGGTAACAAACTATTGGTGCATTTGCGATTTCTTGAAAACTGGAATGTTGTATTAAAAATGTACCAACTATATAATTTTGGAAAATATACACTGGACCAATTATTTCCATATTAAAATTAATATTTATGCATAAATCCAAATATGTTACAACATACACTTTTTTCACTAATTTTTTGTATACTGGGTGTTAAGGATAACAGCCGCATTATTTTAACAGGTGAATGATGGAGCAAAAAAGACATATAGCTAGTAGGATCTGTAAGTTTCTGAACTCTGAGAGCATAAATTAGCATAACTGCTTACCTGCCCAAATTGTTTTGAAGAAGATACATGTGTATTGATAATTTTATGCGTTCCTATTTTAATCATTTCTATACAAGACTTTTTTGCACTTTATTGTATCCTTAATCACCTATTAATGGTTGTAATCCCGAACACCTTATATGTAGGTTTTTGCTTTAGAAATTCTTAATTTGAATAAAAATGCTACAGTGGTCCATGTATTTGTCTTCTTAGTTCGAATTTGTTATGGTTAGCATTAAAATCTTACGCCTTTATATGAATTTAAGACTGATATTTAATGAAATGCTTTATTGTTTAATATAATCTTTAGTAATTTAATAAATGTTTAAAAATAATTGATTGTATATTATTTTCTATATTATTACAAAGAATATGCTAATTTTTTTACAAGGATGAAGCATTTTTTTACTTCCCTCGATAAGAGGAACATTTAAGGTAATAATATCTAAATATAACATCCTATCAAAAAATCAATTTGGATTTAGAAAAAATGCTTCAACTGAAGATGCGATACTATTATTAACCAAGAAAATACACTTAGCTATGGATTCTAGTGAAGCTTGTTTGGGTGTTTTCCTTGATCTTTCAAAGGCTTCTGACACTGTAAGTCATTCATTACTTATACAAACTTTGGAGGATATTGGTATTAGGGGTAGTTGTTTAGAAATATTTCGTAGTTACTTAAATAATAATAATAATAAATGTAATTAGTGACCAGCTTACAGTCCAATATGGTGTTCCGCAGGGTAGCGTTCTAGGACCTATCCTTTTTAATTTATATGTGAATGATCTTTTCTCTTTGCAATATGTTGGTGATGTCATTGGCTTTGCAGATGACACTGTTATTTTATATACAGCACGAAACTGGAACTAAAATTCACAAATAGTTAAACTCGAAACTTTTAATTTTGACAAAACATGCTGTATTCCCTTCTGTTGTAATGTATATACTATTCCAAATTTCAAGGAGATTACGGTATACTTAAACAATAAAATACACAAAATTAAATTATATGAAAAAGTTAAGTACTTGGGCATCTATCTAGATACATGTTAATTATGTTTGTAAAAAAATGCGATGTCTATTGTCAAAATTTAAAAAATTATCAAATACATTAACAATAACCCAGTTGCGAATCCTGTACTATGGACTTATAGATAGCCATATAAGATATGGAGTAATTGTAAGGGGAGGAACGCTTAAGAAGCTTATTTATCCCCTACAGATATTACAAAAACAATTTCTGAGAATAATCTACAGAAAAGATGTTATTTACCCATCAGAAGAACTTTTCTCCGATTTCAAAGACGTCAATTATATTTCCTAAAACTTAATACTAAATATTATGTCAAAAATCAATACAATTTAAATACCGTTATGAGACGCGCTGCAAACATTTTCATGCTGTACCATCTATGTAGAAATCTATAGGACAGCGGTCCTATATGTACTTGGCTCCAAAAATATTCAATACACTTCCTCAAAACATAACAAACTCTCCAAGTCTATTGACTTTCAAAAAAAAATTAAACACATATATTTGAACTTGGCAGAATGTTTATTGCAAACTTCATTGAAATTTAGGGATTTTATTTTATAATTATATATTATTGTGTTCCAATTTAAATATTGTCTACTGTCTAGTCTGTCTGTATCTAATAAATTAATATTTCAGAGTAAAGAGACATTGTTTTATATTATTACATAGTTTTTATTAATTTTTTACCTGCAACAAGTTGCGACTTTGCAGAATTTTGTAGTTTATTGATCAGCTTTTATTTTATTTTGTTGTATAATTTTATATGTATGAATAAACTCTTATTATTATTATTATTAATATGAAAAGCAATTAAGTTAAATTTTAACTTGCATGATTAACATATTAGTTCATGTGTTCCCGCAAAAATCTTTTCCATAAGCAGAAATAACATAAATGTGTTAATTTTGAGCATTAAATCTTGGAACCTATTAATGTTCAAAATCATAAAATGTATTGACTTAATTACCACTAGAATGTGTTAACTGGAAATTGGGACATTTAAAATATAATAATCAGATTTTGGTTTACCTTTCAAACATTTAGAAATGTATAAAATAATTGTAATGTATTTGCAAAAAAAACTTTATTAGATAGAAATCACATAAGTATATATTAATTTTTATTAATAAGGACTAAACATCCAGTGATAACAAAACTCTTATGATTACATAAGACATTTTAAAAAACGAACAAAGAACTAGGCAATAAATTGAATGTACCCATCATGGTCAGTGATAAACTCTAGCTAGGACTTTCGCATGGTCAACATTGTATTTATCTCCCAAATAATGCGTCTTAAATGATCTATAACTTCCTTTAGTTGTTTATTTTTCAAAACAACCTGTTCCATAACCTCTTTGCTTTCTTCACAAGCCAATCTATAAGCCTCGGAATTCTTCTTTTCATCATGCTTGGGGTCTATTTCATCTTTAAAAGGAATCAGGCTTTCGATATGTGTGTATTCCATTCCTTGTAGCTGACAATTTTCATTGCATTTTTCATAGATTAGACGTAGTCTTTTGAAAAGGACTCGAATTGTGCGCAGAAGTTCTTGAACTTTGGCCTTTTTTTCGTTGCTGGCATTTAGAGACTGTGGAGTGCCATTTGGAGGCTGAAATTCAGAACAGAACTTTTATCTTAATGTATCAAAAATAAGATATTTTAAGTAATTGAAATTATTTTTGATAAAATATCTAAACCTGGAATATTTTCTTGCACCAGCTATTTAGTTAACCTTGAGAAATGAAGTTTTTCCTGAAATGTGGAAACATAGTTTTTCAACCCCAATTTTTAAATCTGGGCACAAAGAAGATGAAAAGAATTATAAAAGTGTGTGCATTCAGTCCTCTTCACCCAAAAATTTTGATAGTTTCATTTATGATCAACTTATTTTTTACTACAAGGAATTATTGATAAATAACCAACACAGACTTTGTCAGAAAAAATCAACAACTATCAATTTGTTAAAAAATATTAAATGTCTTAGAAACCTAAGGGCAACTGGATATTGTCTCTACAAACTTCTCCAAGGCATATGATAAAGTGGACCATGTAATTTTAGTGAAAAAAACTTGGTAAATTGGTTTAAGAGCTTTTTGGAAGGTAGCTCACCACCATTATCTAATATATTCATTAATGACATAATTTATTGTTTTAAAAATTATGAATTATTAATCCAAAATGCTTGATAATTTGGTGAAAAGGTGTGACAAGAATAACTTACTAAACAATTGACTGATGGTGCCATTTGACTTATCTCGTACTGCTAATAAGGCACCCATCAAATCCTATAATAAACCATGCAAATTAAATGTCCCCATGGTCTGCTGGTCGTAGTATTTGTAAACTTTATTGTTTTATTCTAACCTTATTATAGCATTTTAACATTTCTTATCTTGGTCATAGTATTTTAAACTTTACCATATTGGTTTATTTTTAATATGCATTCAATTGAATTATTATATTTAATTTTTGTAATGTGGTTAATCCCGTAAATAAATAATCAAACTTCAATCAATCTACATTTAAGATACACACCTGAATTTGCTTCAAAGTCTGAAACACCTCTTGAGTTCTGCTAACAATATCTTGGACAGTCTCTTGCCCTAATCGGCATAGAGAAGCTGTATTGAATTCTTTGGATTGTTGTTGTTGCTGCTGTTGTTGCACTGGAACTGATGGGGGAGTAGGTGTAACCCCAGGAGTTTGTTGAGGCATTTCATGATGATTTAAGGCTGGAGTAAATTCTAAAAAATTGTGGGGCTCAAAGAAAAAGTAGTAAAAGTAACTTTTGCATTTCATGTTGTATTTGATAGTGTTTTTTGCTTGGGTATATAACATTTAAAAATACTATGTCAAATTGGAAAATCATTAGTTTTATTATTTAGTATAATTGATTAAATTTAATATGATGTGACCAGTTATAATGTAATAGGTATAATTATTTTACAATGGTTTGTAAATACAAGGCAAGCATACATACATGGTAATTGTAATAGTAACAGAATCATGTTTGCACTGTAATCTGTCATTAACTTTATAGTTTTTTTAAATAATGTATTTACCCATTGGTCTCTGTTGCATAGGCATCTGAGTAGGAGCTTGATGGGGTGCCATCTGGGCCCCATTCATTGGACTATTCATACTATAATGTTGATTCATGCCTAGCATAGGCGATCCTCCATTCATGCTAGGATTCATTTGACTGCCCATAGCTCCGTTCATTGGATTAGTCATTTGAGGTACCATTGGATTGCCCATGGGGTTAGAAAGCTGGACAGGCATCTGCGTAGGCATTGTATTCTGCATACTGCCTGGAGCCATCTGAGTTTGCATAGGATTCGGTCCAAAGGAACTCCTCATGCCTAAAATATTATAACACTTATCGTAACCAAATTACTATTGTATTTTGTTGTTCATTCCTACCCATTTGTGGCGGATTACTCAAATTCTGCATAAAATGGTTGGGTGGAGCTGCCATTTTGAATTTTAAACTTTAAAAAAAGTAATTGTTATTTATGGTTCTTACGGCTTCTGGTTTAACATCTAAGTATTTGGATACGCCGTAAAATAAGACTACTCCAAAGCAACCATAGATAATAAACAGCTCTATTGTTTCGTTTTCACTGTTGATGTTATTCACTTCAGTGGCTAATGTTTCGGCCAAGACAAATACTGAATTAAGATCTATCATTTAGAAAGATTCTCTTTTGAACTTAATTTTAAATTATAATTTTTCTATAACTCCTTTTGTAATATTTAGGTTAATGGAAATAAAAACAAATAACTCATTGACGTTAACCGTTGACAGTTGACATTTATTCTTCTTTTTTTAGGGGAAATATGACCTAATTTGACCAATGATCTGGCAGAGAGTAGAATGCTAATGTGCATGTTGTAATAGAACTAGATGCGTCTCTATGGGCGCAGCCATTTTTATTGTTAATCTCACTCGAGAGTATTTATAAAAACCATTTTCTGTTTCACATTGTTATTGTCCAGTCCACAATCTGGTGGATCAGACAATAACAATGTGAAATAGAAAATAGTTATTATAAATACTTCCAAGTCAGATGAAAAATAATATGGCAGCGCCCATAGAGTCGCATCTCAAATGTATTTCTATCCCACTCCAGGTCAGGGATTCTTATAGGCGAGTTCGGTCAGTCAGGGGCTGGAGCGGGACAAATTATAGGGTGCTTTTAAATGACATTTAAGCGTGTTAAACTGTCACTAATCGGACTAAACCGAACGCTAAAAGAGTCGTTAGGAGTTAAAAGTGTTAAAGGAGTTAAAGGAACGTGGCAAACCGAACGCAATGTATGTCTTATGTGCGTACTTACGAATTGAATAGAGAGAGAGAGACATTACATCTGAATCGCATTCTGTGGAACGGAGATAGTCGACTCAACACGTGCCGAATAGAAAGATGAGAATCCCAATGTAGTTCATTGTAATTGACTCGACTTTTGGAACAAGAGTGGCTAAAATGTTACAATTGAACGCAAGAACAAATTTACAACACTTTTTGGTCGGAACGTGATTTCTGAACGCTCTCGAGGATTCTACAAAAAAAACGTGTCTAATCACGTGTTCGTGTCAAGTCAAAATGTCAACTGTCGCTGAGGCTGTCAGTCAGCTGTCACATCAGAAGTTATCTGAAAAGATTTTTTTGGAAAATTTATAAAATAATTATTTGTTCATAACTTAAAGGATTTGCAAAACTACTTTTTACCTAAGAATATTAATGGGTTTGTGCAGTTCAAGCTGAATTAATTTTAAAATTTTGACTTCCACATTGACACAAAAGGTTAGAAGATAATTTATGAGTTTCGAATATTTCAGGCTCTGAAGCATAAATCTTACGTTTTACATTCTTTAAATAAATAGTTTATAGATTATTGCTAATTTATAGCGTATTAAATGCATTGTGATTATTGTTACATTGGATTTAATGTAGGACAAAGTATAAATTAAATTAAAGTTGTGTAATATTAAACAATGATTGTCTATTTACTTTTAGGTTATTTCCATTAATAAAATAGGAAGAGACATGAACAAGCAACAAAATCTACGTACACCAAAACGTACTCCAATTACTGATGATTATGAGATAACAAAACAGGTATTAGGCTTAGGAATAAATGGGAAAGTTGTGGAATGCTTCAGTAAACAAAACAAAGAAAAATATGCTTTAAAAGTAAGTAAATAAGAGAATTATGGGTTAAGTTTTAACATGTAATTAAGTTAATTTTATTAAGCAAGAACTATTAGTCAATAAGAATTTTATCTTTTAATCTTATACATTCTGTGACATTGACCTTGAACATAATTAACATTGTTATTAGATTTGTAATAGAAAAAGGGCTTTCACAGAGAGCCTTTTATTTATTATATCACTACAGTGAATGTCTTAAGACTAACTCATCGATATTTGTAAAACAGAATATTTATTTATCCTTTTATCAGCAGTTTCACTTTTAAAAGACAGCTTTCTTTGAATATTATGTATATACCTATAGGGTGTAGTCTGTCATCAATTTTAAAATGTTTGACAGATTCATTATTAGAATGTCATATTCAAAAACTATGTGTCATATATTTAAAAAATATATTACTCCTTTAAATATTAACCTATTTTAATGTCTACATGTATTTCAATAACACCCTGTATCAGGGTTGGCAGGTACAGGTTTTTTTGCACCTAGGTTTTTTTAAAAACCTAAGAGTCAAAAATCTACAATTTTAGGTTTTTTAAGATAATTATTAAGAATTCAAAATTTTACTAATCAACTCTCAGGAAAAAGGGTGCAAAAATGAATGTATATAAAAACATGCAAACATTTCATCACAGGTTATAATTACTTCTTCTTGATATTGATATTAATGATAGTGACAATAATTTTTGACATATTATGAACTAAAAACCTTATAAAACCTAAAAATACCTAAATAACCTAAAAACCTACTTATATATATTTGAATTCTTAGGTTTTTTCCATTCCTGCCCTGTATATCACAATGACATGTCTTTTTTAACTTCTTAATGTTTTGTAGATATTAGTGGACAGTGTAAAAGCCAGAAGAGAAGTTGATCTACATTGGAGAGCCAGTGGATGTCGCCATATTGTGAATATAATAGATGTTTATGAAAATAAGTATAATCATGGTACATGTCTGTTAGTTGTGATGGAATGGTATGTTTTTAGTCTACAATTTTAAATACAAATGTTTACTAATTATTAATGATCAGATTTTACTAATCATTAATGCTTCACTTGGGGTATTTATTAATAAAAAAATTATTAATTCTATTTTAGTATGGAAGGTGGTGAATTGTTTCAAAGAATACAAGACAGGCCAGATGGAGCTTTTACAGAAAGAGGTAAGTCATTTTTACTAAATATAAAGTAGGTACTATATTTATATTGGTTTAATATTCTAGTATATGATTCAGTGAAATAATATGGTATTTTATTTCTGACTCCAATTTTGTAAATAATTCTTAAATGTACCCTTATAATTTCATTGTTAAAATAAAAATATAAATCATAGTGAGTGTTGAATGTTCTAGCACGCCACTGGAGGCACCTATACGAATTAAGAAAATATGTGCAAGCGAGACATGTTAAAAAATTGGCTTCTTACTTCAAGTTTACGTTTGTTAATAAAAAGTATAATGTATAATAAAAGTTTTGTTATGTGTTAAAATATATAAAATAGAGTTCACTGAAATCAATTTAAAATAAAAGCAGTTTTATTAATAAATATTTTGGTTGCTTCACACATTTAGGGATGTGCTTTGATGTATAATGTACCAGTGAAAATCAACTTGCTTGCATGTATTATTGTATTGTATATTTTAGATGTTCATAGTGAGAGTGTCAGTACTAACCTAATTACCAAGTATATCTAATAGTCATTTGAATAGTGGCAAGAAAGGGAACAAATTTTAAAAGAAAAGAGTTCTCTAAAGTAATCAATATTTGAGTAGCATGTTATTATTAAGTTTTAGTCTTTAAGACTGTCTGAATATTTAATTAGGTGGAAACCTGTCACTCAATGAAAAGTATTATTCATGCAGTGCCCTCTCAATTATGTAAATAGTGTTAAAGATTATATCTTATTCTAATATTTTCTAGTATGGGAAGGTTAAATGAGTAAAAATATATAAGTTTAGTGGTTTGGGGCTGAAAACTTGCATGCAGAGCGAACTCAAAGCTGCATTTTTAGGCACTTCTGTATTGATCATGTATATGGAACTTACAGGATTAGAAGGGAAACTGGTTTGGAAATTTGTTTGTAATGTATTTAATAATATAATATATATTTTTCTTAACTTTCTCCATGTAATTTAGAATTTGAATAATTGAATCCTTTATAAATTTATTATACAGTTCTTAAGGTTATAAAAGGTGTTCTTTAGAGTATACTCTTTAAAACAAACAAGGCGTTTCATATAATTGAGATCTAACTTCACTTTGCAATCACAAAAAAATATATTCATAGGATCTTAATATTCCACTATATTCAAATTTATATTTTAATTTCATTGTTGAGTTTATTTTTTAAATTTATTTTTGTCACTTATTTACACGTTTTTATTGCGTTTTTTTAAAAATAGATATTATTTAAAGTTTCCTTGAACTAATTATTTACAATTAATTATGTAAGTATATAAATATTTGGTTCTGAAGCTCACTTAAGTCTCTTAAAAATAAATATTTAAAACCCCTTCATAAACAGATTACAATAATAAAATGATTACATAATCTATGCCTACTGTATATATAGACTGTATTTATTATTCTAACAATCTTTATTTTAGATGCAATGGTAAAAAAGTTGTACAATTTAACACTCATTTAATGTCAATAAAAAAAATATTAAAGGTTCCCGATTTTATTTTATAGTCGTATTAATTGTTGTTTTACACATAATTGGTTGAATTATAACAAGTTTAAATCCGACGTTTCGTATTTGCAGTAGCCGTTTAGGAGGAGAAGAATTACGAGAACACCTACCGACCCTCAAATTAATATATAGTTCAGTGCGCACACCGGAATTTTATGTTCTAAAAAAATATACTCGTTAAATAATATAATAAATATGAAAATGTTAGCCGACTCTTAGTACAAATATAATTTTAGAAGTAAATCTCTATACTTTAAGATCATATAGTACAGATATAATTGATTTAAGGTTACTATTTAATTGTTTTGTTTTATATTGTAGAAGCTGCCCAAGTAATGCATGAAATATGTATAGCAGTTAAATACTTACATGATAACGACATCGCTCACAGAGACTTAAAGCCTGAAAATTTGTTGTATTCAAAAAAAGGAAATTTCGGTGTACTTAAATTAACTGACTTTGGATTTGCTAAGGAGACTTTAATTAAAGATACACTTCAAACCCCATGTTATACACCTTATTATGTTGGTAAGTACAAGTGCGGTAATAATTCAATAAATTTTAATATTAAGTAAAATTTAAGTACTACGAAATTTTTGAGATATTTAAAATATATGGACAATAAGTTTGAACTATGTGAACTGTGTATACCGAAATTATTTTCTTTATATACTGATTTCTCGAAATCTTAGTAAAGTGCTTTGTTGTATTCAGGATGAAGTGTTTAATTTAAAAATTAGAATTATAAAATTAGTCACATTTGTGCAGGTTTTGGCAAGATGACTTTAAAATGGCCCTTTCTTCTTGTTTCATCCCACCTTTTCTTTAATTTCACAAAGGGGTGTTCTTAGTCTTAGTCTAAAAAGTATTTGGTTGGCTGCCTACTTGGCTAGAGTAGTGCTTGTCTGCTGTCTGTATAGATGAGCATTTGCCTTCCGCTTTGAACTACATTGGCACAATTGCCCACAGCCCGTTTTAAGTTCAGGTTTAAGGGTCTGGAGTATATCTCACATCCTGAATCTTGTTTTCTTTTAGAACCATCAGTGTACAACAAAAATTTAATGTGATTTTTGCAAATAATGTATAAAAAATATAATTTCTATAAAAATAATGATCTTTTTTAGCTCCTGAAGTATTAGGTCCCGAAAAATATGACAAAAGCTGTGATATATGGTCTTTAGGTGTAATTATGTATATACTGTAAGTACTTAATTAAATTCGTAAGAAAATTATCTATATTTGAATTATATATTTTAGGTTATGTGGATTTCCTCCTTTTTACAGCAACCACGGTCTTGCTATTTCTCCTGGTATGAAAAAACGGATTCGAATGGGCCAGTACACATTTCCCAATCCCGAATGGCAAAATGTAAGCCAAGGTGCTAAAGATCTTATTAGTGGTATGCTCAATGTTGATCCTACTGAAAGGTTTACCATAGATCAGGTCATGAGCAACAATTGGATCGCGGTAAGTGTTCTTATTCTGGCATCTATTATTGTGTATATAGGAATTAAGGAAATACCAAAAATTCACATTCTCTTCTAAATTTCGAATTTTGAAACAACAATAAAAAAAATAAAATATAGATATATAACAGAACAATATAATAAAACGATAAGTTGTTTTAAAATTAAGTAACTACATAAAATAAAATACAGTTAATTTATTAGTGTTATTAGATTTGCATAATATTTTTCAGTTATTTTTTACATACAGTGGCTCACACTATGCTGGTTATTTGATTTACAGAGTTCTCTTTCCTAGAATTTGGTGTATCTAAATTTTAAAAATATTTGAAATAGTTTCGTTTACAGTTTTGTCATTTTTTTAAGAGAATTCAGTGACTTCCGAAGGAATTCCAGGAGTTTTTAATGCTTGGGACGCTACTCTTATTATTTTTACCATGCATTTATTTCTATATACTTAATCATTTCTGGATTTACAGTATTGCTACCATTTGCCTATCCAATTTTTTAAATTCCCTATGTCTGTACTAATGTCATATATTTGTGTCTCATCTACTTTTCCATTTGTATTTCTTCTATTTCGTTTATTTTCTCTTTGAATTTATCTACATACGTAAATTTCGACGTTAATAAAGCATCTTCCCACGTCAACATAGCCACAAGCTATCCTTATTCTGATGTTTTGAAAGATAAGTCCTCTCCAGTCATTCTCATTCATCCATAGAATGCTAATCAGAATGTTAAACAGACAAAATCCGTCATTCTACTTAATATTAACCCATCTGAAGCCAATCTACACCTGTCTAAAGTTAAACAAATAAAAGATGGTGGTATTTTGATAAGCTGCAAATCAAAATGGGACAATAAAAAACTGAAGAAGATAGTTGAGCAGACAATGTCGAATTCTTACAAAGTAAGAGAAATTGGTGGCATTCATCCCAGAATACGCGTCGGAGGTATGACAGAAAGTTTCTCAGCTGATGATCTTCAAAATTTTTTGCTTACTTGTAATTCTGATATCTTTTATCGTGATTCTGAGTGCAGAATAATTAAAATATTTCCAACGAAAAAACCCAGATATTTATCAGGCTATTATTCAGGTTGTATATGTACATAGTTGTATTATATTATTTTCTCTAGCTTTTATTGTGTCTTCTGGTTCCAACGTTAAATTATTATTTTGTTTCTAAGATTTAAGAAATATTATGTAAAAATACATAATAAAATATAATAATTTGCACTCTTATAGTTTAATAAAACAAAATGTTATCTTTTAGGTATGTACCGCCGTACCCCAGACACCTTTGCACACGAACAAAATGTTGAAAGAAAGTGTTGAAATCTGGCCAGAAGTACAAGAAGAAATGACCCGATCGTTAGCGACAATGCGAGTGGACTATGACCAAGTACAAATCAAAACTTTGGAAAATTCAAACAATCCACTCTTGAATAAAAGACGTAAAAAGGTTGCCATTTCAGATAAATAATGTCTTTCTGATATGATCTTAATTTAATTTATATTTTCTTTGAAAAATTCGTTAAAGTAGTTTAAGAGCATTTAAAAAAGTTCGCTTCTTTAAAAGTTTTAGTTGACATAATTCCATGTACTTATCATTTCGGCTATACTGCAGTGATGGCTGCTCAGGTTACACTGCATGTTCAAATTTAAATATCCATTGGAATATAACAAAATGGCTGAATTGTCCTAGTTAATTTTTTTGTTTTACTACTGCGTGTGAAGACTTAGGTGGGACCTCGATAGATATTTTTACTGTGCAGTTCTTTGCCCCAATTCATGAAGTAAGATCTTAAATAATATTTATAAGAAACTACTTACGTACATGGGCCAGTCGACGTCAAAATCTCCTAGCCTTCGCAGAACAATCCTTTTCATCTTCAGGGAGAAATTGCAAATGTTAAGTATGACCAAAAAATGATGGATTAGCCAGTACATGTAATTATGTCAATATCCAAAAGCAACAGTAACTAGAATTATGCTAAAAAGACTTAATAATTAAAAAATATTGATTTTACATCAATCTAATTTGTTAATATTTCAGTTTTTACTGAAATGTAAAATGTTAATATGTGAATATAATGAAAAAGGTTTAGTTAATCGTGAAAATATTTTTTTTACAATTATAAACTCATAATTATTAGCATCACTTTATTATTATAGGTATTGTGTTAAAATATAATTTTTAAGGTGCTTTTTTTGCAAGCATCTATTATTATTAAACATTTTTTTCTTTTTCAGTTTATAGTCATGAATACTATTTTCTGTTACATGATTAAAGTTATGTATTATGTCAAACTTACATATTCATATATTTTTATGTCTGATTTAGGTCAAAATTTATCCGTTCCATTGTACAAAAATGGAAAAAACTAGAAGACAATAAAAAGGGTTTTTATAAATTACAGAACTTCAATATTTATTCACTTGTTACATGCATTAATTTTTAATTATGCATTTTTCATAATTTTGATATCTGGAAAAAATGATATGTAAATAAGTGCGAAAGTTTTGGGGGGTGGTTGCAAAACCGTATATAAAAACCGTATGCGTAGACCAAAAGTTAAATCAACTGGTTTCCGTATATATAATATTTAAAAATCTAATTTTTGGTCAAATTAAAGATAAAGGTCTGATAAATGTATTATTTTCAATAAAAACCAATCAATTAAAATATTCTTTCTGATCTAATTTCAACCTTTACCTACGATGTGGTGGTTCACTCAGGATATTGCATATTTTCCAAAATCAGTCGATATGAAATTTATAAGTAATTTTCTTTGGAATGCTATGTCAAAAATGTCTGATAAATTAATTCATTGTCTATTTAAATACAATGTTTTAACTAAATATGTTTGTTGGTATACGGGGAAGATGATACTGACTACTCACGAAATATACAATAGGAAAGTAACATTCTGCTGAATTATTTTCTATTATTAAATAGATTTCCAAATAGGGAAGGATGGGGCAGATTTGGACACTTTTTTTCAATAGCAAATATTTTCCCAATTTTCAAATATTTAGGACTTATGAATGCACTGAGCGATAGCTATATACATCTTGATCCTAAACATTGTTATCGAAAATATTAACATACGAGTATAAAGCAAACAAAAAAATATTTCTGTATGTATGCATTTGACCAATTGTGCCTCACCATGGGGAAGATTTAGACCGAGGTGGGGTACATTTGGACAATAGTATTTTTACTTTATTTAAATTTTAAACAACTGAACCTATGAATATTTATTTTTTAAGTTAACTAACAAATAAACTTATTATTGGATGTTATATTGCAAAAATGAAACATTGAATTTTGTGTAAGATGCTTGTCTGGACTTTCCTTTGTTTTCTGGAGGTTGAGGAAGTTTCGTCAAGATGTCAGCCCTAGGTATTGTGCTGATGTCATTTTGAATAGGATAGTAAAATCCACAGTTTGGTTTGAATCGTAAAAATTTAACTATTAGTTCATTGTAATGGTCGTCTAGCTCTTGTACTTGGCCCACAAAGTGAACAATAGTTTTCTTTGTTGCAAATTTTACCAACACAAAGTCGCCCACGGTAACATCTTCATCATTTACTAGATCATTAATGTCCTCATATTCGTTTTGTAAATCTAAGTCCTGAGCTATAATTAATTAGACATTAGAAGTTGCTTCAAAATTTGACGAGAAACTTGAATAAGATGACTTTTTCCTTAGTTTTTTTTTTATTGTCTTCTCTCGGACAGTTTTTACTTTTTTTAATTTCACAAAGTTTTCTTTTTACAATGTTGGCTCGTTTTCCCTTTCTCTGTAACCTCTATTATGTCCTTTTCTGGTGTATTAGTATCTTCCCTTCTTTCTAGATCGTCTGCTATTCTGTGTTGGCCGTAGTGTGGGAAAAGGTCGAATCTCGTTCAAATCTACAAGTTTTGAAGGTTCTGTTCTAGAAACTTTATTGATAACATTTGTTAACACATCTTGCATTAACTGAGTTATAAATTCTACGGTGTCTACTTCCTCTAAAACTAAATTTTCTGGATTATGGGTAAGATCTAAGTCGTTGGTGCCATATTCCTCAGAAGCTACATTGACCCTAGTGGTACGCAATTATTATCAGCTCGTGAACTTGTGGAGGGTCCCTAGCTGAGAACTCCAGCAAAATCAGAGTCATCAAAATTAGGAACACCAATGTATACCTTTATGAAAGTGACTAACTTTACAATGTCAATGGAGTGGGATATTTGAATTTACCAAATGTGCCCCATGTACAAATCTGCCTCGCCCTACCCTAGTTACTTATACATTTAAGCACCCTTGCCATAGGATGATACTATCTAAAACTAATTTTTATTATTATTACAAATTAGGTAAAATAATTTTTCATTCTTTTTGTGGTTTTATGCCAAAACTTACAGGTGTGCGATTTGTAATTTGGATGTTCTATCAACAAAAATTAAATTACTGTTAATACAGCACATATCAAATTTTGCAACGAATTAATTAAAAATTTAAATGGTGTGATTTGTGGTCTGAAGCAGAGTGTTACATCTGGATAGTTCTATTTTAATCTTAAAAACTACTTAAAATTCTAGAGGCTTTTTTTATTGTATTATATAGTGTGATTTGAAAAGTTTATTATGTATTATTAATGTTCAAAAAGAGACATAAATGCTATGTAGGTGCCTTGAATCAGCAAGACTATAAATTGAATAAAATATTGACTGAGAATAAATTTATCTTCAAAATTATTGAGTATATGATGCTGTTCTTTGTACTTAGAACTTAGATAAAATCATTATGTTAAATTAAAATGTAACTTGAGATTAAATTATTTTTAAAAATTTGTCAGTTTAAGTATTTTTGTTGGCTTTAATTTTTATAAAATATACAACACACTTAATTTATTACATAATCTTTAAATTGCAAAACAAGTATCGTCTCAGATTATTTTAAAGGTAGGGTTTTAAGTTCAAGTAAAGAACCATAAAAGGACAATATATTTTTAAAGGCATAAATAAATTATGAAAATTTTCTAGAAATTAAAGACAATTAATTATTTACACCACCGATATTTTTATTTACTATTACATGTTTATATAATTATTTAAACTTACAGATTTTATATTTGTTTTTAATTATATAAAGTTTGTCAATTTGCGTATTTATCGGTGAATATGTTATTTCCTATTTTTTTTTATTATTATTATTATTAAATTATATTGTATTTTATTCGTGTATTTTCTCATTTCACTCCACCTTAGTTATAAAGAAAAATAATTTTGTATAACCTAGCGGTTGTATACATTGTGTTTCAATATTTAATAATTCATGTTTTTTGTTGTAAGATATTGTGGAATTCCAGTTGTTCAAAATAAATATAATTCTGATGTGTTCCTAGAAAAAAATATGTGAATTATGTGAATATTTTATCAGAAAGAGAGTGTATTTCCTTAATAGGTAACTACACTAAAGTTCTATAAAAACCAGAGACAAATCGTATCAAAATAATTTAAAAAATCCACTAAACATGAATATTTACATAAATGAATTCTCATTAATAATATTAAATATTCTTTTGACAAAGATAAAATAAATCAACATTAAAAATTATTCACAATAGTACAGTTAATGAATTTTAAGGCCAGAAAAAATGTGAAACTAAGAAACTAGTTTTAGAATCACTGAATTGGATATCGCAAAAAATTTTAATACGTTCTTTACAAATATAGGTGAAATACTGCAAAACTAGTAAATTCGATCAAAAATATTTATCCTCAACAAATTATTTAGAAATAATAATGAACTTAAGAGTATAAAATCTACAGGACCTGCTAACATATCAAATGATTTAATAAGATATAGCCCACCAGCTGATGGGGGGGATTTGAGGAAGGTATTTTAGGCAATTTGAAATCCTAAAAAACTAAGTTTATCGGTATGTAGCTGGGGCTGTAAATGGAACAGGTAATTCTTTTTGAGAAATAATAGCTTATAGTAACTGTAATAAAATAGTAAAGTTATTTATACATTTTATCTTTTTTTTTTTTTTAAATAATATAAAATCGTACGACCCTGGAAAACGTGACGTAGGAGTTTGAAATTGACAGTCTAACGACCGGTTTTTCACCCATATCGGCTTAAGATGCTAGATACCACAAACATTGTATAAAGTTCTTTATACAATGCCACAAAGCACATAGAGGTTCCACGTGAATGACCAAGGTCAAAACCGACAACTGACATTTTTTATGCTATTTGCTCCAAACTCTAGATGGGGCTACTGGTGAAATTATGATTTCTTACTCCATTTTTAAGTCTTATGGGAGAAAAACTTAACCAAAGATGTGACGTGTATTTATTTATGTTCTTGGTTAGTTTCATTTTTCCGTCTGATTTTAGTGATTTTTTGTTGGCTTTGGCTTTTGGTTTCTGATTATAGTTTCGTCTTCGTTATTTGCAAAATTGTGATGTTTCGCTTTTTTATTTCCTACTGTGTTTTGCAATAATTTTGGTGCTACGTTGAAAACTTCGAGAAAAACTTCATTGATTCACCATATATTCACCATGCATCTGCATCATAAAAAGATAAACGGGGACAATAACTAATTGATAATCAATTTATCACTGGACTAGATTCCGAAATCATTTTTCACATAAGAGAGTAATACCACCATCTGTATTTGGAAGGAAAATACCTATTTATCATTGAATGAATAGTTAAAAGGATTCACCTTTTAATACAATACCTATATTACATTTGTCCTCAGTTAAAAAGACATTTATAAAATATATAACTTTAGTGTTAATAAAATGTAATATCCTAGTCTCTACTTCACATTTAAATTATTGATAGGTATTTTAAAGATTTGAGATTATATATCTATTTGCTCCAAGTAAGTATTCCTTAAGTATTAAGTATTGATATCTCTTATATTTATTTAATAAAAATATGCAGAACCAACTCTCCACATTAGTCCCCTTATAACAAATTAATTCTTCAAATTTGGTATAATCGACCTAAATTATTTTGTAAAATAAAAGTTTCGAACTTACTAGTTCCATACTTTATTTTATAAAATAATTTATGTGGAAATCATTTAAAATTTAATTTAAAACTACTACCTACTCCTAAAAATTACAATTTGAATTTACCGCCATCTGTCAATTGTCATTTTAGTTCCAGCTCCAAACACAAGGTGGCGCTAATTTGGTTTAAAAGTTTAACATTGGCGTGGGGTCTCTAGAAGATACATGCTTTGTGCTAGATACTGTCGTAAAGCTCCATTTAATTCTAAACGACCCTTTAGCGTTCGTTTATTCCGATAACTGACAGTTCAACACGCTCAAATGACAATTAAAGGCACCCTAAAAACTTCGCTCTTGTGTCCTACTCCAGCTCCCGACTATCCGAACTCAACTTTAGAAATAAGGACCTTTTCTGGATCGCTTATCATGTCCATAAGCTCTACTCCACATTTTTAAGCCGATAAGGGTTAACAAAACGGTCGATGCACATGACAATTTAGACGCCAGACTGTCAATTTCAAGGGTATACGTCACGTTTTTCATGGGCGTACTACGATAAATTATATTATTTGTTATTAATAATGTGGTATTTTTATTATTATTATGATTGGAATATTTGTTTTAGTTGCGTATTAATAAAAGATAACTTTTAAGTGACTTTCTTAAATTAAAAGGTGTTGTAATTGAATGTAATGAGGTAATAAAATACAGTAATTCTCAAAAATTAGCAATAAAAACTTCTCAAAAAATTTTAAAACTATAAATAACGCAAAATAAAATGCATTAATGCATGATGAGTCTATATAATATTTTCAACGTCGAAACCTAATAAAATCTTAATAATTAATATGTGATGAATAAATGATTGACTATGTATGTCAAAAATAAGTGACAAAAATGCTTTTAATTTTTTCCTACTTTTGAAAGAATTTCCTCTAATATTCCTAATTTCTGAATAAATATTTTACCCATTTGAAATCGTGGCAATTATAGCATCCCATCCCGATATTGGGATGATCGCCCGTTAAAATCGGAACGTCTTGCAACGCTCTGTGTACTGACCCCCTGATCTGCTCTGTCCATGACAATAAAATGGTTTATTTTGAGTGGTACTACATGAATATTCATGAACATCGTCTGCTAAACGAGCAAACAAATGTTATTTTCTCTAGTAAGTCTAATCACCATTGATCTACTGATAATTAAATTATTTATGTTGAGGAGAATATACGCGATTTACATAAAACAGATGAATATTCATGAATATATATGTTGAGTGAGCGAGCATTGTTCACTGTATAGAGTAAGTCAAATGACTACCTCGCTGATGACGTCAGTTAAATTGTTTATGATGAGTAAATATGATCTGCATAATAAATAAATATGCATTAATGATAATGTTATATGTTGGTACCAGGTGAGCGAATAAATGTTCACTAAGGTCTTTCTAGTAAGTCAAATGGCCCCTCTGATATGATATATTAATAAAATTTTATTGTATTTAAGAAATGTTCAAGGCTCAGTGAGAATATGCCATCAGTAAACCATACGTACCTGCAGCATTTTCAAACCTTGTCCAGAATTTGATCTTGTACAGCAAAACGCCGTATTTGTCCAGCAACACGCCGTATTTGTCCGGAAAAATCTTCGAGCCTATATTACTAGAGCCATCGTCCAAATGGTCTGTACAGGGGGGGGGGGGGGAATAGTGTCCAGCATTTTCATTGGTCTATTTCGTTTTGCTTGATGACATGTCAAATCGTTCGAAATTGTCAGAACTGTCATTTGAATTTTGATTTTCATTAATTTCTAGCTTATTTTTGTAGTTTATAAGTGATTTTTAAGCTATTGAATAGCTTTTATCGCGGGCTTTGAGCGCGGCGACCGAATCAAGAAATTTCCGTAACGACCGGCACAGCGGTGCAGCGTTGAATGCCGTGGAAGGTTTTATCCGAATCCGACCCTATTCGTATTAGTATGTGAAGCGGAGTTAAATATACGTCTGCGGACTGGAACGTTTATGCAATACAAGAACTAGAAGTTAAGTAATAATGATACTTTTATAGTTTTTAAATCATATAATTATGTGATTCCATTAAATTACAATGTAGGTATCATTTGACATGATAAAATTTTGTTTCCAATTTATTTTTGTTTAATTCAAAAGTAAAAAAAAAATTGTTTCCAATTTATTTTTGTTTAATTAAAAAGTAATAATTCGTAAATATTTGTAATCGAATGTAATATATTTAGTATAAACGATTCCAAACTTATATCAAGATGTGCTCGGTGGCGCATAGCGTACAGTGGTCAAAATTTGGATAGTGTGGGTAGCAAAGTTGGTGGTTCGAGCCCCGAAACTTTTAGTTTTCTTTTTTTTTTCTTAAAAAAAAGGAAAAATATTGTTTTATTATTTCACAGTCTTGGTAATTTAAAATGTTTAGTTTTTAAAAAGTATATACTTATTCAATGCATAGTGGCGCATAACGAGGTTCATTCAAGTTCAGCTAATTTTAAAAATGCAAGCTACCAGGGGGTCGATTCTCGACTTGTAGGAACCTTTTCCTATAGGAATTTGTGACACTTTCCTATATGTAGGAAAATGTCATAAATTTTCGATGTATATAAAAATGTCAAAAATTCCTATAGGAAAATATTCCTATGAGTCGAGAATCGACCCCCAGTGGAGAATTCGTGTATTTAAAGTCAAAAAGATAAACAAATAGGAAATATATTTTTTTTCAATAAGTACAACAATATTAACTTCTCATTTATTCAATAAAAGAAAAAAAATTGTTTTCTTATCGGTCACCACGCTCAAAAAGTGTAACTTGAATTAATATCAAAGAAAAAACTTGAATTAATATCAAAGAAAAAAAAATACAGCATAAATAAAATAAATAAATAATTATAATTGCATAAGTTGATAAATGCTATGCAATAGCTTTACCGCGGCAGTCCCCGAGTGTCACACGTATTTTTTTTTAAATATTTATTAATAAAAGTAACTGAGTGCTACCCTGTATTTGAAATTTAATTCATTCATCATCGATACCTATTTATTCAAATTGACTTTTAAAGTGAGCTAATCTTTAATTAATTATCTAAATGTCATGTGTATGTACGTATGTTACACATAAGCATAGGTAATTATTAAGTTTGCAATATATAGGAGGAAGGAGACAGTCATCACTGTTATTAGTTCGAAGCACGTTCGAAGCCAACCTCTATCATTTACAGGTCGGTGTAGCGATCATAGGTGGTGTTGAAGGTTGTGATTATTTGACCTACTTGGTAATTGACAGTAGAAAGTTTATCTCTAAATTTCACTTTCAATAGGTAAATAAATAATATCGAAGATTACTATTTTGAAAAATTAAGGTAAGTGGATTAATTTAAATATAATCCAGTGAAAATAAGTTATTTCATATTTAAAAGTGAGGTTATATAATTGCCAAATATTTTATTTTTTAGGACTAATAACCATGTCGTGCCCTTTTCTTACTAAACTCAGTCAAAGTTACGTGAAAAATTATGCTTCCGTCTTGATAAAAATGTATGGCAACCAGTGCCCTGTGATTTCAAGATCCATGAACAATACAGCCAATAATTTGGAAGTTAAAAGTCAAGGTAACAACACTATATTATAAATGCCAAAGTATGTTTATTTTTATCAAGCAATTTCAGATGAAAATAAATCAAAAACTTGTCCCTTTTTAAACGAAGTATCTCCTTTTATTAAGGAAATCAAACAAGATGATACAATTATTGAAGCCGCATCAAAAAATGAAAAACATGTTGCTGATCAAAGTAAGGGTTAGTTCGTTTTTTATTAGATCTCCCTAACTTAAACTTTACTATAGAGTTTTCTAATTAACATCAACATTTTATAATAAGCATGCATATGTTTGTAACTACTTGTTTGTCCCTATTTTCATCCACCTTTTCCAGTTCCTGCTGCCTGCATGACAAGTCTTGTGGCATGTATTTATACTACATAATATGATCTTAATGATTTTTTTGTTCTTCTTATCCTCTAATGTATTTTTTATCTTTTATCTACAACCAAATTTCTATTTTCAAATTAATGGTGTTTTGGAAAATATTTGAACATTTAAATAAAAACAGGTATATATTTAAGTTTTAACTTTTATTAGTTATCCAGAATATTCATATTTTCTTTACTTCAGGTATCTATACAGTGGGTATATACATGTCTTTATTTAAGTAGATTATAGGAAAACAACGCACCCTGTCTTTTATTTTTAAAGAAATCTTTATCTTCTAATTAGATTTAAGTACCACATCTGACGTCTGCAAGTTATAGATATTCAAATTATCTCGCATCACCCCATGTAACAGGAAAAAAAATTATATGTTTTCTTATGATCTCAAATACACAATTTCTTCTCTTTTTTAGTCTAATTCATTAATATTTTTGAATGCTCTTAACAATGCTAGAAGTGACCACTGGCCTCTAGTGGTCAAGGTATGAACTTTTTGGTCCATATAAATCGCATTACAGCTGTTGGAAAAATCGTTTTTCATTCTTGCCAATAATTCTTGATATTGCATGGTTAATTCACATTTAAAGCAGAGGTCAGTTATAGGGGTCTATTCTGTAACTATATTTGTTATCTGGCAACTTTCCAACTACTTGCTATCTTACCTTTTTCATAGCAACTGTATACAGTATGTCCCCCTAAGTTGGAATCATATCAAAAACTTTTTTATTATTAATTTTAGGAAAAAAAGTTATTCTTCATAAAAAGTTCTGCATTATCTAAAACCTAGAATACAGTAATTAAATATCAATTTTTTTCAGTGGTATACGAGGTTTGTCAAAAAATATGAGTTTTACTCAAGAGTAAAGTACCTTTATTCTTTATACAACTGATAAAATTTGATATCTGATCGTTGTATTTTAGGTTTTAGACCATGCTCGACTTTTTATAAAGAATAACTTTTTTCCCAATATTAATAATAAAAAGATTTTCATATGCCGCCAATTTACGTAGACAGTTGGTGGTATAGGAAAGCTTTTTATTACTAATTTTAGGAAAAAAAGTTGTTTTTTATAAAAAGTCGAGCATGATCTAAAACCTAAAATACAACCATCAAATATCATATTTTATCAGTCGTATAAAGAATAAAGGTACTTTACTCATGAGTAAAACATATTTTTTGACAAACCTCGTATACCACTGAAAAAATCTGATATTTGATGACTGTATTCTAGGTTTTAGATAATGCAGAACTTTTTATGAAGAATAACTTTTCTTCCTAAATTAATAATAAAAAGTTTTCCATATGATTCCAACTTAGGGGGACATACTGTATAACAACTTTGACACAAGTAGCTATTCTAGTATTCACGATTGCTTAATTAGTCTATGCTGTATCATACAGGTATGCTACCAACCAAGTTGCTATGATCAAGGTCAGTTGTTGTATTAAGAAAATCAGAATTCTCTCTAAAATCTTTAACAACTAATGATTACAAAAGTGGATTCAGAGTTAATTGGAAGCAACCAAATATTCTTGATGGTTAAGCCTAACAACTAGTTGCTAAAAAAATATTATGGACCCTGGATAATATCTATTTTAATAGACCAAGAAATTAATGGAAGGTATATTTACTGATAGAATAATAGATATCAGAACTAAATAGATATATTATTTCTTCTAATGGTTTGATTTAGGAATGAAGTAAGATTTCAGCAAAGGCTATACTATTTCATGGGATCTGTATATGTAAGGAGGGGTGACCCTCCTTCAGGGGAATTTAAGATCTGCCTCTCAGCTCTTCAAAACGTCTGCTGGTTGATATATAACGTCACTGAGAGCTGTCTATAGGAACCACCTCTCAGATCATCAAAAGGTCTGCATAAAATTGCATATTAAAGTTTCCTGTCTTGATTAAAATTTACAGCTACGACATATATTACCTTTTTTTTAATTTCAAATCAGAGTCCACCAACAAAATATAAAAAGTTCCAATTGATAAATTATATTTCCCTTAACGTCCATGACTGAGAAATATAAATCTCATTGGTCCCGTCCCTCCTGACTTGAAGGTTAAGTTGTTAAAAGCCTGATTTACACCACACAAACAACTTTATAGCAACTGTGAATACTAGAATAGCTACTTTTGTCAAAGTTGTTATACGGTTGCTATAAAAATAATACAACTTGTAATTTTATCATTTGGAAATGGTTACATTTTGTTGGTGAACTGGCTTGAAATTAAAAAAAAAACTTTTACTACAGCAAAATGTCTTATGCAATTTTATCTCAAGCAGATCTGCAGGCCCTATAGACATCTCACCTGAAAGGCAGCATCTGGAGGATGCACAATTGGGCTATTGAGGCCTAAGTAATGTAAGGGGAACACACCTTACAGATACAGATTACAAGCAATAAATAATAGGCTTTGCTGAAGTCTTACTTTATTCCTAAAACAAATCAAACAAATCATTAGAAAAAAATATGATAAGTTCTGATTATTTTATAAATAAACTTATCTTCTATGTTAATTTCTTTACATATTTAAATAGTTATTATCCAAAGGTCCATATTTCTTTTTCAGCAACTAGTGGTTATGCTTAACCACCAAGAATATTTGATTGCTTCTAAGGACCGATTCCACCGTTGTGTTAAACGGAGATTAAAATGACATTGTTAATGTAAAAATTTCATTTTAAACGTCCACAACGGTGGAATCGGTCCTAAGTCACTTGAAATCCACTTTTATAACCACTAGTTGTTACAGATTTTGCTTTAGAGAATTCTGATTTTTTCAAAGTGGTAACATAACGACTGACCTTGGTCTAAGCCATGATACAGAATAGACTACATAAAACCCTATACGTATATAAAATAAGTTTTTCAAGAAGGGCGATATCCTATTTTATTTTACTACATGTTCTTTACTTTTAAATTCAAACGTAGTAAACAATTGTTATGGATTAATAATTAAAGCTTCTGGTGTAATTAATATATTTGTAATAATTTTTTGTATAAGATACTTCTTAAAATAAACATGAAAAAGGAAAAAAACTAGTGTCGCCATCTACAGAACTAACTGCGGGACACGCCCTCTTAAAGCGGATTCTTTTATTATTTCTGTTCCTGATGTTACACCTTGTAAAATATTATTTTTTTTTTAAATTAAAATTTACTAAAATTTTAAATTTATTTGTAAAATAATTTGTGGGTTTACTTTATTTATAGAAAATTTTGTGATGGGTTTGTATTTCTTAAATTGGGGTTTCTAAATTTGTTGAAATTCCTGATTGGTTTTAAAAAATTGGAAGAGGAGGAGGAATGTCTTGAGAAGGGATCAATTGAAAATGTTCGTTATTAAACTTGGTATCAAATGGGTGTTCTGTCAAAATTTCTGGAAAATAGTTACAGTTATTTAGATCAGTATTAGGTCTACTAATTCTATTTGATTTGGATCAAAATTATTATTCAAAAGAGAATTTAAAAAATATAATTCGGTGTCGGAGTAACTATAAAAATCGTTTGTGTTGTCTAGACTATAGTCTAATAAATCGTTTTCAAAGTCAAGGTTTAGAAATTCATTAAAATTTTCACGTTTATCTTCTGAATAATAATCGTCGTCAGAATTTTTAAATACGGATTTTATCAAATTTGTATTTTAAGGGTCATTTAAAATTAGTATTATGCAATCTTGGAATACTGTTTGAGTTTGGTTTATTTTTAAAATTGTTTTGTGAGTTATCATAATTGCGTTGCTTTTGATTTTGTACAGGGTATTGTCTAGAAGGGTAAATTGGGATTCAAATTTTGGTTTTGATTTGGGTATTGTCTCGAGGGTAAATTCATCCAGTTAGAGGTTTAATTTGGGTAAAACTTTTAAGGGTAATTTAGCGGTAAGTTCGCGGATTAAAAGATGTTTTTTGGAAATTATTCAGGTTTCTACTAGACGTTACAATTGTCTTGAATCTCTGTACATTTGTTCGTAAATTTTGGAAATTTCTTTGTTAAGAATTCCGAGAAATATTTTGTTTTAAATTATTTTTCTGGTTTTCAAAATAAATCAGTTGAATCTAATATATTTTTGGGGTCACTAGTGCGAATTATCTGACCAATTTTGGGTTCTAAGCAGAGATAACAAACAGGTAACAGATTCTAAACCAGTTGATAAGGTGTTTAATATCATGTATTCAACGAGTGAGTTTTGGGCTAGTTTTTGACTATTTGTTAAATTCTGACTCAATAAAAAAATTTGCTGAGCCTGTATCAATTAAAATTTTTGGTTTTGTTACGGAAGAATAATGAAAGGAAGCTCGCTAGAATGTTCTATGAATTATACTAAAAACATTCTGTTCAAATACCATTTGGTATGTCATTTTCATAATTTTCTTAGGACCTCGCTTAGAATGTGTTTTGAAAGTATATTCTAAAAAGTATATACTGAGGACGTGCTTTGACAGAACATTCTTAGAAGATACCAAAAGTCGTATATCGCATGTACCTGATATTCTAAGAACGTTCTAAATGCTTGCAGGTAAAAATTAAACAACAAATATAAAACACGTTTATATACTTCTATGAATTTTTTCCACATTCCGCATTTAGCTGGTTCATGGCCAGCTACATCCAAGTACTAATCGCCGTCAATAATTGATTCATATAAATTAGTTGATATATTAAATTGTGTTTCTTACTTGTATAATTCCTTAGTTTTTATCTTATTGCAAAAATTAGCATCATCAGAATGACAATAGTCTGTTAATACTTCTTTTATTTTGTTTCAAAAATGCTTATTTCTGTTTCCAATTTTGCCACATTTTCAAATTTTATTTTTAGATGTCTTTGTCTATGATCAATTTTTTCATCAACAAATAATGAAAAAAAAGAAGGAACACTCTTACAGGATTTTCAAAAAAGTCAATAGACTGGCTGGGCCAGGAGAATTTCCCAAAGCTTTAGAATACTCTTGGGGTCAAAAACCCATCACCGTTTGGTGTTCAAATGATTATTTGGGAATGTCTTGTCATCCTGAAGTGAAAGCTGCTGTAAGGTAAGTGTTAAAACGATCTCTTACGTAACATATCTGGTATAACTAGTTTTTGCTTCATTGATAATCAAAAAAATGTTGTTTATTATAAAACATTTTTACTTTTTATCTACACGAAAATTTATACAACGCAACTCGAAAGATCGCAAATTTGAGTTAAGGCACGAAATAGATGTTAAAAGTACATAAAATTTGAATGCATTTTGTATAATTAACAATGATTTTCATTTTTTATTTGTTTAAAAATGATTCGCGAAAATTGTAAAGTGCAAATATTGATTGATAATGACCGTATACATAAGTTAGGCATGTTATTCATTTTGCAACAGTTCTCGCAACGTTCTCAAACTAGCATTAATAAATATGGAAATTTTAATTCATATTATTAAACTGAAAAAGTTACAAATGCAGAAATTGTTAATTAAAGGCCTTTTACCGATTAGATAGGAATGGGGATTTAGGTTCTTCGTTTACAATAAAGAAACATTATGTTTTGCTAATTTCCAAAGAATAGGTAAAAATTGGACAGGAACATTTTTATTCACGCATTTAAATATCTAACAAGGGCACTCCAAGACGTCTAAAATTGATGAAATCATTAAATTTCTTGAATAAAATAAACATATTTAATGATGTTTTACTTTTTTATAATTATAAAGATTTTGCGTGTAAATTGATGTAAATTTATAACAAAATTTAATCATTTTTTAGTACAGCTATAAACACTCTAATTGATGATTTTATCGATTATTGTTTTATTAAAAATGATAAGACCAATTGGGGATTTTAAGCTAAGTAAATTACGTTAATTATTCAATAAACTAAAGATAAATATTATCTCAAAGTGCGCATCAATACCATTTTAAATCAAAAAATTAAATTTAATTTGTATCGTCATTCATACAATTAAGATAATAAACTTGAAAACACAAATTACTATTTTGTGGACTATTTTTAACCCAATTACTGATTTATTGAAAGGAAAGCAAGATTTTAATACATGAATAATCTAAGTGTCCAGCAGACATAGAACATTTTTGGGCATTAATTTTGCAGTGAACCTCTAATGATATTTCAAAAGAAGAATCAGAATTTGGTTAAATCTTTTTTGCACGAATAATAACTAGTTTGAGCAAGAAGAGTGGATATGATGGACATATCCCTACAAGTTAAATTAATCTTAATTAATAATAAACCATGTGGTAAAATTTTGTTAATTGACTGATCTTTAATTACTGTAATACTGATATATTTAGCTGTGTGTAATTTCTGCTTGACTGGTCACCATTTTTTACAATTGCTGGTTGATTGACCACCCCTTTATAAGTGATTTAGCTTTTGTTACACACTTTGCTAATTTTTTGTTTTATAGTCATTATCTTAGAAATTCAGTTCCAAAACGTTTGATTGTTGTCTGAACCAAAACCATTTAGAGGCTTGATTTTCGAAAATATCAAGACATTTTATAAAATAAAAAATGTAATACCTACATGTTATTATATATATGCATAACAACATAAAAAATTACATAAACTATTACAACTAATTGCAGTTAAGACCAATTTGTGTTTTATTACCGATAATAAAAATATAACGTAACATAGAGGTTCCAAAAAGGGTCATACAGAAAGCACTTATATATAAAACAACATAAAAAAGTTATGAACTGCAATAAAAGCTAATTAAAATGAAAATATGTTTAGTAGTATAAGACCTTATCACAAAAAATGTATTTGAGTAGCATATTAGATTAAAAATAATGTTAATTTCGGAAACGTCAAACATTTAAACATAGCAAATAGTAATTGGAGAGCAAAAAAGTCTTCTAGTAGTTTTTACATGTCCTTATTGTTTCTGTTTTGGGTTGAGGAGCTAAAAAAAACCTAAAAAGATACATGACGTGTTAATCTTTAGATAAAGGAGCTACAAAAATGTTTTCACGTCCAGCATTGTTATTAGTATGCCCCCCAACTTTGGCCTGGTGATGTCATTATTGGATGATTATGATAAATGATAATGTTCCAAGTTTCAGATTGTTATCTTTCTCATAGAAAAATATAACAAAAAGACAAATTTAATTTGTTTCCAAATATCTAGTAACCTGTAATTTTTTTTTTTCAAAATCAAAAGTTGCTAAGAATTGTGCATTGTTTACATATCCTCCCCTTTAACAAGCCTTTTACAAAATAAATAATTTGTTGAAAACATCTTTCATTACTTCTTATCTAGAATAAATAAACAAGAAACATCTTGTAATAGATATAAAAAAAATGCCAACACACGTTTTTTTTTATTTTTTTTTAGAGATGCCTTAGACAAATATGGAACTGGAGCTGGAGGCACTCGCAACATCTCAGGAAACTCAACGTTGCATGAAAAACTAGAAAACGGTCTTGCTAAATTGCACAATAAAGAAGCTGCTTTACTTTTTACATCTTGTTTTGTAGCCAACGATTCCACCTTATTTACTTTAGCTAAGGCACTTCCAGGTAATTACACCGAAAATATTTCAGTTTCAATTAAAAAAAAGATATTTTTTGACCACAAAACCACAGCTCGTTGAAACAACCTTGTCAAAGTAGCGGCAGAAATTAGTAAAACATTGTATATTCAACATTTATGGAACCTCATGAGGATTAAAAAAAATAAATAAATTTTTAGGCTGTCATATTTTTTCTGACTCTGGCAATCATGCTTCCATGATTCAAGGAATAAGAAATAGCCACGTACCCAAGCACATTTTCAGACACAACGATCCCGCCCATTTAGAAGAACTGCTTCAAAAGGTTGATAAACGTATTCCCAAAATTGTGGCATTCGAAACTGTGCATTCCATGTCGGGTGCTGTTTGTCCTCTAGAGGTTGGTAAAACAGTTTTTGTATCATAACCACTTCATACTTGACATTGCGGACAGTGCAGTAAACGTTACTGTATAAAGTTTAAGATATTAACACCATTTTTCATTTATTCAGTGTCGATTTCGTTAATATTCATTATTTATCCTTATAAAAATTTCAAATTTAAAATGAAATCAAAGTTTAAACTATCGTTAATGTATTGGAATTATAACAGTTATGGGAAAATCACCCCAATGAGACACTAATAGATAGTAAACATAATTATATAGATAATGAATATTTTGTATTGTTAATTAAATACTGTTCCATTTGACTAAAAATATTCAAAATTTATTTTAATTAGTAATTAATAATATCGATGGTCTCAAATCAATATCAAGTCCGAAATTTCGAATTTTTACTTTTTCCCATCTATACAAATTAATTTAGAACAAAATGTTAAAAATAACAAAGGTTATTCATCTATTTATTTACTTGTCAACATTATTTATCAAATAATTTATTGACTTTATTAAACAATCAAGACAGTTTAATGTTCAAGTTGGACATACGAGGTATTGATTTGAGATCGTCGATATGAGACATTGGTCAATAATCGACTATTTTTGATTGGATCTAAATTTGGAATGTTTTTGATATCAATTTTTTGAGACATAATGTTTTCATTAATAATCTGAATAGTCTGAGAGCTTTAGCTTGAAGACTTTATTCTTTGATTATTAGTAGCAGAATTAAAATAGTAATTTGATGCACCAAATAAGAATAACGACAATTTTCTTTAAGAAATTGTAAAAAGGGTTTTTCGTATGTGTTGCACACTTTATTTTTTCTATGACTGCTTATTTTTTATTGAACGAATATTTTTCCATCCATTTAGACGACTACTGGATGTCCTTTGGACTCTATTGAAGGTCCATATATGGACTCTTTTTGTATTGCTTTTGGATAATGTATGGACATCACCACCGACATTAATAAAAAATATAATAATTGCTACTATGAACATATTTTTATTATCGTGTCATTTTTCGCAATGTTCAAAAAATTGCCATGTAAAACATCAAAATTCATACTAGTCCTATTATGAAATAATTAATACTTAATTAAAACTTATATATACAATTTTTAAATCTGGACTCCGTCGCATAATAATTTTTGAACGTTATTGTTTTAACAAATATTAGAATACAATTTGAACACAATAGAAAGGTTCTAGAAAAGAATAATTAGGTAGTAAGTAACAATTATTGTGTGTTATTTCCTAAATCTACTTCAAAAACAATACTTTTTATCGAGGGCAATTTTTTTTCACCTCCATGGTATTTTATGTCGAATTGGACATTCTAATTTCATAATAACATCTTACAGTTTTAATTAATATCATAAACTATTAATTATCTGTAAAATTATCTTTACTAGGATCTACAAAATGTACATTTAAATCTGTAACAATCTTAATGACAAGAAAACACTAAAGATTCTAATTTCTAAACCGGTTCTGTAAATGATTGACATTGGAGTAATTTATTCAAAACCAAATATTGGGTCTTTTTATCGAGTCATTTGCGTTTTTATGATCCATCAAATATCTTACCTGCATGTTGATAATAAAAAAAAAAACAAATTCGACACCATTAATAGGAGCACCCATAAAATCGTCGACTTATTTGCTTATAATAATAATTATTGATATAAAGTATGTTTGTAGGAACTCTGTGATATTTCTCACAAATATGGAGCCTTAACTTTCGTGGATGAAGTTCACGCCGTAGGACTATACGGCGAACATGGTGCTGGTATTGGTGAAAGAGATGGAGTGATGCACAAAATGGATATGATCTCTGGAACATTGGGAAAAGCTTTCGGAAATGTCGGGGGATACGTCGGCAAGTTCTATATTTTCTAATTAATCAAATTAATACATCTGCTTCAATAAAAAAACAATAATGATATAATAATGAATATTTGTATATTTTTATTTCGAAAAAAAAAAAAAAAAATTATACCCTGTCTTATCACTCAAAAACTAGTGCGATTGGATTATATTAAATACTTTAATTTAATATTATAGCTAGCAACATGCTTCTGATCGACATGGTGAGATCGTATGCAGCAGGTTTTATTTTCACAACTTCACTGCCACCAACGGTTCTGGCTGGTGCTAGCAAATCGATCGAAATTCTTGCCTCTGAAGAAGGTCGAAAACTACGCATAAAACACCAAGCTAACGTTAAATACCTCAGAAATTCTCTTCTGCAACTTGGATTTCCAGTGGAGCACACCCCAAGTCATATCATACCCATAAAAATCGGAAACCCTCTACAATGCGGAGCTGTCTGTGATACATTACTAATAGAAAAAGGTCACTATATTCAAGCAATCAATTATCCGACAGTTGCTAAAGGAGAGGAGAAACTGAGATTGGCTCCAACGCCTCATCATACCAAGGAGATGATGGACACTTTAATACGAGACTTGCATGAAGTGTGGATCGATTTGAAACTACCATTTACAGGACAGCAGTGCGGAAAAGTAAGCTCATTTTTTTAAATAATATTTAGATAAATATTTATTTAGTAATGTTTAAAAGCATTGTTTAATTCTGTGGAAACTGTTAAATGGGATATTTTTGTTGGATTTCGAGCCATCGGTGTACTATATAGCAATATGATACTATTATATTTCTCAAGTAACAAGGTTGGTCCAGTGATGCTGACAAAGAGTCATTTTTCAAATTCATATCAGTAAGATATGCTGAATAATTCATCAATTATTATGACGCATTTTAGGCAATAAACAACCAGTCTAGCTTTTATCTTTGTTTATAATATTGTAACGTTTATTAATTTAATATATTTACATTAAGATGCTAATTTATTTATACTCTATTTAATAAAATTAATAATTTATGATTAGATGTCATAATAGAATAACGGTATTAGTGCCTGTAACTCTTTAGTGAACCCGGTTCTAAATGCTATAAAGGATAGAGATCACGGCATATGTATGACAAACTTTTGTAATGGTATATCCCTGATTTTTCGTCCAAATAATTTAGTATTGGAATTCCTTGTTGAAGGCAACTGTGAGAGATATACGGTTGTACAAGAAAGTTTCCAATATATGTATATGTTTTATAGTAATCTAATAGAATATAAATTATTATTTTTTTTTATTTCAGCACTGTGAATTTTGCCAGAAACCACTATTGTTCGACCATTTCGAGTTAAGGGAAAACCGTTCTTGCGCTACAGAAGCTGTCTGTGATATACCGAATTGCCCTCAGCTGGTGCCAATCACAGTATAACATTAATTTACACGTTTTCCTAAATAATGTCGGTGTTGGTTAAGAAAGGTTATAAATTGGCTTGGTGGTAATAATTTACAATGTTCGTACTATTTATATAATTTCAAGTCTCAAAATAAAAACACTAATTTTTACAAATTATTAAGATATTTTGAATATATTTTCGATAGAATCGAAAGAATTGTTAACAAAAAATAAAGTCATGTTTAATAGAAAATAAATATCAATTATTTAACTTAAAATCAGAACAATTTCTATTAAAAAAAAAATCAATGATTGATATATCATACAGTGGGAACATAAAGGTAGGCAAATTCGATAAAATGTTTATTAGTCATGTAAAAAAATAATTCTTGGATTTTATTATTTAAAGGCGCAAATTTTGGTATTTTATAACGTCTCATCACTTTTCTAATTATAACGTCATCGCCAATTTTTTGATAGTATTGTAAAATAGTTTTTTTTTGCATATAGACAACAAATTTTGTGTATGATGCAGCACAATACTTTTGAGATTAAATGTTTTAAAAATTTTAATGAACTGTTTAACAAAGTTTTGCAAGAATTTTAAAATCGACTTGCATATTTTCAAGAAATGAAAAGCTTAAAATTAACTCAAAAATTGACGCTACGCGCGCATGATTGGCTTTATTCCTTCCTGCAGACGCTCTTATCAAAAATTGAACCATTTAAAAAATGATGAGGTCATAAAAAGTATACGTATATCAAAATATGCGCATCTAAAAAACAAAATCAATCTGCCGGAACATTAATTTTTTACTCGACCAAATAACATTTTATCGAATTTGTTTCGACCTTAGGTCTTACTGAATTATACATAATTTCATGTTTTTATTTGGGACTTCTGGTCTTTGTTTTCTCTATTGTTTGTTAATAAAAAAAGAATATTTAATTTTGAATTGTTAAAATTTAAAATATATTGAAATATATATATACACACACAGAGTGTTCTTCTAAGAGTTATATCAATATTGAAGTAGCTAATTCCTTAGCCCATTTTATGACTAAAATTTTATATAAACATGTGCTCTAAATTGCTTTGTTTTAATATATAATATAAAGTGATAATTTGGTGGAACATTTGCCCCCTTATACAATCTGGCGTTTAGCACACGGCACTCCGTTGAATGGTTTATATTTAAAAAGTTTGGATCAGTTAATTTCTCAAAGTTATAATGGAGCAAGTGTCATGAGTGATTGCTGCAAAAAATTCTTAAATATAAAAAATGTATCACCATGAATCTTAAAAAAAAGCAATTTAGAGCACATGTTTATATAGTCATAAAACGGGCAAAGGAATTACCTCCTTCTATATTGACATGACATTTAGGAACACCCTGTATATTTAAATTTAAAGTCCGTGCATTTATTTTTTCCTGTATTCCATTTTCTAATATGACAAATTGTTACTAAAATGTGTTGTTTTAATTATTAAAAGAGATTCATCTCTTTGAAGGGGGTCCTCAAACCAATTTTCCATCACTTTTCCTAGTTTTAATAAGGACCGATTCCACCTTTGTCTTAAAGGAAGTTTAAATTACTAAACCAATAAAATGACATTGTTAATGGAAAATAATCATTTTAATCTTCCTATAGTAATTTAAACTTCATTTAACATAACGGTGGAATCGGCCCTAATATAAATAAGTTCACCTACTTTAAAGGCAGCTCTCAAAAACCAATTTTTTATCATTTTTCCTAAGTACCTAATTAATTCATAGACATTTTCTAGACTAACTGAATTAAAAATGTGATCTTATTATACTCTTATGAAGTGAACTGATTTCAAGCAATATCAGTTCAGAGAGAAGCATGTCAAATAGAGGGAACCACACTGCAAATTCTCGCATCCACACAAGATTTTTTTTGTTGAAAAAAAGAAGAAAATTTCTCTTTATCCTTAAAAAGTTAGTCCCATCGAATAAATTTGGTGAGATACAAAGAAAAATTTTCGATATGAACATTATGAATTTTAAAATCAACTATTTCTTTGATCCTCCAAGTCTTATAATAAGTATTTTAATAATACATTGTCTAGACTTAATACCTACTTACGGAAAGTGAAATCATTTTAATTTAATCCCAGTATTTTTTAAATTTGTGTCTTATATTTCTTATATTGTAAAACAATGAAAATGAGAGCAATTTGTTTTTCTATCTTATCTGGTTAAAAATTCTTTTAAAATCAATATAAGAGGTGAATATTTATTTCCACAGGTGTCACCGATATACGCCATCAAATACTATGGGATTTAAACCCGAATCGCCGAATCCAAAGTCCCAAGCTTTCCCATTCCTTTATTAATGGTATTAATTTATATGCATCATTTTTATAAATCTAAATATTTCGTTTTCAACTAAATGGTTATAAATTTTCTCCGTATTTTAAAAAATTAAATGGTGTACTGTAAATAAATAGAGGGTTAAAACGTTTAAAACTTTTTCAAACGCTGAAAATTGGTTTTAAAACACATTTTTGCTAAACCGATTGTGATTAATGAGCACTTGCAAGACAATATGGCTGCTCACAAACTGACCCGCTCTGAGCAATCTATATAAATATATATCATTGAAGATGTCAAATTTTCTAACCTAAAAAAATCATGATATCTTGAACAAGAAATAAAAGATTGAAATGTTTATCAGGAAAACACAAAATTTCTTAAAAGTTTATTATAAAATAAATAAATTTAGTTCAACGCCGCTTAGAAGAGCTGAAGCTGTACTATCTGAACAATCTGTTGAAGAAATTTTAAACACAGACAAGTAATTTTTTGTTGCAAAATCTACTTTGTATCTATTTATTTAATAGCTGTAAAGTGACCGACTTTTCTCTATAAAAACATGTTTTATACCATTTATTACATTTTTAAATTTCTTTAGTTGTTAAATCCATAGTTATTTTAATTTTTAGTGAATATAATGAGTTAGCAAATGAGTTTTTGCATTTATCTGAGAAACATAGATGTATTGTTATCCAGCCTTATGTAAAATGGGGTCCCCGGAAACTCAGTATCACTCCACATGAACAACTGGAAGAAGCAATAGCTCTTATTAAGACTTTACCCTCATGGAAGGTTGTGGATACAGTTGTTGTACCTTTAGAATCTTTAGAAAAAAAGACTTTATTTAAATCAGGTTCTATGGAAAAACTAACTAATATGATCACACAAAATCCTGAAATTACTGCTGTATTTATAAATACTAGTAACTTAAAAAGTATAACTAACAGTATTCTACAGAAAAATTTTAGAATACCAATATTAGATCGATATAAAATAGTAATGCAGATTTTAAAAATGCATGCTAAGAGCAAATATGCTAAACTGCAAGTAGCATTAGCTGAACTGTACTTTGTACAACGTAAATCCCAAGCTAGTAATACTACAGAAGCCCTTAAACTTGTGTTTCAAAACAGAGAACAAAAAATTAAAAAAGCTATCCTTGACCTAAGAAATGAACGAATGCTGTTAAGAAATAAACGCAGAAAACTTGAATACCCAGTCATAGCAGTAGTGGGTTATACTAATGCTGGCAAGACTTGTTTGATTAAAGCTTTGACTGGAGAAGAAACTTTGCAGCCTAGGAATCAACTTTTTGCCACACTTGATGTTACTGTTCACTTGGGAATGTTGCCTTCAGGTTTAGAAGTACTCTTTGTTGATACTGTAGGTTTCTTGTCAGATTTACCTACAAAACTAATTGAATGTTTTGTTGCCACATTAGAAGATGCAATATTGGCAGTAAGTAGAGTTTTTCATCAAAATTAAATGCTATTGAAATCAGCTATTTAACTGTTCAGATAAATTAGTATTTGCAACAGTGGCGAATTTATGATTTGTGGGGCCCTACACTTAATCACTTTGGAGACCCTCACTTTTTTATATATTTCTCACGTAGAAAGGAAAGCTGGACCCCAAACCTGATTGAGGGGAGCCACTGGCTGGACCCAAGTCTCAGGGGAGAGCAGAGGGATGCTTGAAAGAGTAAAAAAATACAAAAAAAAATAAATATTTTAGTTTTAAGTTTTCGCGCGTTTTTTAAGGAATGGCGACTTTTAAATATTGATTGAGCTGCACCACCTGCTAATTATTTCTTCAAAATCTTTATAGTATTCGATATTTTTTTAAAGCTCTGAATGATATTTCAAAAATTAGACATTTAAATTTAATTGTTATGACTCTATAGCCATTACTTCAAGGATCTAAGTTGCTTAATAGGAAATCAGAGAGTTTATTGAGTATTTCAACCCTAAATTTAACTTTTCCAATACTTAATGGTTTTCTTATTTGCAAACAAGACTTTTCTTATGCATTTGGAAATATCACTGTATCCAATTTTTAGTGCTCATAATTGAGTGCATCATTTAGATAAAGATTTTAAGGCTTATTTAAGTTGCTACTTACTAGCTACTATATTCCAAATATACAGTGATGCAGAGAAAAACCATAATGCATGGTTTTTATTGATAAAAATATTAATATAGCAGCCCTGCAGGGTCCTACGCAATAGTGTACTAAGTTTACCGGCAAATACACTGCTGATTTACAATAATTTTATGTTGGCCACCTCTGACCAACTAACCTGTATATTTTAGGATGTTATCTTACATGTTGAAGACTTGGCTAGTTCTTGTTTTGACTATAAAAGGGATCATGTGTTCAAAACGTTGAGTGATTTGAGCAAAGAAACTGGCTGTAAAAATATAATGGATAAAGTGCTAAATGTTGGAAATAAGTGTGATTTAGTACAAGAAATTAAAGATAAGGATTTATTACACATTTCAGCAAAATCAGGAATAGGTAAGAATTTATTAAAATACAGTTTCATTTGCAGTATCCACAGTTTAGAATTTTTAAGAGGATTAAATGTTACTCTTGGTTAAAATAGGGTGTCCCATGGATTAAATGAAGTGAGGCAACAGGAGAGGTCATTTGCTATGAAAATAACTATATAGGATGTTTTACCACTGATATAAATATATGTATTTTAATTTATCTTCTTTCAATTTATCAGATTTTAAGGTTTTAATTACAAAATCGCTTATCTCTTTTCACCATTGTATTTTTCAGTTTTTTTTTTATTGATGTAATATAGTTAACTCATTTTCCCTAAAAATGTGGCTTAGCTCTTTTTACCATCAATATGGCGATTTCTTGGTAACAACAAGACAGGCGAGGCAACAGCAATTACTCTATATGAACAAATTATGGTCTTCAAGTATTTATCGATAATTTGGCAAGAAACTATAACAGGCATTATTTGGAATGTGATATTTCTGCTCTCACACTTTTTTTTCCTCTTCATATTATACTTTTATATATTTGACGTACCATTAAGACTTTTGTATAAACGTATATTTGAATCTAAATTTAAAAAACTACAATAAATAGAACTTAACCAAATATTTTTAGGGATTGAAGATTTAAGGTTTCGTTTGGAAAAGGAAATATTAAAAGTAACTTCTAGGCATATTTTAACAATTAAAATCCCAAATGGAGGGGATGAAATAAGGTATTTATATTGATAAAATAATGGTAGAAAAAAAAAAACATTTTTATTTGTAGATGGTTGTATAAAAACGCCACTGTAGTATCAGAAAATGCAGATGAAAATGATTCTCAAATAATGAAAACCAAAGTCATCATCACAGATTCAAACCTAAAAAAATTCAAACACAATTTTGTTAATTCTAAGTAAATAAAGGCAATAATAAAACAAATATATTTCAATAACATATTAATAGAGTGGCTATTATGGCGAACATAAAATAAATGTGATGATTTGTGTTTTCCTTTCAACTTAATGTTATCCCCATGATTTAAGATTCTTTCTCTTACAGTAACTAGCATATATGTCTAAAATAGCTAATGAAGGATAAATAGACATGGATGCTTTAAAGCGTATCTATATCCAGACGCTTCAATGATACAAAGATGTAAATATAATATATATTATCGGTATCTTAGGGTTTATTTTGATAATCTACTCCAAAAAACACTATCATAACCATTTAATTACACGGATGCTTATAATAATAATAATTAGTAATAAGGAAGCGATGTTGCAATTTTTCCACTTAGGTTCTATCCAAACTGTTCAGATGGCAGCATCTTATGTATATATTAAAATCTTAACAAACGTTGAGTAATTAAACAAATATAAAGAACAATATTTTGCGTTTTAAGTTTTAAATATTATAAAAAATATTCTTTATCATACTCTGAACCTATTTTTAAATACAATTCCTGTAAATTATCATTTAGCGCTGTATTTCTTTTGACTGAAACACATCGGTGGAAGCATGCATCACCCTGTAATATTTCCTTATTGGTTGTAAGTATGTACGTACGTTAGTCAGTAACTTCCACAAATTTTTAAGAGGGACTTTTAGGGGATCCATTTTAAAGAATTCGAAATCTATAACTTCAACTTGTAAAAATCCAGCCATATGATGGGATAAACTTTAATGCTTAAATCATTTTATTAAAGTTTGAACCATATGGGTTAAATAAAAGTCAAAAATCTTTATTAGTTATTTTTTTAATATAAATAACAATTCTCTATCAAGATAAAAGTAAGAAACTTCAAAAATATACATCTACACCAAATTAACTAGGAACTAAACCAATATAAATAAATTATTTTATTGTAAATCTAATAGTACCACTTCTTCATTTGTTAATTTCTTAATTTTTTGCCTATAAAATGGTTTGAATGTATAATGCAACAATAAAACTAGAGAACAAAATTCCTTAAAATGTAGAACTAATACGATATTAAAGATATTACATGGACTGGCGTAAAAGGACGGAATATAGCCGGTAAGTACAGTAACTTCATTATTTATATTTTCTTTGAGTCCGGTCCTAATATTGAATTTTCTATTGTAAAAATTAATATAATTGGCTCTATAAACATTGGCAACTCTTCTAACATTTTAATTTATCTGGCTATAAGATAATAATATAGCCATCCCCACACAAATCTCTGCTTTCTCTGGTTTACACTCATAAGGGGGTCAATCAAATCATGGAATTTCTGAAATGGTGTCCCACATTTTTTTGGACAAAATCATATATTACTATAAACTTTTATTATAAGTTTTAACTTAAAACACCCTGTATACAGATACGGAAATCTAAACTCAGACCTTCTATTTTACAATGAATTGGACACGGTATTATAAGATCATGCATGAAACAAAGACTGCTAAGCAGAACATTACCTATTCTGTGACCTTGTGCATGGTACATACCACTTCCACCTCACTACCACTTATGCTCGTCCCCAATAGATTTGGCTTAATCTGTATATTTTATTCGACATTTTGAAAGCTATTTGTCCTGTTTGTGTATTTTTTGATGTTGTGGCATCATCTTTAATGTGTTCTACAATTTTTTGTGAAAAGTAAATTTCATGTCCTCTAAATTTTTAAGATTTGCACTTTATCTCCGATTTGTTTAATTAATAAAGAGTAGTAAATGGCGACGTTTCACTTTCACAGAATATTTATCATGTTAATGTTATTGTATATTTGTCTGGTAGACCATATTGCTAAAATTGCCCAGTCTATATCTTGCCAGTGAATTCATGTCTGCATCTTGACCTAACATTTGTGATTATTTTCTTTTTCTTATGTGATTCTAAATGTGTATGTTTCATTTTAATATCAAATAATCTAATATTAAAAACAAAGATAATATCAGTTAAACAATAAAATACGAAAAATGTGATCAAATAAAAAAAAATATGAAACCAGCATTTCTAGCAACATAAAATATGTCAAAAAACTGACCATTCAGACCATTTTACAGTAAAAAAACAAAGTGCCTGTCTACTTTGACTTTTTCTGTTTTAACGATTCTTTTTTATGTTTTAATGATTCTTTAGATTTACTAGAAAATGCATCTAAAATAATGTAATGTGTCTCTGAAAACATTAAAGTTCCAATAAAAACTAAAGCGGTACCAAACCAATGGGCTGCGGTGAAAGGATTTTGGAAATATATTATAGAAAATACCAAAGAAAAGAATTTTCTTAAAGTTATAACTAGAGTAACTGTCAACGAAGCACATTCTGCGGTTAGTACATAAACGTTGCTTATGCACAAAAACTGGGTCACGACGTTTGAGATTAAAAATATCCATAGTATTGGAAATCCCATGTTTAATAATGGAATGTTCACCATTTCACTACTGCTTGCTATATTGACATGTTCTACTATACTTCCATAGTACATCAAGAAACCAGGCAGAGGGTAGAGATGCTAAAAAAATATTACCTATATAATACATTTATTACAGAAAAAATTCATATTCCAAAAAGTATTTGTATTAAATATTATATAACATCGGTAACTGATATCTCTAATTTTTTTAACACTATGATTAATTTTAAAAAGTGCAAGTCAGCATGAAATAACTATATAAGTATGATATATAAGTTAAGTTTCATGGAAAAAAACATTAATTGCTTAAGTGAGATAAAGATTTTGATTAAAAATTTAAAGATTAAACATGCTTAGATAAAATATTACTAGTTTCCGAAATATAGGGTTAAAGTCCAAAATTCAAAAAATAATAAGAGCTATAATTTTTTTTATTTTTCAGTATAAAATAACAACCGTCTATACAGGGTGATTGATAAGAAATGAATATTTTACCTACAAATTCTATAGAGGGAAATATTTTTACTTAATAACTGGGCCAAATATTGATAGTTACTGAGATGCAAGGTGTTACAGTCATAAAAATAATTCAATCATGTTATATTTCAGTTAATTTTTCACACCTAAACATAAAAGTCAGTAAAATTAGGTTTTTGATGTTGGAAAATCGAATAAGTTAACATTTTTGGTGTATTGCATACAGGGCGATATAAGTAATCCTTAGTTTAACAAAATCCGTATATTAATATTTGACCCATTTGGTTATCAAGCAAAAAATTAATATTTTTTGCTACACAATCTGCAGTTGAAATATCCATTTCTTATTAATCATCCTGTAGTTTTTTAGGTTCAGCATTAATTGGTATTAACTGATACTGCCTAATAAATTCGATACCACTTTATTTATCAAAATGATTTCTTAATTCTTGGTGTCGTCTTTTCCTTGTTCTAATATCTAATTGATAATATTTCAGCTTCTTCTAGTGTGGCTAAACTCCCTAAATTAATCATATTGTTAAATATTTTACTTTTAATTCAAGAACTGCTTGTTTATCTTTTATTTGTAACTTCATTTTTAGTTTTTATTAAGAATCAGTTCAATTTACTACATGGGATATTTTGAAAATAATGCTTATTCCATTTAGTTCGAAAATATCAAAATTCCGTATGCAAAAGTTACTCATGTATATGCTAAGAATCCAATAGTTCCGTGACGCCTGACACTACCTGGTAATAATTGGCGCTTGCGTATTTGCAGACCACCCAGTGCATTTATTAATAAACCACTCAGACATAAATTTATGTTATTTTTTTAACTAAACTTATCAACTTTTGGATTATAATTCATATAGTTTTAACTGATAATGTTATCTACCTTATTAACATACAATACAGAGTATATTCCTTCAAAATAAAAAACATGTTTTTCCTTATCACAATATGTCTAAAATTTTATGTAATATTTGCTATAAATTTTAATAAATACTTGGTAAATATGAACTTACTGTATAATACAAGGCTTCTTCATTCTGTTTTCCATGTTTTTTATATAACTGTTCTTGGAAAATACCCATTCCTGCTGACATCAATAAAGCTACTGTCAAAATAATTATTCCTATTAACCACCAAAAAAAGTGTTCATAATCTATATTTTCCTGTACTGTATCTTTTTTTGTGTAAGGGTCACAATCTGTACAAGTCTAAAAAACAAAAAAAAAGTATTTTACAAATACTTTTGCAAAACTAATCATCAATGAAATGATCAATGATTTTTCACTTATTCATTTGTGTTTATAGACAGTAATTGTTTTGTCTTTTGTACAATTTCAAATTTAGTTTCTCTACTTCTACATGTAAACAAATAACTCTGTGATTCTACAGACATTCTGATACCATTTTATTGAACAAACCACATCAATAAATAAAAACAGTCATAGAGTGCTTGATATTGGAAAGGAACACCTTCTGAGGACAAGTCAACATAGCAGATGTCATTAGTATGATGATTAAAAAACAAATTAATAAATACACCCCCGAGATATAAATTTTTATAAACCATGAGCCTTTTATTTAAAAAAATATGCTAAAAAGGGAATAGCCCTCCTTGAAAATTAATTGTAGCCAACATTGCTTGAGCAACATCCCAGGCCTGTCAAAAAATATCCTATAGTGTTTCTATCATGGATTATACTTACCGATGGCTGGGATTTGCTTGAATATAAAGTACAAATTATTATACCAAATGTGATGCAAAATACTGAAAAGTATTTTTCAATTGTGTATTTCTTTTTCAATATGATGATTCCCATTATCATATTTGCAATTAGAGAACCCTAATAACAGAATTTTAAAATTACATAAGTTTGCAAAATGTATTTTCTTTAGTGATGGGTCATTTGGAAAAGTCTACATACATGTCCAACTGACAAGTCTGAAAAATGTTGTGAGCATACACCTGGCAGTAGTGATTAATATACCAATTTTAAAATCATCAGGGCATAAACTAGTCAACAATATAGGAAAATAAAATGAAAACTGAGTTAATAATTGTTATAAAACAAAAATAACTATTTTTTATCTGAAAACAACAAAATAAAGACTGCCCTGACTACCTTATAACTTTATATTTAGTTTGTTCAACTCTACTACTTTTCACAACTTTATTCGACTTGTCATAGACCTGTTGAAAATTGCTTTTCATGAAAAGACCTATCGCAAATATTGTTAATTACTTACTGCTCTAAATATCATGTGAAGGGGTACTGGAATATTAAAAGCAAATGCCCAGTTGTTCATTACACTTGTAGTAAAAAAAAATACTACTAACTTAACATAATCTTTTAGGGGTATCTTTGGTGTAACTGTTCCAAATTTTGAAGTGAAAATATATCCATGAATAGCTATAAAAAGAAACTGACATAATGTTATTAGATGTCCTGCCCCTGGATCTAACCTAAAAGATAACAACGTTATAGAGAAATTAGTTTATTATTGTTCAAAATACTTACTGAATGATATATTCTAAAAATATATTATTTAACATGCATCCAGTTAACGTTAATATAATTGCTCTTACTGCTTTCGCACTCATTTTTGTATTGATATCTTAAAAAATCATATATTTTAAGCATAAAGACAAACAAAATTAATTATTGTTTAACCATTTTAAGAACTTACTCGTCGCCTTTTTTAGTAGGTAAATTATCTGAATCGCATATTAATCGTCAAAAGTTTTATTTAATTTCTTATAAGCAAGTGGTAATGTTCGTCACATGTTCATTTTTATTATTTTATCTATAATTTAAATCTATACATATGCAATTAGAAGCAGGGACAGAAATTGGAAATTGTTGACTATTAGGTTTGTTCTGGTTCTCAAAATGAAAACTGTTTTGAAACTGCGCCGGACCGTATGCGTAAAGGCAAAAAATCCCCGACTGTTTGAAATTCTTGGAAAACCAGAACACGTCATAAAGGTGTTTTGTTTATTGTTTATTATAATAATGAAGTTCCTTTTGAAAGCTCAGCTTCAAATAATATTTGCATGTATATGTTTATCATTATCATCACATTTCAATGGAATAAATAAAAACAGAATATTAAAAAATTAATAATTCTAAAATTGCTTTAATTTACAAATAAAACAAGAACAAGAGACATTCGTCCACATATAAATAAACAATTTGGGATTGTATACGTTTCGTATGGTCTAAAAAGCCAATACAATATTCATAACACTTCAAAAACGCATGCGCGGTCAAAACAGTCCGAGTCGATCCACACTCCCAAGCATGAACACTTTTTGACTGTTTACAACAATCACGGATTATTTCGGATACGAAACCAGAACACTGGACTGAGAGATCCGAAGTAGTCCCAGAAAAACCAGAACACTTTTTATCTACTGCGCATGAGCCCGACAGTTGTGGATCGTTATTTCTCAAAACCAGAACAGACCTATTATTAAACGACCTGTCAAAATTCTGACAGTTTGGAATTGGATATGGCAACCCTGTGGGCCGTCAATGATTCGTATATGGTTATATAGATTGCTCAAAGCGGGACGATTGCAAGCGGCCATGTTGCCTGGCATGTTCATTAATTTGAATCGGTTTAGCAAAAATGTGTTTTAAAATAAAAATCCAGCCTTTGAATATTTAAAAATAATAATTATTTACTTTTTTCCTCCAAGGCATAAGCTTATGTTCCCTGCTTATGTTTATTTTTAAAAACATGGACGATCAATCTGTATAACTATATCATTGACCGTATCAAAGTCCTGGCCCACAGTGTTGCCATATTATGTGCCTGTCATTTCCAACGGCAGCCATTTTGTTTGGAATGCCTAATTAGTTGGGAACGTTTGGTTAATTTTTGGTGAATTTTTGTTTTATTTTAGGTTTTATCATACAATAGTAATATATTATAACATAATGACGTAACGACATAAACCCAAATCATAGATCTATTACAATTATAATGAAAAAGAACAAGTACGAATAAAAGTGACTGAATACGGTTGAGGGTAGAGTCCAAATTAAAAAGAAGAATCGTTCAATATCTTAATAAAATAATTCAAAACTAGATGGCTGTGATCATCGTGATTTAGAGACGAAGCTGACGCCATTTCAAATTTTTTGAACGCTTGTATAAAATTTAGTGAATATATTGTATTCAGGTGAGATTTTTTTAATATCTAAGTCTAAATAATGCAAAATTTATCTAAATAACATATTACTATCGCTTATGTCCCAGGTATAACATAAAACTATTTAAAAAGCCGTAAGCCACATACTTGCAAAATCAAAAAGGGACGCGAACAATTATGATTTAAAATTCATCTCAATATAGGTATTATTTGCATAAACTTGCTTTTCAGTCAAATATTTATTATTTATACTACATCTACAAGTAGTAATATGTTATGTAGGATGTATAGGGGGTATTAATAATGCACTGCAACCTAAAAGATCCTATTGTGCCCCCTTCCAATTCTATCTTCTTAAAAAAATGTAGGTTTTGGGGCTCCAAGTTAGGTATACCACCCTATTTATATTTGGTATGCTCCTAATAACTATAGGTATAGTTCCCTTGTATTCTGGAGTGATACCTACACATTTTGTAGAAATGTGAATGGAGATGTTCACAAAATCTGCACTCACTATCACAGTTTACTGATGTGCTCTTTGAGTCGGCAAAGCTAAATGCTCAGTAAAAGTATACCTGTTACAATGGCTTTCAATTTGCTCTGCTGATTCCGCAAATATTGACTCGTTATCAAAAGCAGTGTCGGATTGGGCCAAAAGACTGGTATAGGCCATCGTTTAGGTAGTGGGCCCTCGTTCAAGCAGTGGGCCCTGACATCGTAATGTGTAAGAAAGAAGACCTTTTTTTTGCTCTTCAATGAAAATGGTGGGCCCTTCTCCCTCCTCACCGGTAGGCCCTGCAGGTCCCAATCCGACATTGTACAAAATTTATACAAAGTAACTATATAAAAATAGCTATTTTGGAGTTGATGATTTTTTTTACATTATATTATAATATATATGTTGGCCTTATTAATAATAATAGTAATTTGATAAATAATTTTGCTTATACACAGAGTGTGTGTTAAAACTAATTTCATTTATACACGATTTTCCAGGAAAGTAATATAAATATCAAAGGTTTTTTAAATGGATCGAATTTTTAGATATGCACAAAATGTTGAAACCTGTTTCCACTGTAAAATGTATATTGGATTGGATCAACAATTTAAAAAATATATTTATACAGGGTTTTTCAGGAAAATAAAAAGTAATACACATATCAAAGTTGGATTTAATTAGAGATTCAGAAAATTTCTTTTTAAAAACATATAGTTTAAAAAAAAAAATAATAGTATACATCCCAGATAGCACAGGACGTCCCATGGACGTCCTGATTTGGTCCCTTGTTGGTCCGGTTGGTCCCGGACCTAAATAGGACGTCCACTGGACTTCCGATTACAGTTAACACTAGGACGTCCTTAGAAGGACGTCCTCTGGACGTCCTATTTTGGTCCCGTTTCGACAAAGCGTTTAGTTTTCGGTCCGAGTCCGGGACATTAATGGGACGTCCAAGGGACGTCTATGGGACTTTCTATGCACTAGCATCGTTGGTCTTTGAATCGATAACTTGAAATTCAACGTTTTGATTTTGCAAGAGTATGAGGACAGAAAACCTAACCTATCATTTATTTTCAAATGAACAACAATAGCTACAATTTTCGGCATTCAATAATTAACTTAAATAAGTGAGTTAGATTAACGAAGAAAAAAGAAGGTTATAAAGTGTTATTTGTTATTTTTTTGATGCTGGTGGTAAAGTGGTTATAAAGTGAAGTGAGTGTTTTGTGTTGATGTGAGAATAAGTGATGTGTCGGTAGCCGCTGGCGGAAAGAAAATACCTTAATGGCGGAAAGTTGGAACAAAACTAATTTGGACAAAATTATAATACTCAGTTTTGTCGACACAAGCTATAAGTAGGACCCAAGGTTTCATCTTGCCAGCGCTGTGTGTTAAATTTAATTCATTCCTGTTTTTTTTTGTAAAATGAAAACGTTTAACTCTAGCTAGGTTTTTTAGGATAAAAGTTGTTAAATAAAGCTCTTTTATTGTTAATATTTTTGTTATTATTACTCTTTATGGATTATGGTCAAATATCGTCCCTCGGACGTCTGATTTACGTCCCTAGGACGTCCCGCAAAGGTCCCTTTGACGTCCTTTTGGGATGTCCCAGGGACGTCCCTAAGGGACGTCCCTAAGATGGACAGAAACGGGACATTAGGACGTCCATGGGACGTCCGATTGACGTCCCGGTACCAAAATAGGACGTCCCTCGGACGTCCTTTATGTCCCTAAAGGACGTCTTTTAGACGTCCATAAGACGTCCGTGTGCTATGTGGGATGGTGGGCCATCGCGGTAACGATTCTGTTTGTATAGCAAAAACAGTTTATTATACAGGGGTTTCCAGTAAAATAAAATATATATCAAAACTAGTTTTTTTTTAATGACACAAGGAGGAGCATTTTTAGGTACCTATGCAGAAAATTTCCTTTTCCTTTTTTAAAAGTGTAAGGTTTAAAAAATAAAAAGTATACAAGGTGTGCCACTACTAATGTTTTTTTAAATCTGTTTCCACTACGAGATGAATATTAAAAAAGGCAACAATTTCAATTACAGGATTTTCAAGGAAAATAATAATTATCAAAACGTTAGATGTTTAAATGGGACCCAAAAAAAGGTTTTCCAGGAAAGTACATACAGGGTGTACCAATAAAAACTCCCACGCCGGATATTTGGATATTTTGGTAAGTAATAGAGATATTTGAATTCTGTGAAAGCCAGTTCACAGAGCACTAAGAGAGCTTCAGTTTTAGATATAAATTGATTTTAAATAGGTCAATATGTAGATGGTGCTGCGCTCAATAATTTGTTTTCGATTGGAGGATCTTCTTTTGTAAAAATACATTTTAAAGCAGATTTTGTTCTTTGAACTAATTCGATAAATCTAGCCATTTTTGATATACAGAGTGGGTCACTCAAAACAGTTTCATCATGTTTTTCAGCATTAATCATTGGATTTTAAGAAAGTGCTAAAACAGGTAGATTTTTATTCCAAATTAAAAACATTTTTACAATACAGATATCAGTCATGTGTCAACCCCCTCCCTTACACCTTAATTTTAAATAGGTAATGTTTACCATGTATGGCACATCATTGAAAAGGTAATTTAACGGGGGATTCAGAAATATTTCTGTACATTGCGATACTTTTAATTGTACTGCCGTCTATAGGGATAAAAAAACTGTACGTATTATAAGGTGTGACACCTTATTTGAAAGCAAATTTAATTGCTAATTCAATGCACCTCATAATATTAATATAAATATTCTTCATATTGCACTTGCAATAGTTTGAAAATTAGTCATGCATTATTTTAAACATAGTGCTAATTTTATTTTGTTGCAAGTGCAATATGGAAATATTTATATTAATGTTATGTGGTGCATTAAATTAGTAATTAAATTAGCTTTCAAATGAAGAATCACACTTTATTATACGTTACAGGTTTCTTTATACCGATAGAGGGTGCTAAAATTAAAAATATTGCAATAAACAGTCATATTTCTGACTTCCCCATAAAATTACCTTCTCAATGATGTGCCGTACATGATACATTCCTTATTTAAAATTAAGGGGCTGGAGAAGTGGAAGGGAGGGGGTTGACACTGTTAAAATATGATTTCGGGACACCCTGTATATCAAATCGGGCCCATTTTTAGATACTTATGTAGAAAATGTTCTTTTCCCTTTTTAAAAATGCAAGGATTAAAAAAGAGTATACAAGGTATGCCACCGGTAACGCCTCGGTTTGTAGAAGAAAAACTAATTGTTAATTTTTAATTTGTTTCCACTGCAAGATGTATATTACAAACAAAAATTATTTATATAGTGTTTTTCAGAAAAATAATACGTACATATCAAAGTTGTGTTTTTTAAATAAGACACACCCTGTATTTTATTGCATTTTTAATATCTAAAAAGAAAAAAAGTGTAACTTTTTTAAATGTTTTGTTAAATTTTGATATATTCAAGTGTTTTCAAAAATATGTAGCGTTTAATATAGTGTCGGCCACCGAACGCTTTCCACAAGTGCATGAAAACTACAGAGAGTTAGCATTAGAGCAAGCAGAAAACGAATAATATCAGCGTTGTTAGTTTCCTGCTCACACTAATACCAACTCTAGTTTTCAGATATATTTGTAGAAATAACCGTACTGGAAAGCGTTCGATATCCGATACTGTATGCCCTAGATTTCTTAATATTTTAAATTAATTTGTTAGGTAAATTTAGATTCTTCTGGCCTGTAAATTCAAATATTAAAAATATTATACAGGGTTTTTACGAAATAAATATTAAATATAGGTACGTAGCTTTAAATACTAAAAGCTCCATTATTTTAACATTATTTGAAGTATCTTTCAAAACCTTTTCAAACAAGGTATACTTATCTGCAATAGTTTTAGAGATAATAACGTAGTTCTTATAATTTATGAAAATAACTGATTACTATTTTTCTTTAATTATACATTGTAAAAATTTAATAATATACAGAGTGCCCCATTAAAAAATGTAACTTTGATATGTATTATTTTAGTGGCGCACTTTGTATGATTAAAATTATTTCTAAAATGTTGCATTCTTTAAAACCGATTTAAAAAATAAAATAAAAAAGTTTTGGCTATACAAACCGAGTCGTTATCGGTGACCCACCTTGTATATAAAAAATAAACACTTAACTTAATTATTTTAAAGGCGTCGCGTGAAACCGGATATTAATATCACTTAAATACTTTTTTGAGATACATGTATTTAAAATGGGCTTATATTTTTTAATGTATAGACTTCTAAATCCATAAATAGAGACTAATTGCAAAATCTGTACCTTAGAGGTACATAATTTTATCTCGAGTTTTGTATTAAGTGGAGTGCATTCACAAAATACATATAGCTTTTATTTTTTAATGGTAGAAAATCGTCAAATACTAATTAGTTTGTTATAAGTTTAGAAAAAATAATATTTTCATTTTTTAAAGAAGTAAAACGTCATTTCTATCTTTGGGCTTAATTTTCTCCAAATATATAAGATTGGAGATAAGATTATTTACCATTAAGCTACATAACTATCCTCCCCTTTTGACGTTTTCAAAACTTTCTATTAATTGTTGGTTTTCTTTTCAGCAATATCCGTAAAGTGCCGTCGTAAAGAAAAATTTAAATCGCCGCAAATTTCTTTGAGTTAATCGGTACACGATATCAATGGTTTGAGCTCATGTTCATTTCACCTCTGACAATAAAGACGTTTCATCTTGGAATGTATGTCCTTTGATGTTTCATTTTGATCTTTGATTTACATTGTAATGTCTCGGGATATACCTTTCAGAATCAAATGGACAAGGCTGCAGATATACTGCCCAGAGATATATTTACGTATCAAAGGGCTGCTATAGAATTGAATATGAACGATAATCATTAATGTCGTCCGGAAGAGAAGATTTGTCCGGACGCGTTTTAAGCGGTAAATAATGGATATTATGGAGAAGCGGTAAGAAATACTGGAACAGCAAATATGACAAAGAGCGAAGGAGGAATAAGTGGATATAAATGGTTAGTCTTTTGATTTCTATTTAGCTTTTTCTGTATCTTAATGTTTTACTCAATTTATGGTTCATTTTTGTTTTTATTAACATTTTTTTTGTACGTTGTTTTAGGTGGAATATGCGGCTTCAAAAGGTGAGTCTTTTGATTTAAATCCGTCTAAAAATTAGTAATTATATTTATAATACTTTTCATGGCATGTAACTAAACTTAAATAGTCGCCACTTATGCCAAAATAAAAAAGTAAATATTATTAAAAAATTAGGTCATCGAAATTTCTTAGTAGATAGCATTTCTTGGAATGAGCAATTGAATTGAATTTTTTTCTTAATCCTAATGACTAAAACTTTAAAAAAATTGAATTTATCAAACGGAATACCTCAGTTCTTATACGAGTACATACAATATTTGAAACTTTTTACTGCTCTCTTAGAAAAGTCTGTTGCTCTATATGCTACTCAGCCCTTGGACTCCGCAAAGCCTTTGTGGGGGCTCCGCGAAGAAAATAATATAACAAAAAAAAGAAGCAGTACTATCGCCACAAAAGGGAGGGATTTCACTTGAGGCCCATTTTTTTAGGGGTCACTAGCATATTCCAGACAGGATTGATAGTGGCCAGAGTCGTCCCATCTCCATAGTCGTCCCACTAGGGTCGGTTTCGGGGATTTATTTCAATATTATCCATATTGTGCATTAATCTAGTATTTAGGTATATACTATTAATTATCTAGTTTTGTCCGATTACTCTTCAGTTAAAGCAAGGGTGTAAATAAAAGACCAATAGAGAATTTATACATGGAAAACTGTTTATTTGCAATCACACATTCTACATTTTGAAACTTTGAATGAGATGACACATAAATATCTTTTCATATGTTAACGACTTTTAATTGTATAACTTAGGAGATATACAAATAGGTATATAAAAGATGACTTGCAATCAGTTTTTTTTTTGAAATACAATACCGCATAGCACAATTATGATATATGTTGTTTCGGAACAACGAAACAATTCTTGTTTTAAAAACTTTCGCGCAGAAAACTCAATAACGTAATTTGTATTTTATTATTAAAAAGAATTAAGCCAAGGTACGGATATAACATTAGGGTATTTTTTTTCTAATATCGGGTACACGTATCTCTGCAAACTGCAATGTATAGGTATACTAAAGTTAAATAGGGACAACGGGGATTCTAGACTATTTGGTCGCTTGATTCGTTTGTTCCTCTCATTCAAGAAGTACTAAAACTGAACCGATTGAAAAAAGCTCCAGCTTTTGGCTAATATTTTATTGAATAGCCGAATAAAAACTCATCGCAAACTAATATTATATGTTTTAACTGATGATAGAATATATATAAATATATATGTCTATAATCGAAAAATGCCCAAAGAATTCATTTTTTTATTAAAAATCGTATTAAACTCTATGGTTAATTAACAAATCTTTCATTTAATTAAATAGCATTATTGTTATGATTTTTCAGGTTAGATTTTTCGTTTCATTCGTAGTTTACAATACATGGTCATGAAAGTTCCAAGTTTTATTATTTTTTTTAATATAAATCAGTATAAATACATGATATAAAAGTGATGAGACGCCATGTGCTCGACCAGAGCGTTACTTAACTACGATTTTCTACATCTTAATTTTCATAATAAAGAATATTTGGTACTAATAATTCTTGCTAGATTCATTCCTATCGAATATATCTACAACATTATGTAATTCTATCATTGCTGCGGTAAAAATAAGTTTAAATTTTATAGAAAAACGTATAAACATTCAAAATTTAATATGAAAAGTAATTAGTGATTATTATATATTTATACAGGGCGACGTATTCAAATTAACACTATTTTGACTCGGGTAACAGTTCAAACTTGAAAAAAAGTTGCATATTTACTCAACCATTCAAATTTAAAATCTTACAAACAATATTTTAAAAAGTAACAATAATCGATTTTAATTTATCATTAAACCTTGTTGGATGTTCTCCAATTATTGTAAATAATAGGTATTTCACAAGAATTAAAAAATTCTAAGTGCGATTCTATATTGTAGACAAGAAGGTATTGTAGGGTAACACTGTACAAAAATGGGGTCATATAAGCTAAAATGCAAAAAACATTGCTACTCAGTCATTGCTGCAGATCCGACCAATAATCTATTGGTATAGAAAGAGCATAGAAAAAGTTGATTTCAAATGAAACTCCAACAACGATGATTTCCCACAAAAGTAACGTACATGAAGTTAGCACTACTACTTTGGAATTTTGTATTTTTGAATATTGGAGAATTTGTCGCTTTTTTTCGTAAATTTGTCGTTAAAAAAGAAAATTTGTCGCTCATCCTATTTTGAAAATAACACCTGGTAGTACTAACTTTCCATCCCCTGTATAAATGGCACCTAATATATTTTTTAATATCATCAGACATGATAAATATAGCAATAATTTATTTTTTAGTAAATATTTTCCCATTCTAGAACAATAAAAGTATTTATCAAAAACATGTCTTTACTTATTTGTGGCCCACCCTGTAAAGGAAAATAATTTTTGACCCTTTTTCATATTCGTAAAATGCCAATAGATGTTACAATAAGATTTGGCACAAAAAATTATAATCGATTAGCTTTCTCCTGAAATAAGCGTTATCAAATAAGTGGTATTTCTTAAGTTTAACACCCTGTATCTCAAAAACCAGTCATAGCATTTGAATGATCACATGGACAATATTGATTAGAAAGGTCGAGAACTGCAACATATCAAAAATTTATGAAATTTAACAGACCACTACTTTTCCGTAAATGGTGTACGGGGTCCTTTTCTTTTTCCACAAACAAATTTACGACAAAAAAGCGACAAATTCTCCAATAGTCAATAGTGGCAATCTAACTTCAAAGACGTCCAAAAGTAGGGTTATTGATAGATGCACATGGTGCGATGTAGGTATGTTGTTGGTATGTATATTATAATGTTTAACACGTTAACTGCCATGTGTACCATTTTTGGACACAGCTCATTTTAACTGTTCGCCATTGTACTTTACGAGTATACATGCATTATTAGTTTCTCGGCTGTATTTAGTTGATTTAAATGCATGTATCGTCAGGTCTGGCGTGGGACTGTACTATGTAGTAAGTAATAGCTTCCGATTTTTTATTTTTTTTTGTAATACAACAAATAAATAAAGGTTAGAGAAAATTTTTTTATTTTTGCTTATTTATATCTACCTACATACGTCCACTTAAACAAAGGAAACAATCCTAAATTTTTACAAAACCTAGCTATAACGCAAAGAAACATAAAACTTAAAAAATTGGTAAGAAAACTGAACTTTCCAATAAAAATGTGATAACTAAGATTGGAAAAGGATAAACAAGTAACAAAATGAAAATTTAGTTTAGTTTTTTAGATGTGTTGATGTGTCCATATGTGGTACGTATGGCGCATGACACAAAAGTAATATGAATGCATCGTGTGTACCAAAACTGCACACAGCAGTTTTTCAAAAAAAACTTTGTATTTTTTTTAGTTTCTTAGTAATTTTTAGTCACTAATAAACCACTTCCTAAAAAAAAACTTGCGTGGCCCACAGGACCTGGTACAAATTTTTTCCATAAGAACCCTGGCAGTTAACGTGTTAACTTAGTTCATTACTAACCATGGATTCCTCCGAGAATATACATCAGTAATTAAATAGGGGATGACAAAAAATGGGGTATACTTGTTATTATCAATATAGGGAGAACCTGATAAGACCTTGATAATCAACAAAGATATTCTTCTACCAACGGGAAATGAAAATGTAACTAAAATAGCATATTCAATAAGCAACTTTGTCTTGTTTTCAGTTTTAATGAAATCGCAATACGCATTAATTTGAATCGTCTAGTATAAATATACGAAGTGAAATTGCGAAGAGAAGCCATGATAGCCCTGGGCACATGGCGTCCAAAAATCGGCGGAGCGGGACAGGGCGTTCTTCGATATCGGTACGGAATTTGAGCGGCCTTCCGCGGATGTGTGCAAGTTTGGACACATGACTTGTCTCGACATTCGCTAAAGATGGCTTGAATCCGACATCGGTCGCCGGTTCCACGTCCGGATATATTATTATAAACGCACAACTTTTACCCACGTCAATGTTATTCATATACTATTTTTTTTTTAATATATACATATATTACTTATTTTATATATATTTTTTTCTTATTTATTTGCGAAATTCATCACAATAGGTTTAATTTAGGTGGACCTTTTATTTATGAGTTATTATCAATATCAATGGGCGAACAAAAGGCAGACACGTGTGTACCTCGAACTAATGATACTCTACTAACTACTTGACTTGCACGTAGTACCAAATAACAAGTACTCTTAGTACTGAATTAGTATTTTATAACGAGTTTATTTGATGATTAGTCCAGTCGACAGATATTCAACACGGAAAAATACCACATTAAAAGTTTCTTCACCAGAGAACAATCGCAAAAATTGCTGCATTCGATTTACTAAAACAAACTTTTCACTATAACTTGCAGCTGGTCACGTCTTTAAAAAAAAACTATAGATCCAGTAAGGTAAAAAACAAACTGGGATTAATAAATGCTTCACAAAATATATTTACAAGTGGCTCTGGAACATCATTTTTTGGAAGTATGTATTTAATTAAATTTTTGTACGTATCTTGTACGTATTAAATAAATCGATTTAGATAATTATATATTTGAAACATGTGTCTTAGTTTACGTAGATACCAGTGAGAAACTTTTAAGTTGATATTTTTCATAAAACTTAACGTTAAACTCACAGAACACTTAGAATGCCATTCATTCACAATTCAAATTGATTTCGTACGTAGCTCGAAAGATGTTTGTGCACATGCGCAATACTCTTTGAATACTAAACAGGGTCGGCTTCAACAAGTAACAAAAAGTAAAGAAATTATTGTTAGTAAGGGAGCAAGTTGACTTCGGACTATTAGTCACTGATATAAGTTTTTAACATAGATAGAATGCCCTACTACAGAGAATCCCGTTAATTGATGAATTTTGATATAGGAACATGGACCCTAAATAGCTTAGTTACCGAAATACAAGGTATTAAAAGTTCAAAAATTTGCCATAAATAAAAAAGCCTTTAAATATTTTTTTCAAATTTGGTGACCTATATACTCTTTAAGAAAGAAATATTTTGGTATATTAAGTGGAATCTCCACATACATTTTTTAACACAAAAATTAAGATGTATATTCTTTGAATTTAAGCAAATTACGCCCTTTTTAAATTATAAACAAAAGATTGTGGTCTTATAGCTTAGTTGAGTCACATTTAAAATATGGTATAATATATAGCGTAGGGGGAAGTATCTCGTACATATAACTGCACTGGATATATCACAAAAACGATTTCTTAAAATTCTCTTTGGAAAACATCTGCTTTCTTAGAAGTTGTTAAAAGACAATGTTAAAAGACACTCTAAAATCTCAATTACAAATTGGAAATCATATTTATGAAATGAGAAATAGACATATTTAACACCTCTGGAAAGTCTTGCGATGCAGCCATACATTGGCTAACTCAACAGGCTGAACAAGCATTGGAAAGCAAAGTCTTCCTAGGAGTCTTCCTAGATATGGAAGGAGCCTTTAATGCGGCTTCATACAATTCAATACTGGGATCTATACACAGACGTGAAGTAGCCCACTGCATTACGAAGTGGCTTGAGTTCATGCTTAATCATAGAACTATTACCAGTAATCTCCTTAACACAACAAGAGAGGTCTCAGTTAACAAGGGATGCTCGCAGGGAGGAGTTTTATCTCCTCTTATATAGACCTTGGTGGTTGATGACCTCTTATGGGAGTTAGAGAGAGAAAACTTATACACACAAGCATTTGCAGACGACATAAGCATCGTAGTAAGCGGTAATTTGGATCTGTTGTATCCGAAAGGATGCAGCGGGCACTAAATATCGTCGAAAGATGGTGCCTAAAAGAGGGATTGTCCACAAACCTAACAAAAACCTCTGTTGTTGCATTCACAAGAAAAAGAAACATTCAAGGAATGAAGGAGCTTTATATGTGGGGACAAAAGAGATAAAATATCTTGGAATCACTCTTGATGACAAGCTTAGCTTCTGCAGCCATATAGAAAAAACAACAGAAAAAGCTGTAAGAATACTATGGTCCTTTAGACGAATGGTAGGGAACATATGGGAGCTTAAACCAAGTGTGATGCACTGGCTTTACACTATGGTTGTAGTACCTGTTATAACTCACTCATCAGCCATATGGCGGCACAAGGTACAAAGACTAGCCCACAGCAGCAATGGAGCTACTGCTAGGTCTTCCTCCACTATACCTTGTGGTGGAGAAGAAGGCTATGGCGGCGGCATACAGGCTATTTACTAATGGATTTGGATTGGAAATTTTGAGAAAAGGACACCAGACAATGATAGAGAAATTAAAACAAAATTCGGTACTAAGAATGCCATCGGATAGAATGCCCATTATTTACGACTTCAGGAAACCTTTCGATATTCAAATACCAGAAAGGGCTAAAAGCCGGGAAAATAGGGAAAAACAAAACTAATCAATCTGGTATACAGACGGTTCGAAAATGGAAAACAGCACAGGAGCTGTGAACTCAGAGAGGACTATTAGTCTGAACCTGGGGTTACTGACAACAGTCTTCCAGGCCGAAGTAACAGCAATAGATGCCTGCGCCAAGGTCATGCTAAATGACTCTTTTAGAGATAAGAGGGTCTTTATCATGACAGATAGTCAGGCAGCCCTTAAAGCACTGAAAAGGGTAGAAGTACAATCTAAATCAATACTTGATTGCCAACAGTCCCTCCAGGCCCTGGCAGAACATAAGGTCACCCTTGAATGGGTGCCGGGACATGAGGGAGTGTTTGGAAACGGGAAAGCAGACCTCCTAGCAAGGAAAGGAGCGGAAAAAAACTTTTATTGGACCAGAACCCACATGTGGTATCTCATATTAACATGTTAAACGGGTGTTAAAGAAACAAATAAATAGAAACAACCATAAGCTCTGGTTGGAACTTCCTGGACTTAGACAGACCAAAAGATTCATAGAGAAATTATCCACTAGCAGACAAAATCAACTGCTTAACCTTAGCAGAAGCGAACTCAAGGCCGTAATAGGACTCCTTACGAGACACTGCGGCCTTAGGAGATACTTAAATCTCTTAAGGATATCTGATGACTCCCTATGTAGAATATGTGAGGAGCAGGACGAAACCCCTATTCACATATTATGCCACTATCGGTAACGGGAATGGTACTTCATGGTACAATATCAGGAACCTGAAGAAATCGCGAAAGCGCACATCAGACATTCTTGAATTCATCAAGAAAATCAATCTGATGGGATAGAATCTGTTTGCCTAGAGAGAGCTTCAGTACGAGTGAGCTTTTAACCACGCCCTAATTCAGATAGGAAGATAGGAACACCTCTTATGTATAAGTCAATAGAACAGAGAAGCTTTCTATATCTTGGACCAAAATTATATAACGCATTACCTGAAATTATAAAAACTAAAACTTCATTTATTATTTTTAAAAGGGATCTAAAAATCAATACTAAATATGTATCCAGAATACAAATACACAGATTAAAAAATGAAAACTAATTAAAAGTAGTCGATCATGACGGGGGAACAACAAAATTGAAATTTATTTTTTCATAAAATCGTAGTTTTTTTTAAAATCTCCTAAAGTATACGGATTTGAGAAAAAAATGTGAAAATTTTGTTTTTCTGGAGTTAATGAGTTTATTATTGATATCTCCATAAATATGAACTTTATGAAAAAATTAAACTAGACCTTTTTATTTCCTACAAAATTGCACTCGGTTGATATTTTCATAAAGTTCATAATTGTGGAGATATTCTCAAAAATACCCTCATTAACTCCATAAAATAAAATTTTTCAGATTTTTTCTCAAATCCGTCTACTTTAAGAGATATTTTGAAAAACTACGTTTGTATGAAAAAATATACTTCAATCGGATTGCTTAAAAAAAATCCCCCGTATTTTTTCATCAAAAGAAAGGTTTTTTAAGGCGTCGGAAAGAATTTAATTTTTAACGACCGTTCTAATGTACTTACATAATATGTAACGACTCAATATTCCTAAATCCTAATCTATTAAGCACGTATCAAATTGTTAATAGTTCTTGTATTTGACAAGATCTTGGTAGACCAAATTTGAAAAATATTTGGTTTATGGCAATGAATTTTGATTTAAATCTTTTAACGCCCTGTATCTTGGCAACTAATCCCTTTAAGGGTTCATGTTCCTGTATCAACATTCATCAATTAACGAGAGCATTCTGTGGTAGAGCTGTATAATTTGTTATATACTTGATAATATTTAAACTCGTGCCAAACCTGTATAGATTTGCCATTTATACTGAGCATATTCACCAACAACAATGTCTGTGCAGAAACCAATTTGTGTACACGATAGGAATCAAAAATAAAGTAAATTGTGCATATGTATCGGCTTTTTATATGTTCTGTGATTAAACTCTATTGACTGGAATAGATATCGAACACGAGAGTGTGCCCAAAGTCCGTTCATTGTCGTCGATAACGCAACAACGACAAAACTTAAACAATTTTCAATGGAAGTACAATAGTACATATTATAGATTTTTGTATGTTTTGACATGTTGACAGATGGAAGTGTCTTACGGCCCTACAGCAGTATAGTGTACCTACGAGTAGGCGTTTAGCAAAAAGTGCACATAAGTGCCTGCCTTTTAGTTGGATTAGAGCTCGTGAATGTTCCACAGGAAGGCACATTGCACATTCGAAATGCTCGAGTGCCGAACTGTCGCCACAATCTGCTGATTTATCACAATAAACATTCATTGTCTATATTTGTCCGTGTCCGTAGTGCGTCTGTGGTGTTCTCGTAATCAGACATCTTTGATAAAACTAATGTTGGCGATGTTTAAATCCAGAAATCGAAGATGTAAATCGATGTCCTTGCCTTCGTAGAATTCTCACATTAGATCAATTTACTGGACAATTATGTGTGGCGCTGATAACAGCACCGCCACTGTAGCAATAATAGTAAACAACGTAAATATAATCAAGCAGAATCGATCTACAACCATGGCGGCAAACTTCCAATCGCTTATTACTTCTGCTTCTTCGTCCGCCTTCTTCATTCTATTAGTAATGAATTGCAATTCCCTTAGAATGAGTTGTAGGTCACGCTGGAAGGTGCCGGTACCCAAAATGTTCGAGTCCTCTATTGTTGTGGGATGCCTAATGAAGCCCGGACCTAGGTTCGTCGTAGTGGTGGCGTTGTTCCCAGCTGAGCTAGTAGTACCTGTAATGTTCCGGAAATCGTCATCGATGTCTAATACGTTAGCCAAGAGGCTTTTTGAAGATCGTTCTTTCAATTCCATTTCCTTCATTCGGTTATTCATTAGTATTGTCTTGCGAGTTAGTTTCTTGCCGGGTCGGCTCATTCCTAAGATCCATGGTAACCATTGCAGAAAGACAGATTTGATCTGGAAAGATATGTTTTATTAGAAAATATATAAATAATATAAAAGAAAGCAAGTTTAAACTTAAGCAATATCTGAAAGTATTTATTAAACTTTAAATACTTAGTAGTGAGGGAGGATAATAATAATAATGAAAAGGCTAATACAGGTCTTCGCCAGATGTTTTACAAAAGGAAGCCCCGTATGTTTTAAAGAAGATCAATTCATTAAAAAGCTTTCAAATCAATTAAAAGAAATGGAAAATTTAAAATTAAAGTTTGATTCATACGAAAAACTAAATACTGTATATTCTGAAAAACTTATCATAAAAGATGAAGCTGTGTTGAAATTGAATAAGGACATTGATGATCTGAATAAATTAAGTAAAAATATGGTTACCACGATAAGCATTTTAGAAAAAGAAAATGAAACACTCCAGAATGATGCAAAGAAAATTAGTAAGTATTATGTCAAGAAGTTGGCAAATTTAGAGAACGAAATTTCTAAACTAGAAGCTTCAAACAAATATATGGAAAATGCGCTGCAAAAACTAAAAAATCAGAAAGAAGTGATATTTAGTCCAAAAAATGTGTTAAGTGTAACTTTTACAAAGAGTCCTAGGCAAATTTTGATACTGACTGATGAGACCGGTAGAGGATTAGATAGGGAATTAAGAAAAAGGTATTCCGGAGTAAATATCAAAATTCAGATGATTATAAAACCCGGTGCGCAATTCGTTAGTGTAATAGAAGATGTTGACATGGCGACAAAAAGGGTTAGAAATTCTAAGTTCTGAAATTTTTTCTATTTAATCTGTTATATTTAATAAAAAAATACAATATTGAGTGAATAATTCATGATTACCCATCAAAGGACTAAAACTATTTTAAATACAGAGTGAACCATCACAATCTAAAATTTTGGAAGAAACTCATCAAATGTAAGTGAGTCTTAACATACTTCAATGATTCAAACAAAAAAACTGTTTTAAAATAAGGTTATTGTGCATTAACTTATTTTCATTATTTTTCAAAACCCATTTTCTGACATTTATTGATATTGGGGTTAGCTTTTTTTTACAAAAACCCAGATCCAACTACAGTTAAATTTTATCTTAAATATTTACCTTAAAAGGGTATTATTACTATTATTTAAAATTCAAATTCAAACCTAGATTACTGTCACTGTATTGTCAAAACTATCACTTCCCAGCGAAAACGATGTTTCTCAATATTGATGCTAAATAATTTTACAGTGAAAAAATATTAAATTTAAAAATTTGGTGGATTACCTTACTAGGTAACTGATATTTAAATTTTGGCGGAAACGTTGAAAATGTTTTTCTATTTATAATAATTTTTATCAATTTATTTATTTATTTATTTAACCATAAATATTAATATTATTGTAATACCAATGCTAATGTGTAATTACATGGTCTAGTTGTATTTATTATATAAAAATAAAGGTATATTATAGTCATGTATTGACTTACAATAATGTATAGGAAGAATCCTTGTAAGTGTAAGGCCAGAAATAGAACTCGAAGAACTAGAAAATTAGTTAAGGGAGGACGAAATCTACAAAATGGTGATAGGTAACTAATTAAAATATATTTAAACTTTCTCTAAACAATCATGTTTTTTGTTAATAGAGTGCCATGTACAATTTTTAAAGTTTTACGTTTCACAAAAATATTTAAAATATTCCATTAGTTCAATAAAGTGTATTACTACCGAGGATGTGTTTAAAGCTCGAGTATAGGTAGTCGTAAATAATCCGAGAAAGTAATACCCATTATTGCAAATATTATTTTTTATGTTTATGAAAAACTAGAAATAAACTTACCCATTGAGGCATTTCGTGGATATCAGCTGTTCGATGATGGTAATTCAAGACTACGACTGTAAGAACTACAGATGAAGCCACCATAAACATAATACAGTTGAAGTAGGTTCCTGCAACATCCATCCAGTTAACATTTTCACTAAACATATTGACTAACAAAAGAAAACATCTAACGAGCTACACTAATCTCTACAAAAAAAATATAAAATTATGTACAATCATTGAAATGAAACAATATGGAATATGTCAAGCAAAACACACCACACTCTGAATGTTATGAATTATTCTACATTATGTACACTCAACTTTCCTCTAATTCCAAATATAAATAATTATAATCTAGAATACACACACTCACGCGGCAAGCTTACACATGAAATTTAACTATTTACTAAGGTTTCCACGTACTACTGTCGTACCCTCCTCTATGAATTTCACATGAGCTTGTTGACAGGCCGAGGTTGTTTCATGAGTAGCAGCAGTGCCGTAAGTCAATAGACATCAATTTATCTTTATAATGTATTGAAAAATCCGCGAAATAGAAATAGAAGGACATATTAATTTTTAAGTTCTTATTTGGATTTGATAAATGTGAAAGTTTCATGTAAATAGCTTCCATTTAAGTCTATGAAGAAGATGATGATTATTGCACCAATGGACAAATAACAGAACAAAAAAGTAATGGACACTAGATAATTAAATTAAATGGAAAAGTAAGAAGAATGTAACGAGTAATCAAGAAAAATCACAATGGAAGTTTTTATTTTAGCTACTTCTACAGAATGACATTTATTATTAGACGTTTTCACTGTAAATAAAGTTTAGTGCATCAAAATCTTACTGAAAACAAATTTATTTAATATTGAAATCGTAATCAAAATGGAATCCAACAATCTTTTTCGACATATTCCAACCCAAACGCCAACTTTTTGGGAATGTAATGGTTCTTCAATAAAAATACATTGTAGAAAAGGGGCCGTATCAAAGCAATAGATATTAGAAAAATATGAAACATCAAATGTATATTATACACACATGTATACATTGTTTTCTAATACGTTTTGCGAATGTCACAAGTGAAAACTACAGAGAGTTAGTACAGTCTGTTCGCTATACTTACGCGGGTTTCGGATTAACAAAATTATGCAAATTAGTCATTGACAACCAGTTCCAATAAGCCTCTTCCCAAGAAATTAGGTAAAATTGCCCTAATGGTCAGATTTAAATTAAAATAACATTAGGATAGGTACTAAATTTGTTACAAATATTGCAGTTGAATTGATTCTTTGCAAGTGTTGACATTGTATGTATATTGTAAATTTAGTGGAAATTTTAAAAAATGCCTAGACGTGTGTTAGATGTAGATAGTCTAATTTGTAGCGTACATAAGTATTTTACGGATGAAAAAGAAAATGGCGGTCCTTTAAAATCGGTAATGTCTGTACAACAACGCGTATGCGATGCTCTAGGAATTAATGAAACCAAATTAAGAGGAGTATTACAAAATCACAATAGTGAACTGCCGAAAGAAGATCACCGCAAAACGAAAACGAAAGATATTCTAGATGGAAAGAAATTTGAAATTCGTGATACCATTTTCGAATGAGGACAAGGAACATGTGACCTTAAATACAATTCTCTCGGAATTAATAGATATAAAATTTGACGACATTGGCAGAACAAGTCTATGGCAAGTGATACATAACTTGGGATTCAAATTTCAAAAGAAGGATAACAGAAAGGCCCTTTGTGAAAGAAGTTCTGTCGTGCACAAGAGAATTAACTTTCTAAGAAAATATTCTAAATTTAAAGAAGAAGGGGCAAATTTTATATATTTAGACGAAACATGGATATTTTCTAGGGGTGCAACCAAGAGAATATGGCAAGATGATAACGTAAAGTCCATCAAATATACCGATGAAGAAGGGAAGCGACACATAATTTTACATGCAGGAGGGAAACCGGGTTTTATAGAAGGTGCTAATTTAATATTTTCATCTAAATCAAAATCCAGTGACTATCACGATAATATGAACACAGAAATGTTTGTAAAATGGTTGCATTAAAAACTTCTTCCAGGTTTAAGTGAGCCCAGCGTAATTATTTTAGACAATGCACCTTACCATTCTGAAGTATTAAACAAAAGTCCAACGAATTCTTGGACTGTTGATAAAATTAAAGAATGGTTGACAAAGGAACATATACCATTTCCTCAATATATATTAAAATCAGAATTATTACGCTTGGCAAATATACACGCAAAACCAAAAACCTTTGTTGTGGATCAGATTATTGAAAGTTACGGTCATCAAGTTTTACGTCTGCCACCGTATCATTGCCAGTTTAATCCCATCGAATATATATGGGGAATAGCAAAACAATATTATGACAACCATATTGGGCCTAATGGTTATAGTGACGACGCAGTTCGAGAAAATTGGCGAAAAGCACTTTCAATTGCAACTCCAGAAGTGTGGCGGAACTGTATATCCAAGTGCGAGAAACTAATAGAAGATTGGTGGATTCGTGAAAATAAAATAAACGAAATAAGTCCAATCATAATAACAATTAATGGTGATGACAGTGATGATGATGACGATTATAATATTTTGGATGATAATGACTGATTTTCATTTTTGTTGGCAAGTTCTATTTTTTTATTTTTCATTTGAAATTCTCTACATGGAACAAATTTTTATATTATAAAATATTTTATTTGAGCTAAATAACCCTCTTATTATACATAGACCATATTTTCTGTGTGAAGTGTAATATAAAATTATTATTAGGTTTATAATAGCCCCATTAGACTCCATTAATGAATAAGTTTAATTCTGCTCTCAATTATACAAAAGATTCTCCATTATTATTTAATTAAAAAGTTGTACATTAGTTTTCATTTCATTTAACCAGTTGATATTTCCCCAAAGAACAGGTCAAACTTTCGGGTACTTACCTGGAAATACTCATAAAAATTTTAATCCAAAACCCGCGTAAGTATAGCGAACAGACTGTATTAGTGGAGCAGGAAACGAATAATATCAAAGTAGGCAGCCTGCTGCGCGGGATATATAAATGTCGCCGTGTATTTGTTCACATTACACAGCGCACAAGGCAACGTTAATATTATTCGTTTCCAGCTCGCGCTAATGCTAACTCTCTATTGAAAGGTGTCCAATAGCCGATACTGTATGTATAATATGCGTGTATATAATTCCAAAACAAAGAATAACAAATCAATTCCCTTATTAAAATTATAATTCAAAGAACATAAAGATTATGAAAAGTAAAAAAAATAGTCTAACAAAGGATCGTAAAAGGAATAGTAGAGTGAGGATTTTTCTGAATGTTCATTATAACGGTGAGGTTATCAAACGACCTCAAAGAAGTAAAAAGGGGATTAATCAGAACTTTAGATTGCAACAAATTGCGTCATCCAAAATATTCAACAAAACAAAAAGACTTCACGAAAATGAGCAAAAATTACGTTTTTTTATATTATAATTTGTCGTTTTTTTTTTGTCGAAAATTGTCGTTCCTCCCCTTTTTGAAATAATCCTCTTTTAATGCTAATTTTGATGGAAAGTTACCACAAAAAACAGCATAAATAGCATTTTGTTTTATATGGAAAATTTTTCGTCTTTTTTGTCAAAAATTTATAGTGGAAAAAATAATTTATGACAAAAAAGCAACAAATTATTTATACAAAAAATTTAATTTATGCTCATTTTCGTGATTGGTAGTGCTGATTTTCCATTAAAATAAGCATTAACTGGGGTTTATTTTAAAAAGGGGATGAGCGACAAATTTTTTTTACACGAAAAATTTAGAACAAAAAAGCAACAAATTATCCATATGAAAAAAATGTAATTTATGCTCATTTTCGTGGATTTAAAATAGCAATAATGATGGCCCTCAAACAACAAAAATCTTATTTAATACGTTTACATTTGTTCAATATTTTGGATTAAAATAAATTAGGTAAGTTCATTTTTCACCAGTATCTAATTTTATTTAAACAAACTATTTTCAGTAAAAGACAAACATGCAATGAGAATTTAGAACAAAAATCCTGTACCATGCGACTCTTTGTTAGGCTTTAAAAACCTTTTCTCCCAAAAAATAACTCAACATTTGGTGCTAGAGGTGCAAATCTCAATGTCTAAAATGTCACATTAATATTGTTTTGTATTAAACCTGTAGAGTGATGCTGGTTGGAAGCTTCGGGAAAAAACTTAGTGAAAATATGAAAAAATAAGGTCAAAAATATTTTGAAATTTATACAGTAATATCCTCAGTTTTGAAATCGCAGAATATTCTACAAACAAGGCAGGTATTAGAAGCAACTATTATTAATTTAATGTAAGGTAAAAACTGAGTACAATGAACCGTGGTGCTATAACTGTTCCAGATATTTTTTTGTAGCATATAAAGACTGATCTACAAGACCTACTCCAAATATGTTTAATGTGTCTTTTTCATGCAAAATAATTTAAAAATTAATCTTTTCAAATACCGCTCGTCCTTTTAAATTGTATCTATTAAATTTGGATAGCTCTAGCTCTAAAAATTAATAAAACGGACTATAAAAATAAAACAAATATGATGTTACAGCTGGTGATATTAAATATGAATAATAGTATACCTAAGGACACAATAAATGACAAAACAAGTAGGTATATGGAGACAGTTTATGTCATTTTGTTCGGTACGTTGAAAGAGACTGCAATATCTGAAATTTTCAACATTCTGTGAGATTTTAATTAGATTTTGTATTATATTTACCATTGTTACAACGAATATTTTATAGTAATAAAAAGTACAAATTTTCATTTTCTTAACTCGAGCTTTCTGCATGAAAGCTATTTGATTTGAAGAACTGACGCCCCAAAATCGTTCCGTTAAATTGTTATACAAAAAGGGTTGTTTTTTTGAAACAAATATTCGAAAAACAAAACTTTTGCAATTATCCCCGATAATATATTTTAATTTTTGTACCTACAGTGTTATTGGATTTTTTCCAGAAGCTTTCTAACCACTATTTTTAGAGTTTTAAACAATAAAAAAATTAATATATAAAAAACAAAAAAGAAATTAAATGCCCTTGTAT